TAAACTTCGACGAATGTTTAAGTTTAAATTATTTATAACTATATTCGTCTTTTTCCTTCCTAGCTAGTGTTCTCTAGACAAAAAAAATGTTAACAAAAAGGCCTTCGCTTTCCTATTTCGGGGCCTAACGCATCTAGGGATGTCAAGGGGACCCTGTTCCCTGGTCCCTGGCAGGGATAAGGATGGGCATGTTTCAATCACCATTTGGCTACTAACGGGAAATTCTCTCTCAATCGGATTAGAGACTTTGATGTGTTTGGGCCATCCAAATAAGAAACTTACATATTAAACATCTCTACCCTCCCCATTCTATTATTTATACTTTTCTGTAGCTGCCACCAAGTGACCTAGCATGAGCATGCATGGCTGAGTCGCGGTTGATCAGAGCAAAATTCACTATCAGATTGCTTGGTTTGCTAGCCGATCGACATTGTCCTGGACGGTATCCGAAAGTGTGATCTTGTTTGGTTAATTTGCTCCTCGTGAAGCGAAGGGGATGGCCGAGTGCCTTATCAGAAAATACCGTGAGTCATCGCCATGGACTAGGACGATATGGTGGAACTCCGAACCGTCCACCTCCAAGAAGTGTGTCATCATCAGCATTAGGATGAATAAATGAGGTGGAAGGGACGGTGACTTCCATAGAATGGCAGGCAAGAGATACAATATTAGAGCTTGTACAATGATTGTTGATGGTGGTCTCTTAGCGTAGCTAATTAATAATATTTGTTTATATGAAAGAGAGAGAAAGAGGAAAGACAAAACATCGTTGCTAAAGAATAGTAATAAAAGGAATATTTTTTATACAATGGTTAGAGTCTTTATCGTCTCAACTGTTGCAAAAATATGATCTCTAAATAAACTTAAAATGTTTAAGAGATCATACTTGTCTCTACCATTAATCATGCCCTTAGTTGTATATGATAACATCTTAGATGGAAGTAGTAAGACAAACTACACGCCCTGATACGACTCTTTCACAGCAGACAATCATTGTCCTGCTCTGGCTTGTAACACGTCCAAACAGTCCTAATGTCAGTAACCTCGAATTGAATTCTGGTGCCTCCCTTTCTTATCGAGACCAGTACATATACATATAAGCTAGAATGATTCTTTTATCATTGCCATCTCCCTCCAATCCAGCTGATACTTAGAATATGATTGTTTCGAGGACTATATGTAGCACTGCAATAGATATGCTACATGCTGAGATGCCTCTATCCTATCAGCTATTCATAAAACTAGTGGATGTTTTTTTTGCGAAACAACCCTCGTCTTCCCCATTTTACAACCCAATCCCTATCCGCGATTTTTTCTCTCCGAACACTGTTCGTGGGGGGCCTATATCTAATTACAAAAAATCGGAGGGCTTTTTCACAAAATTTAATCTGACGTGGCAGCGCCCAGCGTCCGCCCCAAGCGCCATCCTTTATAGTCTCTAATGTACTCCAATGGTTCAACCGTCTACAACACCATCAATTAATTTGATTCGTGGAGTAAATTTTCTTCTCCTAGATCCCAACAAGAAGGAAATCTTGAATGGCAGTCTTATAAATGTTAGTTCATATTTTCGAAACGACAAATATGGAACAAAAAACATCAACTAACTGACATTAGCTAGCTGAGAACAATTAAATATTTTTATATTTCCTAGAGTAATTTGGACTTTAGTGCTGGAGACGCCGACTGGAGGAGGCAAGAGTGGAGGGGCTGATTGTGATGGGACTTATTGGCTTGAGGGTGTGTTTAGTTCACGCCAAAATTGAAAGTTTGATTAAAATTAAAATGATGTGATGAAAAAATTGAAAGTTTGAAGAAAAATTTAGACACTAAACCAGACCTGATTTGGAACCGACTGGTTGTTGGAATACTTCTCTTTGTGTTCGCCTAGGTGAAAGTGATCGATCGATCAGTAGCAGTGCCTCAGACAGGGGGGATTCCTCGATGTGCCATATGCACTAGAGCTGCGCATGTACTTGTATATAATACCAATCTCACCGGGATCCTCGATCGATCTCGCAAGCTAATTAATTAACCGATCACACTCTCGCTCAAACACAAGATTGACATGCAACCAGATGAACACAGTAACACATGCACGCAAGGTGTTTGATGATTTGATGCTGCTGCTAACCTTGCCGCAGCTTTTCTGCATGTACGTATTCGTTGCCTGCAGTCCACGCACACTACAAGCACATGACCCATCTGGATTAGCGTGTACACATATGTGCCATCGATCCCATATATACTCTTTCCGTTCTTAAAAAAAAGTCCAACCCTAGCTAGTATGCACTACTACAGAGATAATATTATGGCGTGTGACCCGGACGTGCTGACGCTATCACAACGTGAACGTGCAGGCCTCGGTGTGCAGAAAATGCTCTGGCACGCTCAGCAAGGGAGCAGCCGAGCTCAGCTAAACAAGCTCGAAAATGGCTAACTAAGCTTAACAGACAGGAAAGCAAAACTAACTTAACCAACACACACGCCCATAGGGCTATCGACGGACTCTGTACTAACTAAGCTCCCGGTGCTTCCTTTTCCTGGTTGTTTTTGTATATCATGCTACTAGGATGAGTACTGAGGCCACCACTGTTTGTCATTCTCATCTTCCATGAGTCTGGCTGTTTTGAGGGTAATATATACTCCATGCATCCTATAATATAATAATCTAGAATTGTAGGTATGAGACATTTCAAATACAACTAATCTGGACGGTTGTTATATTATGTAACGGAGGGAGTATATATACAGTACTTTCTCGGTTATTTTTATTATAACATTTGACACCATTCATCATTTTGTGCAAACATGTAAAATATAAGTAATGCTTAAAACTCCTTTAGTGATAAATCAAGAAAAAAAATAAATTTTCTTAATTTTTATTTAATAAGATGAAAGTTCAAATATAATTAAAAATTTGACGACGTTATATATTAAAAAATAGAGGTAGTATATAAGACCGGCAATATAGCAGCCTAGCAGGTCATATATGCTCACAAGTATCTGTGCTGTTTTTTTTCCAGCCTTAGCACATCTACTCCACCAACCATCTCAACACTATATATTCATCACTGGAGGAAACTTGCTAGTAGTCAATATGGAAACGGTTGAATAGCAAATTCTTATCAATTCTAGTATATAGATCAAGACAGAAGAAGTATGAAAACAACATGCAAGTAGGGAAGAGTGAGGCTAGGTAGATCCATACCTCGAGGTATCTAAACTTTATACTAGATTTTTTAAAATTTAGGTATCTCTAAGTAAGTATATAGAGTACAAAATTTTACACTAGAAAATATAGTACATTATTCCGGTACATTCTTAAGAATAGTAAAATTATTCTTTTTAGATAATGGAATTCATTCAGGCCTTTACATCAGATAAGTTATACCCAATTATTGCAAAGACTAATTAACTTGTGAATTACAAAATTACAACTTGATCATTCATACCCGACCATAAGCCAAAAGGACAGAAGAGAACCGGCCTGAATTATTTTTGGATGCCTCCATTTCCTACTCGAGTTTAGTTTGCACAGCTAGCAGCCACATCCTATCATTCACAACATTTTGTTTCCCCACATGTATGCAGTTTAACTTATATTGGCCTCGCTCATATTGTGGAAACTCATATGCACATATGCTTGCAGCTTGCTATATATTTATCACTAGAAAGATGAGCGGGTATAATTAATTTAGATTAGAGCTTAATTACTTAAGGTATGGACAATAAGCAAAATTGAGTTTCTCGACTAGCTAACATAACCCTGTCAAAAGAAAAGGATTGCTTTATTTGGTCGCTACATAAAATGGCAATTTTTCGGTCAAATTAATCCATGTATAATGCGATCATCAATTCCAATGGAAGAATCCATAAGAGGATCTTATGGGAGGTAAAGGTACCACTAAAAATCAAAGCATTTATGTGGTTTCTTCAAAAAAAAAGTAATTTTGACGAAATATAACCTCATAAAGAGAAAATAGAGGGAAAACAAGCAATGTTGTTTTTTAATACACAAGAAACCATCCAACATTTTTTTCTTTGACTGTCATGTTGCATGTTTTGCTTGGCGATGTGTCTTCTTTGCCTTCAATATTCCCTCTCCCCACAATGCAAAAGATATTTTTGGTAACTGGCTAAGGGGAGTGCCTAGACCCACAAAAAAATGATTTTATTTGGAGCTAGTGCTCTATGTTGGTCAATTTGGCGTTGCCGTAATGATATGGTTTTTAACCATAAAAAAATGCCTAACATCATGCAGGCTATCTTCATGTGTTCCAATTGGCTCCACTCTTGGTGTATGATGCTTTCACAGGAACAACAAGATACTATGTGCAATGGTGCTACACGCTTGGAATTGGTAGCCAAGGAACTTTTACTCAAGTTTGGATGGCGTAGTACCTACAGAATTTCGTGATAGAATCTACATAATTTTAAAAAACATTATTTTAGTAGATCATATTATCTGCAGAAGTTGGGAGTTTGTCCCATCTCGCCTTTTTTAAGCTCTTTTCTATTCACTTCTGGACTTTTTGGCTGTGTGCCTACGGACAGAGGCCAGATATGTAACCCATTTTCATTATCTAGACATGGTTTGATATCCCGCAAATGCAATGCACTAGCTTAAATGGTTTGGCTTAAAATTCTTTTGTAATACTACCTGTCATACAATACAATTAAACATGTTAATATGTTATATATAGCCGTCGTTAGTTCATTGGTACGTTCGGTTGCTTGGGGCAGTGAAAAACTCTACACAGTTTAGCTCAAATGGATACGATCGATAAATGTAAGCTAGGGATGCCTCTCCTGCAGGTAGCTTTGATGCTTTCTTGAACAGATCGCGTGGAAAAACTCTCGCACTAATTAACAGAACTAGAACCTACGGCGCGCTTCGCGGTGCCCTTGCTGTGTAAATGAGGAAAATAAATAAGGAGGCCCTGAAGAGCCTATTCAGTGGATTGGCTGTAGCACCGCTAGCTATAGCATTCAGGTTGTGAGGAAAACCATTGATGGATTAAGTAGACATAAAATACATAGACCGAATGTTAACATTGTTTGTGGAGAACAATGCATAATCTAGAGTACATTATACATCACAGATACAACCATTGGAACTAACATCGATAAATAGGCAGGAAATTATGGGGTAGATTGGTGAGGGCCACGCCTGCGAAATTCGAGAGGAAGACGGCGTGGAAGCGTGGCTGGGGGACCACCCTAGAGGTGTGAGGCAAATTCTAAGCAGCAGCGCCGGCGCAGCATCCACGATCCCCCCTGCACACGCACACACATTCAGAACAGTAGGCAGGGAGCATAAATCAGGGCAGCAGATTACCTAGTGTTGGCCATTGATGTAAGAGCGAAAAGGGGAAAGATGAGAGAAGAGCCAAGAAAACAACCGAAGCAACGCAGCTGTTTGAATGGCCTCAATCTCTACTAACGAATCAGGTAAGAGGAACGATAGGAAAGGCTAGGGCCATGCCAGATGCATTAATGCCTGCGCGCATGCCGGTACGGCTCGTGCGTAGGACGATTTGATGTGGCCTGACGAGGCACGTCAGACACTGTAGCACGCGGCGCTTAGAAAAACATGGCACGATAGACTCACAGCCTCTTGGATACGCATAACACATGGTATATGGGACAACCCACAAAACCGACCCCACCTGTCATTGGCTCTACAACGAATAGGTGCATGTCCATCATTTATCCAATGTAATAACCAGTAGGTAATTTGCCCAATCCTTTCGTTGCACTGGATGAACGTGCTCCTAGCGCACAAAACACAGGCAGAGAGGAGCACTCGTGTGACCAGGGATTACGGTGGACCAGACGTTGGTAGGAGAATCATGAAGAAACGTGCCTGCCTCGCACTGTCGCACATAGTGACATCGCATAGAGAAACATGAGGCTATGCTGGGTAAACGTGGGGGTGCACCAAAAGTCAAGGCTGTCAGGCAGGGAGAGAGCTACATAGGCCAAGCGCAGCATGGACCAAGGTGATTTCCAGGTGGGCCATAGAGCGTTAGGACCGATGGCACACACGCACCCAACCACATGCCCACGGTGAACCGCACAAAGGATCCAAGGCATCACAGGATGAACTATAAACACCACCTAATTAAACCGACAAATCAAACGTGATATATTCATCGTATTAATCACATAGGTAATATGTTCTGTGTAGCAACACGAAAGACACATGCTAAACTTTGGTGGCAGCATGCCACAGAATTACTGGGCAAATTCCTATCGCCAGCAGAAAATGATGTGCTATTTTTTGTTACAGAAAACTAATCTGTTATTGCCTCTCTTTTTTCTGGAAAATGAATCTCCATATCGAATCTACCATGTGCTCTGAGAAGCAACATACCATAGTTTTTTTAATGGCTATCTAATTTGACCATGCAAAAATCTGCATAATTCAAGGTAAGAACAGAGAGAACAGATAAGAGCTGCAGTTACAACAGGCTGTGTATGTGGAGGAATGATATAATTCAAGGTCCAAATATTAGCAGGATCTCAAGGTCTAAATATTAGCAGGATCCAGGATCACTAAGTAGAAATAAACACACACGGAGTTTCTGTTTACAGTGGCGCTATACCAGATTCTGGATAGGAATTTTCCTACCAATATATCACCCCTGTCCTAAGCACATATCCAGTTATACATGCTTGCTTAATAGGAAACTAATCTGGATAGGAATTTTCCTACCAATATATCACCTCTGTCCTAAGCACATATCCAGTTATACATGCTTGCTTAATAGAAAACTAATCTGCATATTGAGTGTTATTTTTTTGCTGTAGTAAATAAATCTGCATATTGAATTTACCATCTGTTCTGAGAAGCAACATGATTCATAGGCACAAATGGATGGGGATCTAGGACAGAAGCCCTGATGTACTTGTCTAGAACACTAACTTCTTTCAAAAACCAGTCAGTATTGTGATTTTTTTTATCAAACAGTCAACATGCTTGTATAGAACACTAAGGGTGTGTTTGGTTCCTGGTCAAGATTGGATGGGATACGGTGGTCCATATTTTGCTGGATATGGCGGTCCATTTTTTTGTTTGGTTGTCTGAATATGGCGATTCAATTTTTTGTTTGGTTGTAGGGACAAAGGTGGATTTGGTGATCCAATTTTTTGTTTGGTTGGAGGAAGTATGGTGGATTTGTAGGTGTGGTCGCCTCTCACTTGAGATGGTGAATATAACCCATCAAATTAATACATAATACACATTCCATTATAAATACACACTCCATTATAAATACACATTCCATTATAAATACACATAGAAAAAAGAAAAAAGAAAAAAGAAAAAGAAAAAAGAAAAAAAAAAGCAGCGCCAGATCTGGGCTCGCCGACGCCGCTGGCAGCCTCCTCCCGCCGGCTTCCTCCCGCCGCCGGCCGCCTCCTCCCACCACCGAGGCTCGCCTCCTCCCGCCGCCGCCTTCCTCTCTCGTCACCCGCGCCAGCTGCCGAGCTCGTCACCTCTCTCGTCGGCCGCCACGCTCGTCGCCCGCGCCGGCCGCCGAGCTCGTCGCCTCTCTCGCCGGCCACCGCGCTCGTTGCCCGCGCCGGCCGCCTCCTCCCACCACCGAGGCTCGCCTCCTCCCGCCGCCGCCTTCCTCTCTCGTCACCCGCGCCAGCTGCCGAGCTCGTCACCTCTCTCGCCGGCCGCCACGCTCGTCGCCCGCGCCGGCCACCGAGCTCGTCGCCTCTCTCGCCGGCCACCGCGCTCGTTGCCCGCGCCGGCCGCCGAGCTCGTCGCCTCTCTCGTCGGCCGCCGCGCTCGTCGCCTCTCTCGCCGGCCGCTGAGCTCATCGCCCCTCTCGTCGCCCACGCCGGCCGCCGAGCTCGTCGCCCCTCTCGCCGGCCGCCGCGCTCGTCACCTCGCTCGCATCGTGGTGGTGAGGGGTGACACGAGTCACGCAACTCGCTTGCCCGGCTCGCCCGAGCCTCGAGCGGTTACATCCGGCCAAATCAGCCGAATCCCTCTATCCAGCATCTGGAGGGAATATTCATCTCTGGGCTGCCCTATCCCACTCTCGCCCAGCATCCAAACACCCTCCAAAAAGCGGCGGCCATGTCCTATCCGGGTATATCCCACCAACCAAACACACCCTAACTTCTTTCAGACCAGAAACTTTAATCGCTAAAATCAAGCGGCAAACAGCTACTTTAAGTAAAATCAGGGAAACATTTAGCTTCTAATAATCCTAACATATCCAAGATCAGCTAAACCTTCTTCCAATCACCTGCGCTAGATTTTAAGAAGCAACCTAAGCAAAATGATAAACACTCTGCAGTAATATTTACATATAAGTGCTTCATCTAGTGTCGTAGGTAATTGCAAAATAAACATGATGGTTGGCATATTCAAACGAAACAGTGAGAGTCTGCACACCTCTTAAATAGAAGCATGGTACAAAGATGAAATATTACATGCTTCAATGAATCTGGATACAGAAAGAATGTCCAGTGCCAATTGTACAGAAAATCTGCATAATTAAAATCAATATATAAAGGCAAGATTTAGAGGAATGAAGTCCTATATAAAGATAAAATGAAAGGCCACTGAATCCTAACCATTAATTTTCTGGCTTCCTCATCACACCAAACCACTACAACTTTTAGTTTGGAACAATATTTGCTAGCTGCTTCATTCAGCAGCAAGCAGACAGCAGTAAACAATAGCCCACCAGGCAGCAAAACGAATCGCCCCGATGTTGTTGACGGCTGTGAGAGTGGAAGGATCAAGTCTATAGCCATCTGACATAGAGGAAAAAACCAGATCAAGACTATCTCACGGTAGGCAAAGCGAGTAAAAACTGAAGAAAAGCAAATAAAAAGGGGAACCACCTCAATGGCGACCGAACCTGGCATCCTCGAGCTTGTTTCCCATCACAGGCCAATGTCTGGTTCTTGAGTGAGTGTGTCCTTGCCAAATGCTCCCACCATTGGTCCATGGGTCGCTTCCTGGCCGAGGCTACCGTCGTCGCAGCTCCGTGGAGCCCAACACAAAACAGGGTAACTGCTGCAACGGGTGGCGAGGAGAAACGGGCGGAGAGTGCTTGAGGGTGCGGCAGGAGATGGGCAGGACATGGAAGAGCGTGAGGGGGAGGCCGTCGCCGGCAAAACTCCATCACCGCACCCAAATCCAACGCTGCGCCATCCAGTCCCTAAATCCCCTTGCTCTACTGGGAGGGGGGTGATGGAGGGAGCGCCAAGAGAGGAGGAGGGTACGGGAGAGCGTGAGGGGAAAGCCGTCGTCGGCGAGGAGAAGCCGGGGAGGTAAGGCAAGGCGGCGGCGGCGCAAGGGCAGGGGAAAGGAAGAGAAAGGGCGGGAGAACAGTGATGGGTAGGGTTTCAGGGGAATGGAGAGGATAGAATAGGGATGTTCTCTTTTGCAGAAAACACCCTTATTTCCCTTTTTTCAGAGCGCGGTCCTATATCTAGAATTTCGTCTCCTTCACGTAGTATATACCAAGACATTGAGGGCTGTTACGAAAGAGTACAAAACACAGGAACATAGGGTGAGGGACGTAAGAGTAATTATCAAGTTAATCGAGGACTTTTTTGCAAGATGACCAGTTCCAACGCGGGGCGATGTGGATACCACCGGAAGCGAACACGCCAGCCAAAAAACCGCAAAATCGCTATGGTGCGAAGCGAACACGCCAGCCAAAAAACCGCAAAATCGCTATGGTGCGAGCATTCTGCGATGGTCTTTAATATCTCCGATTGTCTACCCTCTACCCCGCAGCTTATTAGTAACCTCACCAAGCTGGCAGCCAAAAGATATATATATAAGAGCGGTAGGATTACACAATTGGATGGAAATGCATGGCATGGTGGTAAGACTGCACTACGTGCGTGTCGTAGCTTCTCCACGTCAGGGAATCGGTATACCTACCTCACTTCCCCCAGTTCGATATCCTTGACTTCGAATCGAATCCTGGTGCCTCCCTCTCCTATTGGATATGGTTATACATACGTCGTCTAGGATTATGAAGGACTTGTCACGGTCATCGATTGGCAGCCTGATTATTGCCTACAATTCAACAGGAGGGTATCTATTCTTATTTTATTTTGAGGAATTATATATATATATATATATACATATATATATATATATGGTAAATTTGTTTGGTGCTCCATGGTGCCCGGGCACCATTGTTGAAATTGAGTATATACCCAATTCAAATGAGTATGAAACTTTTTCAATTACTTAGGTATTAACATTAACTACTTTACTAACTTGTTTAAAGCAAGTTTGAACTGAATTTGAACTTGTTTTTGTTAGATTTTGATTCTAGGTATATAGCATCCATACATATAATTAGTTAGGTATGTAATCATGGATTGTGAAATAAAGTTAAATTTGAGTTGTTTTGTTGATAAGTATAGGTATGAATCAAATTATTATAACTAGGTATATACTCACAATTTGAAAATTTTGAAAAATTTGAGTGATTTTGTGCATTAGATACCATGGTGCCCGGGCACCATGGTGCCCCATATGAGTGTCCTATATATATATATATATATATATATATATATATATATATATATATATATATATATATATATATATATATATATATAGAGAGAGAGAGAGAGACTACTGAAAGGGATGTGATGCATGTTCTATTTATCATGAATGAAAGGTAAGCCGTCCATAGTAGGTACAACTAGTTTGTCACATTCCTTGTTACTATGCTTTCCGCACCTTTTTACAAATATAGAAGTTAAACCTCAATGAAGAGATTTGTGAAATGTGTGATTTTTATAAAAAATATTCAGTAGAACTAAATTATTCATGTAAAAGTCCTATATATTACTAGGGACCTTAAATAAACATAGTATATTTCTGCTACAAACCAATAGATCTAATGATGCTTTTTTTTATCAGCATTTAAACCTAAAATTTAAATCCCATTAAATAATATTACGGGCTATAAAAAATGGGTGCGCCAACCGGCGCAACGATTTTCTAGTATTTCGTATAATCCTGGATGAGATAGCTACCGATGGGCCTACCTTTTACAATGGTTCTTCTGTTATTAGCAGCATGATCTGTGTTGCTGAGAGACAAGCACGATCATGAACTTCCATGGAGAACATTACGTCAGGTTCACACCAAAACAGCTTTGCTCTGGCATGCCTCCATGTCAACTTATCTCGGTACTCCTGTTGCAGTTGTTCCATACACGATGAAGGAAGAACACCTCGTCAGTATTCCTGATGTCTCCTATTCATACCCAACCCGAGATTACATGCTTGTAATCAGTTTGCCCTCTCGATCGTTTACATCTTCCTTTGTCTTATTGTCTATGTTGTTTTTCCTCTTTTCTTGCATACTTTATATGAAGGGAATAAAGATATTTTTTTTGGGGGTCATTCATAACGTAGATAGACATGTGTGTGTTACTTATCGCCGGATGTAGATAGGTAAATGTGCTACTCCCTTCGTTTCAAAATATAGTATTTACTAACATTCTCTTTCCAACCAATCACAACCCTCCACCATTCACTTTTTCCACCTATCTCCACTACTCATCCAATCACAACCCTCCACCATTTACTTCTACCTACTTTCTAAATAACCGTGTCCAACTCTAAAACTTCTTATATTCTAATACGAACGAATGAAGTAGCTCATGGCCTACAAGATAATCCACCGGCTGTATATCATCTCTCCATGGGCAAAGTGCATTCGTGGCAGTGCACAGTGGTGGAGCCAAAAGCCAAAAATTTCTCAAAAGTATGGCTCAATTGATGTAGTTTTCATAGGCTTGTCTTCTTTGTTCTAAATTTTCAAAATTTGGTGTGTTCAATGGGTATTTTTGTTCAGGAGTAGGGTCTAGCCCAAGCTGCCCTACTCCTGGTTTCACCCCTAGTAGTGCACATACGTGCTAAACATCATGCCCTACATGGTTCGATGTACTCCCTCCGTTTCTAAATATTTGACGCCGTTGATTTTTTTAAAATATGTTTGACTGTTCATCTTATTCAGAAAATTTAAGTAATTATTAATTATTTTCCTATCATTTGATTCATTGTTAAATATACTTATATGTATACATATAGTTTTACATATTTCACAAAATTTTTTGAATAAGACGAACGGTCAAATATGTGATAAAAAATCAACAGTGTAAAATAATATTTAGAAACGAAGAGAGTATTACGTCTACAAGGTTTTGTCACGTTGCATCCACTATTTCCCCCACATGGATGATAGATGCACATGACCAGTGAACAGAGACGGATTCAATGTGGGTGTCGAGGGCTCAAGGCCACCTCCCAAAAAAAACAACCTGGATCCGCCCTTGTTCTATAATTAATCAAATAAAATATAATCTTAACTTATACTTTACATATTTATAACAAATTTTTAAATAAGACGAATGGTCAAACTTTATGAAAAAGTCAATAGTGTCATATATTTTAAAAAGAAGATAGTATTATACAATTAAATGCGTTTAGACTTACAGCTGCCATTAGTAGTTAGTTCGTTGGTACATTAGGTTGGCCTTGACCAGAGATGAAACTGTTATTGTATAATATCAGGCAAGCAACTGTGACGAAATCAATTAAGGGATTTTGTGTCAAACGTATAATTTCACCGCACTACTAGAAAAAATGTTTTTGTAGGCGGTCAAAAGATATTTTCGCAAGCGGTCAAACCTTCCGCCTGCTTCTAAACGACGGTAAAAATCCCCAAGTTTTACTGGCGGGCCAAAGCATCGCCTCGCAGGCAGCCGTTGGGATTTTCTCAGATGATACAAGCGTTATAGTAGCCCCGTCTGCAAAAATACTCATGGTGCCCAAAAACAATTTCCCGCCAGCCCCACCCTTCCCTAGGTTTCAAATCACAAATCACAAATTCTCACAAATCTCATCCAAGAAACAGAATCCAATCACAAACATCCATTCATCAACACAAAACATTGGATTCAAATCCACGGCAATCAACATGTAAACTTAGAAAAAAAAAAGAAACAACATCATCGTCGTCGCCGGCAAACTCCTTTGCATGCGGTGGCCGCCGCCACCCCCCTCCCTCCTCAGGCCGGATCTAGGAGGGAGGGAGGTTTCCGCCACCGCCACCGCCCTCCCCTCTCCTCGTAGGGGCCGGATCTAGGAGAGGGAGGGGAGGGGAGCCGCGTCCGCACCGCCGTCGCCGTCCGGGCAACCGCTGTCGCCCCATCCATGCCGTCGTCGCCATCCACGTCGTCGTCGCTCCCCCTCCTCCAGCCAGATCTAGGAGCGGGGAGGGAGAGAGGGGGAGCCGCCACCACCGCCGTCGTCGGCCCATCCATGCAGACGTCGCCGTCCACGCCGCCGCCGCGTCCCCCATGTCTGCATCGCTGCTGTCACCGTCGCTCCCCCTCCTCCAGTGGGGAGGGAGAGAGGGGGAGCGCCGCACTGCCGTTGCTCCCCTCCTCCGATCGGATTGGGAGGGAGGAGAGGAGGTGAGCCGGTGGGGAGGGGTGGAGAGGAGAAGAGAATTGTTGAGGGAGAGGGAGTTAAGAAAATGAGTGGTGTGACCGGTGGGGAGGACAAGATAAGGATGACTTAAAGATTTTTTTGGTAGGTACGATTTTTGCAGGCGGACCACATAAGGTTTCGCCTGCAAAAATCATATTTTTCTAGGCGGAGCACTTAAGAAGTCCGCCTGGGTATTTTCGCAGGCACTTAAGTAGGTCTGCCTGGAAAAATTGATTTTCGTAGGCGGATGATGAAAATCCACCTCGGTTTATATTTTTGTAGCGGATATTTGGCTCGGAGGGTCATACCCGTCTGCGAAAAAAAAAAAGACCCAACGTCGGTAAAAATGCTTTTTCTAGTAGTGGCAAGTATCATGTAAACTTTTTTTTTAAGATAATGGATAAGTATCAGGTAAACTATATGCGGCAGTAAGAAAACTCTTCACAGTTGAGCTCAAATGGATTGGATGGCAGTATGGCACTACATAGTAGGAACTGCAGGAGAACGACGCGTCGTCGTAGCTTCTTCACATAAGGAAATCAGTATACCGCAACTGCTACAGTGCTACCTCACTTCACCAAGATTACAATCCACAACTTCGAATCGAAATCCCGGTGCCTCCCTCTTCTATTGGACATGGTTGTACATACGTCTAGTATTATAGACGACGTGTCATTGTCGATCATCTCCTCCGGTTGGCAGCAGCCTGATTGCCAACAATTCAACAGGAGAGATTATATATATATATATATATATATATATATATATATATGTTTCATGAGACACAGAAACGGATATATATGTTGCATGCTCTACATTATTTTTTTTTCATGAATGGAAGGTGTGTAGTACATTTTTTTTATTTGCGCAGCTAAACGTTTGGAACTTAGGGTAGAAGAACCGGCCTGAATTATTTTTTATGCCTCGGCCTGAATTTCTACTCGAGTTTAATTTGCCCGGCTAGCGGCCACATCCGGCCCATCATTCATGTCATTTCGTTTCCCCTCATATGCAACTTAACTTAGATCTGGTTCATTTAATCCTCACGAACAAGGGACTGAAGGGGATTTATTCCATACATACCGTGGTCTGAAATTGTTCCCCCTCAATCCCCTGCAATCCTCTTCAATCCCCTCCAGATCGAACAAGGCCTTATAGGAGAAAATGAGATATCAACATAAGCTCAAAAAGAAATTTAAAAAAAAAAGCAAAGCGAAACAGTATGCTCACTAGCTACCCAAAGAAAATAGTGCATTAGAGCATCTCACTAATAATCCGGTAGCTCACCAATTTTTATGGCGGTAAAGCTAGATGCATTCACGGACAGGAATGGATTTAGCCATAAGAGACGCCGCAATCGGTTGAACCTTCAAGTTTCAGGTCAGCTGGGCGCATGGAAAGACAAGGGAGGATGCAAGCTCAGATCTGCTGAATGCTAACATACATAAACACATGTAGTTTATGATGGTAGGCAAGAGATATAACATCCATACAGATAGTTCTTTTTAACCAGACAAGTGAGACAACTACTCCACACTATGTTCTTGCTTGTAACTTGTCCAACCAAGATTGACGTTACTAACCTCGAGTCGAAATCCCGATGCCTCCCTTTCCTCTTCCTATTAACACACACACACACATATATATATATATATGTTGTGTCGTATCTCTCTAAATTTCCAATCCAGTTGGTACATAAGTTGTTCCGAGGACTATATATAACCGCTGAAACAGATATTGCTACATTATTTAATGTATCTACCCTATTCATCATGACACATGTGCCGTTAATGGTCACCTTCAGTTTGATTGTTGGAGTTAGTGAACTTCTTTTTTATTTAAGGTTTTAAGAATTAATATTTTAAAAATAAACCCTCTAAGAGCAGGTACAATAACAAACTATAAGCCAGCTATAACCACATATCGAGAAGAAAAGAGAAGAGAGAAAAGAAAGCGGGCTGTAGATTTGTAGCCAGCTGCAACACAGACTCTAAGACGTTATGTGTGTATAAGAGGTGGGACCGGGTATGAATGGTGTAGTATATTTTTATAGTTAACTATTGTATGACTGGCTATTAGATTAGCTATATAGATGATTTGGAGCCAGTGGTTAGCTATACAATTAAACTTGCTCTAAAAGTTTATTTTCAAATTCGAGCCTTTCTTTTACCACGCCAGTACACCAGCATAACATTTACATGCTGCCACGATATTTATATTGTCACAATAAGCTTGCCACATATATATACTGGTCAAGACCCATTCAATTGGCACGCGTGACAATCACGCAGATATACTCTAGTCCTATTCTGCAATGAAGTCCCTCATATTTACATCAAAGTGCAAATTCGTTATTTTCAGTTTATGACTAGATATCTTTATATAGTTGTGTCCAGCGGCGGATTCACCGCCCGGCCAGCGCGGGCAATTGCCCGGGCTTTGCATGCGGCGTGTGGAAGGCATCGAGGATGATTTCTCTATGTTAAAACCGAATGATTAGCTAGCTCCTTGACAAAGTTGGCAGGCTATATATACGTACGTAGTAGTAGATGATTTCTGGTACAAGCAGGAGTAGCATTTGCCGCACTGTAACATGCAATTAGGCCGTAGCCACTAGTTAATTACCAACTTGCTTGCTTCACAATGGATGGCATAATTCATTCACTAAAGTACTGGAGTATAGGTATACAAATCATCGCTTTTTATAACAAAATCATCCTGTTTATACTAGTGAAAATTTACATCTATATTGAATTATGTTTTTATTAAAAATTTGTTGTCTTTAGTTGATAAGTAAAATAAGCATATCATCATTACATGAGTGGTAACGGGTTTACTATTTTTCTTATACTTGCCCAGGCTTCACAAAATTCCTAGCTCCGCCACTGGTTGTATCATTTCGAGAAATTATTACAATGTAGTTCATCTATGTTGTTGAGTTCCACACAAAGAAATCTACAATAATTGAGTATAACATATACTCCTGCCATCTCAAATTATGAGGCTTCTAAGTTGTTTACACGGCATTAAAAATAGAACTTTGACAATTATTTCTTAGAATATATTATCAATAATTAAAAAAATACGGAGTAAGCATTATATGGAAGTATTTATAAATATGAATATAATAGTACAAAATGCATAACACTAACATATACTCCCTCCGTCCTAATATATAGCAGCCTAATACCGGATTTAACATATCCAAGCTATGACTATGAATATGGGCATATGCATGATCAAATTCGTAGTACTAGGATATATCAAATCCGGTTCTAGATTGCTACTCCCTCTGTTTCAGGTTATAAGACGTTTTGACTTGTTTCAAGTTTGACTAAGTTTATAGACAAATATAGTAATATTTATAATACTAAATTAGTTTCATCGAATCAATAATTGAATATATTTTCATAATAAATTTGTCCAGAGCTTTTTTCTATAAACTTGGTCAAACTTAAAGTAATTTGACTTTGATCAAAGTCAAAACGTCTTATAACCTGAAACGAAGAGAGTATATATTAGGACGGAATGAGTACTGTATAGTTAATTTAGTTATTAGTATAAGGTTACAAACATTAACCTTTATAAAATTGTATGCGTGCTACACTTTGGAATGAATGGAGCGAGTACATTATACGTGACAAGGAAATAGATCATTACTATTTACATATTTCAAATTCACTTGCATTTATGGGCCAAAAGAAGTGTGTACCACCAACCCGTATTTCTGCGCACTCAAGGGCTATGTTTTGAACACCTGCATCTGCATGAGCTGAAATTACTCGCACATATCGACCTAAAATAAGCGCACTAGGCCGAAATTACACACTCCTGGGCAAAATATTTGTGAACTACCAGCTGATGAAAGTTACTGTTTTCACGGGCTGAATTCTCTTGTACTCGCAGGCTGGGTCGGCCTTAGGCACACTCGTGGGCTCAATCTACGCACTCATGGGCCAGGACTAGACGCATTTGCAAGTGGAAAAAGTTCAACTTGACTCCCTCAACATATGTGAAACTAATTTGTATTCCTCAATTTCTCGCATGTCGTATTACACTAGCAAATGCTGGAAATGAAACTTCGGTCTTGTAAAAAAATAGCATGGCAACTAAGGAGAACAGCTATGGATGCACATCTGGCTGCAATCTTCTCCCAGATATAAAGAGTACAAATACAGTATATGGCCTCATCAGATAAGCGAAAAAAATGTTTATTTTCAAAAGAAAAGGAGTAATCCCTATTCATCCTCGCAAATTTTATCGAGGATATATAAATAAAGACAACAACAAAAACCCAAGGTGCAGTCCATCCACCAATCATCACATACCGAATGATCAAAATTAATTGGCAAAAATAGGCATCGCGCTTTTTCTTTACATTCTTCCCTAAAAAGAAAACAACAATGGCTTGAAGAACAGGTGGATCAGGCTCAGTTGGAGAGTCAGCTTGGACAATGCGGTTGGATGGACGGAGTTGAAGGGAATCGGGTGAAGGTACATAATCTTCAAGGAGCATATAAGCACATGCGAATGAATGTTGAAGAAAGCCAGATGCTTTTATTCCCCTTGCAAACAGTAGAGCTGGCGGATATTTCCTGAAGCTGGAAATGGAATACAGAATTGTTATTAGTTGTTCAAACAGAGTATTGCAAAATAGAACAGGCCATCCTTTGCGTGAACAAGAATGAGTGTCAACACTGAAATAGGATAAAGATTTTTTTTTTCACAGAAATCACTGATTGAGTTTACCACTTCAGCGACCAGTACAACTCACTTAATAAACTACTTTTATGCTTATATCCAGTTGGATGAACAACTACCAATAACATACGTAAATAATCGTATCCAACATTTTAATATATGATAGATTAGTTAAATAATCAAGCCTCTAATCACGATAAGCAATCAAGATTCAAGCTTCTAACCATGGTAAGAATTAAAAATTGCACTTCCAGGTATCCCTATAAGTCCTGCCCAAATTTAGACAAATCAAACACTTACAGGGGTCCAGAACTCCAATACCATTGTTGGACTATACACTTGGCAGTGAAAGTGATAGCCATATTTGTTATTTAAAAGGTGGTCAAGAAATGGGGCTGCTTGGTTGGCGGCTTGGAATGCCACGCCACGGCGTGGCTCGCCACAGGAGTGTGGCGGACGTTTCGTCCGCCTCAGAAAACACTGTAGCGTGGCGAAAATACTGTAGCTATGGCATTCAATGGCTGGGATCCAAACACACCTTAACATCAATTGAATAGTAGCTGATGTAGATGAGAAGAGTACATTATAAACAATTACAGCCCCATATCCATAAGCAATCACCAGTTGGTAACTACTGCACAGGAAGTTGCACATGGCACATTTGTCTAACTTGGGATCATAATTGGCCCAGCATAATATCTGATCACATTATTCATGTGCTCAAGTACCACCAATTACTTTAGGATAACATGAGCATCAAATACTTTAGGATAACCATGAGTCCATGGATTAAGAAAAAACAGCCAAACCATGAAAAGATAATGTTCTGAGTCTAAACTAATAAGACACACACAAGTTTGAAAAAATAGGCATGCAACTATGTAAACCTTAATACTCCCTCCGTCCCATAATATAAGCGATTTTGGAGTGACACAACCTAGTACTACGAATCTGGACAGGGTTGTATCACATAATCCCTTATATTATGGGACAGAGGGAGTATATATTCTCTAAGATTTTTTTTTTTTTTTGAAAGACTCTAAGCAAATTTTATCAATAGGTGAGTATTACCGTATAGCCAGTCCTTGAATTGGGCATGAAGGGCAGATGCCAATTCTTTTTTCCGAGTATCATCAAGCTCCAATTCTCGGATATTCTTTTGAATATCTTCCAGAGAAACATGCTGAAATTGTACAGAAAGGAATCGAACTTCAGAAATAAATATGATAATCAAGAGCATGTTAGTGTTTTATCAGAAAGCATAATTTACATGATCTGTGCTCCTGAGTACTTTTACCCACAACTTGCAGTAAATTATTCTTAGATTTCATAATCTTGATCAATCCTGCTCAAACTATATTCACGGAACATCCACCACAACTTTTTGCTATGAATATTGATAATAAAATAGGCAAACAATGGATGCATATTTTTATCGAATTCCTCTATTGTCCACAGTTACATCAGATAACCACCCTAACTAGCAAGCAAGCATCTCACTAAATAAGCCCTTTCTGACTAAACCACTGTTAGAAAGAAATGAAAATTGTGTTGCAGCTTGATTGTAATGCATACATACCTTTTTCCTTTGGGATGCCCAATAAACTTCAGGCAATGTAAATGGATTATATTTTGTAGGTCCTTGTGCCTCAAACCAACTGGGAATCTGTACAGAAAATTAGGCACCAATCACATTTTTGTTACAGAGAAAAAATAGTGATTCGGGGATTAAAGTTTTGAACTGCATCAAATGCTGAGCAATAGGGATATTCTTGATTTCCTACTAGTTACAACCAAAAAATGTAGCAAAATGGCTTCATCAATTCTTACCAAAACTGATTTGGATGAGTCAAAGAAGGCAAAAGAAAAAAAAAACATGATAATGTTAATGCAGATACATCCACGTATTCAGGCAGGCACATCCAATTCAACTTAATCTACTAAAGTACTAATGAAACGTGAAATGAATACTACTGGTCAACCACACCAGGCCAAAAACTAGGTAAGCAGGTGCAGCATGATAACATAAAAAGATGATTTGAAGGGTTTAGTGACTCCAAAGTCTTCAACTCTTTTACATCTCTTTTGAACTCCATTCAAGTTAGGCCTCGGACCATGTACAACTAGTAAGCCCCAAAGGCCGATTAGTCATTTGATTGCTTGCTACGTCACACATGTCAACATTACATTGGACACATAACGTGTACAAAAGGTTGTCATATGCCAACAAATGAAAAGCTGAAATCTGCTCAGTACAAGCAGCTAAGATTTTCACTAAATCCACGTGTCTTTGAAATTGGGAAAGACAATCGGAGAAGGGTAACATATAGTTACATACCAAAAAGTTGGTGAATAGATCAGGATCTAGACAAGTAGCAGATTCAGCTTGGACATCAGAAACCCCTGCAGGATGAGATAATGAATCATGTGGATCAACAACTCCCAGCACAAAAGGTTGGTCCCACTTGTTGATGTTAGAATCCACACCAACTTGCACCAAATGTTCTCCCAATTGTGGATAATAAGTATTGAATGGAGCAACCTGACAAAGCAAGAAATAAAAATTTATTTGATGTTGTTGAAATACAAAGAGAATTACATTGAATCAAATTAAGTGTAACTTCCATGTTTTTAAAGCAAACTTGTTTCTGTGTGAATGAACCAAAATCAATAAATCAAATTATAAACTCGAAGGTTTGTCTGATTCCTTAACACTTTTGAGGGAAAACTAAATATGTGGTCCTTCACTAGAAATGGTTCCTTGCCAACTAGCAAGTATTGCCAAATAACCAAAATGACATAGGTTAAACATGCGCTAGTTTCTTTTAGCATCTCAAATGATGTAGTCGCCTTAATTTGATGGGATGGCTTCTTATTGGTTAACAATTAGTTATGAAGGATATGAAAACATTCAGATATCAGCATAGGTTTCTGTTAAGAAACTTGAACATCCTGTATGTCTCCATGCTTCCTTTTTTTTTTCCTTTTTGATTGTCCATAAAGCTATTTATCCTTTATAGCAACCAGATATGTATATACAACAGTGTACATTTGTCCATAAGATATAAATAGTTGATTAGAAAAAGATATACTCACTTGTAATTTATGGTTGTCACCCACAATAAGCGGTTGGTGATTTACTCCCAAGTAGAAGATACATTCACGACAATTGGCGATACAAATTCGCTTTGAAGCTGCAATGATTTGCACTCGTTCACAATGCTCCACTTTTACCACCTGATCGCATGAAAATTGTTAGAACTACAAACAGAAAAGAGAAAAGTGTCTATAGGCCTTTCTAGAATGTGCATCACATTAAGTTGTATATCTGCAAGCACATTCCACAATAGGTCATTGTGATGCTATATGGACCCAAGGTCCACCCACATGTCAATAGGCATCAGTGGCATAAAATGGTTTGCCCTTTGGTAGAGCAAAATTCTAACAAAGTGTGTTGGTTGTCGAAACATCAATAAAAAAAATTCAAGGGATCTCATACTTTTTCATGTTCAAGCTGAAATATTGTTAACAAAAGTTGTATGATATACATACCTTACCAACAGCACCAAGAACGATAGTAGTGTCAGAACACCCATAGACAGTGGCATATTTAACAGGAGCTAATATGTAGATAACAGAGTCATGGCAGTTCAAAACCTACAAAAAAAAATTTCATCAATAGTAGGCTGACAAAATCTCGACTTTCAAATAAGAGTCTGGAGTAGGTAGTTTCTGTTTTTTGAATTACAACACACAGAGATATCAATAACAAAGTAAGGCTATTCCGCCCTCTAGATGTTTATAGTACTACCAAAAACTAATAGATGCATACCTTTATTGAATGCCCTTTGATATCTGATGCTTGTTTCACTACAGAAGTTTTGGAGAAACCCTCCAGGAAAGTTGTATTTCGGTAGTGTCCTTGATTGTTTGGAACAGCAGTTCCAGTTGGTGAACTGCTATGAATTCTTGAATTTGTGACAGCCTCAGCCATTGTCACATCAGGATCAGATGCACTCTGTTGGCTGTTTTCCTTTGCTGTCAATTTTTCTGCTGTATTTTCTAATGAAGCAGCTATATTCTGCAGAATCCAATCATGAACCTGAGCAGCGGGAACAGGTGCAGCAGGCATGTCTGGATCAGAATTTGCAAAAAATGTAGCCACTTGGCTTAAAGGAGTCCCTTCAGAAAACTGAAATAAAAATCCGAGATGCTCAAATGTCTCTGCTGTCAATACCTGCATAAAAAGCAATGTGCATAACAGTTAGGGTCCAGGGAATCTTGAGACTAAAAATACCATAAAGTTGAATATACTTTTCAAATGGAATAATTAATCCTACATGACTTAAAGTGCCCAGATTTATTGGGAGTTTGAAAGTAGTACACAACGATGGACCTATACATCAAGATCTTCAATATTCTATTGATCCAAAAAATTAAAAAGTACATTTCATTGCAGAAATTAGCCTAGAATTTACTTTGTCAGCTGCTTCCTGAACAGGCGATGAAGCTTCCGTACCCATAACTGTTCATATCATCATATGAATATGTTATCTGACTATTCATTATTTCTTTTTATCACACAGTGGAGGGCCCTTTCCAGTCCTTTATTTGCTTGATAAAGCTTTGAGTTATACCCCCTCCTATTCCAAAATGTGATTCCAAATGCAGGTCCATTTGATCTTTCCTAAATGTATGCTGTTTATAACTTCCAGTCTTCCAGCACCTTTTTCATCTTCCCTTCCATGTTTGCTCTTGCCAAACAAATGCTACTCCTCTCACAAATAGATAACTCATCTTTTCAATGTGGCAACAAAGTCAAGTCAGTTAGGGTGTGTTTAGTTCACGCTAAAATTGGAAGTTTGGTTGAAATTGGAACGATGTGACGGAAAAGTTGGAAGTTTGTGTGTGTAGGAAAGTTTTGATGTGATGGAAAAGTTGGAAGTTTGAAGAAATAGTTTGGAACTAAACTCGGCCTTATTTTCTAAATTCTTGTGCACAGGTTTAAAAGGACTTATATTTGGAATCAAGAGGACAAATTTAATCGTAGTTATGGACTCATGGGCACTGAACAGGAAACAATTATATGTTTTTTTCCACAAACAACTACATCAGAAAAGGACAGACAAACATTTATACAATAGCTATACTAACCATAGACTCATCGCCCTCTCCATCAACAGAATCTGCCAAAAGACTCAGAATGTTGACCATATGCTTTTGCAGATAAGATAATTGATGAGCTTCTTCATCTGCTTGTGAAGGCATAAACCGGCGACTGTTACTGCGTACAAGCTGCATATTAACATAAACAATGAAGATTAATATTAAAAAGGCCCTTACAAGTAACAAATATAGAAACTGTTGGTCTCTGCACTAGCAGGAGTAAAGCAAGTCGCAAGTGATGGCAAAGCGCTATTGTGGCAATCATGAAAAGGAGCAAACTGGAACAGTCAACATTCAACAGTCCCATGCTTGCATAACTCACAGAGTCATGAAAAAGAGTGACTAAAAGAGCCCTTCGGCCTAGCCGAGGCATCTCTAGTCCTACCATAGGACTCCTACACGACATGATAGAATGATACAATAATACAAGTAAACAGCATTTCAAAGGGGAATATGAACAGAAGGTGAGATGGAATTTCTAAAAGCAGGGATGAGGATGAATATAGAGTAGATATCAGGATAAATTAGAAAAGGAAATAGGTGGACCAAGGGTCAAGCTTCTCACATTTTAAATTTAGACCTTATAACAGTGACGTCTGCAAATAAATTGTGGCAATAGCAGCACATTTTGTGCTGAAGTATTTTTATCACAACTATTACAACACTTAACCAACACATATTTGCAGTCTATGTGAATACTGAATAGTTGTAGTCATCATATATTGGAAGAGCATATTTTGAGGTATAATATTACAATCCAGCTACAGAGAAAAGCTTACAAAATTATGAATCAGCTTGAGCGAGCAATGTAGCTACCAGGCAACCTGATGATTAATTGAATTGTTTTGAATGCCCCACTCTCTGTGACCCCGAGTAGCCACAGACTGGTGTCCAGTACTATCATAAATATTACCAGTTTACCATTGCACAACATCAAATATTCCAATGGATATGGATAAAGAAAAATAACACTGACAAGCGAAGAGAACCATTATCAAAGGTTTCTCATGTTCTTGTGAAGTGCCAGTAGCATTGTAAAGTTGAAGCTTTTGTCAGTTCTTACAATGTATTCGTACAAAAGCAAATATCTTTTAGGAATCAAACAGCATTTCAGACTAAAGTTTTTTTTTGGGGCCAGTCCTTAAATAGGAATCATTCAGCTATGGACATATCATGTTATTTCTAACTTATAGTAGTGATCCCACAATTGCATTCCTCAGTTGGCAGAAACATTGCCCATCTCTGTACGATAAATCCATTTGAAATTACATTGAAACGGGTCACTCGGTCGCTCCCAAATCCAACGCAAGTGATCATAATCGGCTGCCGCAAACCACTGTGCACACAAAGCTAACAGAACAAGTGCCCACCAGGGCGGCGGCGGAAGAGGGGGAGGGGGAGGGGATTGATCGAGACCTAACCTGGATCGGGGAGAGCGCGGAGAGGTAGCCATCGAAGGCGGAGGTGGAGGGCCACACGTCGGTGACCGCGGGCGAATCCTTGTGCGCGCGCGGGACGAGGCGCTTGTAGGACTGGATGTAGAGGAAGAGGAGCACGTCGCGGAGGTCGGCGTCCTCCGCCTCCTCCTCCGCGGGGAGCACCGCGGCGAGCGTCCCGAGCACCAGCGCCGCCAGCTCCCGCGGGATCTGCAGCGCCTCCGCGAGCGCCGCGGCGCCCACCCGCGGGGCCGCGGAGGCGTCTCCGTCTCCCCCAGCCGCGGCGATGAGGCGCTCCTTCGTCTGGGCCAGGGTCTGCGTCAGCGTGCCCTCCGGGAACACCAGCTTGGGGATCGGGAGGAGCCCGTGCTCGAACGCCACCCGCCGCGGCCGGAGGAGGAGCGCCGGGGAGGCGGCAGCGGCAGCGGCGGCGGTGGCGGGGGTCTCCGCCTCCGCCGCCGCCGCCGCGGCGTCGAGGGGCTCGTCGGCCATGGCTGGATAGAGAGAGAGAGAGAGAGAGAGAGAGAGAGAGAGAAGAGTGGAGATCTGAGAGGGAAAAGTGGAGACGGTGAAAGGGACGGCGACGGCGAGTCTCGTCCTCGTCTCGTGTAGTAACATTTCTCTCGCCTTTTTTTTAATTTTTTTTGTGACGGGTAATTCGAGGGGTCGAGGAGGTGGGAGGCTGTGCCACTGACAGGTGGGGTAGATAAGTGGGGCCCACATGTCATGCTCAGGTAATGCGAGGTACTCGACTCCCACGGCCATGAATGAATTCAGCCCATTTATTTCTCGTCAACTAAAAAATTGGGCCCACCGACTTCCATACTACAAATTAGGCCCACTTAAATCTTGTCAACGAATTCAGCCTGCTCAATAAATGATAACGAATTCGGCCCACCGAATTCCCATCAACCATTTCAGCCCACCAAAGAGGAAGAATAAATTTGTCCTGCCTAATCTTGTCAACGAATTAGGCCTACGGATGAATTTGGCCCATCCCAGTAAATCAATCCAGACCACTAACGACCACTAATAGGTTGAGCAGGAATAAGTCCATTTTCTCTCCCTCAACTCATGGCCGTGTATGATTAGCATCCCTCAACCGCAAAACCGGGTATAACCCATCCCCCAACTCCGAAAACCGTTACAAATCAACTCCCCGGACGGTTTTGGAGGCGGTTTTATCCTACATGGCAATTGACTTGCTTACGTGGCAGTTGACTTGCTGAGTCATCAAATGGGACCCACATGTCAGCAGTCTCCACCTCATCTCATCTTCTCCCTCATCTGTTCCCCTTTCTCTTTCATATCTTCCTCACCTCACCTTTTGACCTTCTATCAGCAGGGCGGCGACGACGGCGCACGGGGGATGAACTCGTCGGCTGGCCACGCAGCGTGCGGGGGAGCGACTCGGCTCGAGCACGCAGAGGAGGCGGGAGGGCGCCGGGGCATCATCTGAGAGGGGGTCGTGAGGACGAGGCAGCCCCTCCAAGTCGCCGGCCATCCGCGCGTGTGGAGGATCTCGCCGGCAGTCCTCGCGCGGGGAGGAGCACGCCGGCCGTCCGCGTGCGGGGAGGATCTCGTCGGCCGGCCGCGCGCGGGGGAGGAGCTCGCCGGCCATCCGAGAAGGAAGCCACTGGGGATGTCGCCGAGCGTCGGGTTGTACTGCAGCATGAGGACGGAGAGGCTCTGGCACGGGGACGACGGCGGCATTGCCCGCAGCTGTGCATGGCGGACACCCGCTCCGCGTTGCGCGCACGTTAGAAGAACTCCGCTAGCTTGTTTGCTGTTTGCTCGTGTTCTTCGACGATTTCGTGGTCTCTGATTTGTTCTGTTCGTTCCCCTTTCTTGTTTCATGTGATCGCCGGTGTCTTCTCTGAATTCGGCAACCACCATGTGCTACTTGTCTTGCCGTTGATCTTGCTGCTCGATTCTATCGCCTCGCCTCCGCTTCTTGATTTTTCCTTTCCCGTTTCTTGAAGGGAATCATGGTGAGGGAGAAGAGATGAGTTGGAGACTGCTGACATGTGGGTCCCGCTTGATGACTCAGCAAGTCAACTGCCACGTAAGCAAGTCAATTGCCATGTAGGACAAAACCGCCTCCAAAACTGCCTGGGGAGTTGATTTGCAACGGTTTTCGGAGTTGGGGGATGGGTTATATCGGGTTTGCGGTTGAGGGATGCTATTCATACACGGCGATGAGTTGAGGGACATCTGGACTTATTCCGGTTGAGCATGCTTAATTCCTGGCAAAAAAATCGATCCACAGATTATTCGGCCCACTAAAATTCCAATCAACAAATCCCGCCACGAAAAGGCCCGGAGGAATTCAGCCCACCTATGAATTTAGCCCACGAATCTCCCGTCAACGAATTTGGTCCATGAGTGAAATTCGGCCCACTATTTTACCGTCAAGAAAATCAGCCCGCCAAAGCCACGAACGAATTAGGCCCACTTAATTTCCATCAAATTCGGCTCAGACAATTCCCATGTACGAATTTAGCCCACTTATTGTACGTTAGAAATATATGCCCATGAGAAAATTTTGGCCCACCAAATTTCCGCCAACAAATTCGCCACGTATGAAATTGGCCTACTTCTTTAACGTCTATGAATTTGGCCCGCAAGTAAATTTTGCCTACAAATGCCTACTTGTTTCACGCCGACGAATCTGGCCCGAAAGTAAATTTAGCCCAGCAATTATCTTCGAAGAATTCAGCCCACTAAGGTAAAAAAAAAAGTCTTTACCTATTTCCCGTGAAAGAATTCAGCCCACCAAGGAAAAAGGTCTTTTCCTATTTCCCGTGAAGAATTCAGCCCATCAAAGAAATAGGCCCATTAGTTTCCACATCAATGAATTCGACCCCAACTAAATTCAGACCAGTGAACACCCAACAAATCATTAGGCCCACTAATGGCCACAAATGAATTCGGCCCGCTAAATTGCCAAGAATGTATTGGACTCAAAATTGAATTTGGCCTGCTTAACTCCCAAGGATGTATTCGGCCCAAACATGAATTTGACCTACTTAACATCCATCGACAAATTCGGCCCACCGATAAATTTTGTCCACTTAATTATCATCGACAAATTTGACTAGGATTAAATTTGGCCCACCTATTTCAAGTTAACGATTTAGGCCTATCGCTGAATTTGACCCAGTTCATTCTCATCAGTAATTTCGGCGAGCAGGCGTATTTAGCCCACCAATTACCCATCTGTGTATTCGGCCCAGGAATTAATTTTTTCACTTGAACAAATTTCAGCCCAAGATTAAATTTAACATCGACGGATTCGAGCCATTACTGAATTTGGCCTACTTAATTCTGGTTTATAAATTGAGCCCACCCGATAATTAGGCCCACCCTGTCCCATCGATAAATTCAGCCCGAAGGTAAATTGGGCCCACCTTTTTAACGTCGACGAATTCGGGCCTCCCATGAATTTGGCCCATCAACAGGATGTTTACACAAAAGCCCTTACATTATCACGAAATCGCCAACGACGCCAGCGCCGCCGCCGTCCCCCGTCCTTCCGCCACATCGACGGCGATGTCCCCGCCGACGGCGATCCTTCCCGCTCTCCGCCTCCGCCGTGGAGGTGTCACGATGGAAGGGCAAATCCGGCGAGCAACCACCGGGCCTGGAGGTTGTGATGTTTGCGGCGGCGGCGGGCGGAGCAACTGACGGCGACGGGGAGACGAGGCGGCGGTGGAAGAGAAGAAGACGGAGATAAATATTGGGATTGAGGATTTCCGTTGAGGTGCCCATGGTTTGGGGTTATAATTACTCTTCTGTTTCTCCAAGCAATTCTTTCTCTAGGCCGAATAATTATCACTTTACCAGTCAAGTCAGTTTGAAGATTTCAGTCAAATTTATAGTTTCGCTCAACAAAAAATGTTTAGGTATTTGATGAAAATTTAGGCCTTTGAATCGAGTCTCTGATTTACAACAGTAGAAGAGCATATCACAGCTCTGCATTGATTTAGTTTTTACTCCTGTCAAGTAAGCCATAAGATTCTTGATTATTGGCAAACTGGCCAAATTACTTATTAAGTTCAGTTGGAGGTTTGGTGAGTTCTGTCCTTTTTTTTGATTCTTTGTGAAGATTACAAGATCCTGTGAATTTGATACGGCACAAGCTGCCTGGACAATTATGTGTAGAGACAATTGACAAGTCATACTGACCGCTTTTTCCCCGATTACAAATTCAAAGTCTAACACTGACTCAATGATTTGCTTCAAATGTTTCCTCTTTTTTTTTTGTGAAGTGCACGAGCAGTATCTAAACTTGTGTGGGTGTATCATCTAGATCCCTAAACTCTCAAAATATATTTTTAGATCTTCAAATTTGTCTTGGGTATCATATAAGTCCAAACGGGCCATGTACTTTACTCTTTTGTTTTTCTTTTTAACGGCAATTTGCTTCAAATGTTACTATGGTTCCTTTACCTATTTATTAATTTCTTAGTGAAGTGCATGCGGGGGGTCATATCCTTACCTTCAGGCTTTCAGTGCAGGTACAAATGCAGCTGAAATGTTCAGAAAGGTTGGTCAGCCTGAAAGCTTCAGTGCTTCACACGGTTGATGATACAATGTGGCTGAAACTCCACAGGTAAATTATTTTGTGCTGCTAGTTATTGTACCTAATCAACCAGGCAATGCTTGGCCAATCCAGAGTAAAGTATTGTGTATAGTATTTATATATTCATCTTTTTGAAAATTTGAATTTTCGACCTTAAATTTGGAGTTGATTTGGGGTTTTTTTTCATCGAAGTTTATTTTTCAGCATTTGCTTTTAGATCGCTAAGAACACGTATATAAAAGTTTTATTTACAAATTATTTTTCGTTTGTAAATATGCCGTTTCGCTTATTCCCCGAATAAGCGAAACGATGGGTCTGTTAGTTTGTTAGCTGGGCAAGCTGGCCTGTCTGTGGTTCAAGTTCTACCACTGATGACTGATTGCAACCATGGTAATAACTTAAGGCTTAAGACTTGACTACTTAAGGCTTAAGACTTGACTGTAGGTTTCTGAGACTAAATATGGCACCACTCTTGTGGTCATGTGTACAAGATATTAAACTACTGAGTAATACAGTGGCTTAGATCTGTAGTAAATTTGAACAACTCTGTCATTGACAAAAATTCTGTTTTAGTGCCCAATGTCAAAGAGGATATTTGTCCTGATATTGACAAAGAAAGTTCCAAAGAATTGAAACACATTACTTCACAACAGATAGACTTCTTTTTTTCCCCTTGTGGTCGAAGCAAGAAAATAAGCAAAAGACAGCCCTTAAAAGATTTTTTTTATTCTAATTATGGTGAACTCAGCACTTATCAGTGCTTCTAGCTAATTCAATCATTTTCTCAATTACTCCGCATCAGGAATTAATCATAGTTCAGTCAGTCTATGTCCATGTGTCCAAAAGGATGGCTTTTCAGTGCTGTTTAAAGGAAATTGAGACAACAAGAAAATTGGCCTGACGAATTCCTTAGCTTGAAACTTTAGTCTAGTCAAGAAGATATGTAATGTTGAACAGATACCATCCAATTTAGTTGGTTGCTTAGTCAGATAAAAACAAGTAATTCCGTTATACTTGTATAAGAGTGGCCTTTTCTGTCATTTTCTCGTTCTCCTAGGAGGTCTTTTCATTCTCTTGACCAAATCTTGTGAATTACAATATTATAATTATATAACACAATTAAGGTAGAGTGAAATGGATCTCTCTGCTGGAGGATGACACTACACCTAACCTAGATATATAGGCCAAAACAGTAGGTTGAATAACGCAACTTATACTGTAACCTAACAATGTGTCCTACTAGAAAAATAGTCACATGTATGTTTAGGAAAAATCTCCTAATTATGTATTGCCCAAATCCATTTATTTTCCACTTTTTGAGAATATTACATGAATTTTAAGGACGAACCGATTAGGATCCATCTGCTTGCCCTTGCTGCTCTTCATGATTATACAAAATTTAAGTAGCTCGACACAAAAGAAATAGACTATTTGTTAACAAAGCAACAATAAAGAAGTTCAAGGTTATACAAATCATTGGAAATTTGGAATATCACCTAATCAATTGAATCCATCAATTCAAGTAGATTCAAACATAGAGTGGAATTGGACCGACTCTATAACTATGTTTCTTTTAACCAAATCCACTTTCAGAAATATTAATATATGATACTAAATGAGAAGGGTAAAACTGCTCCAAAACTGTCTGATTCACAGAGTCTTTTTTACATTTTTTTTCTTTCCTGTCCGATAATAAGTATGTCTGCTTTCCAAGTTTTCTTTAACCACTGGTTCCCGTTCCATTTCTTGCACAACTACTCCTCTAGCCAAAAGTCATCCTTTAGCTTCTGGTCAGAAGAACAGCCGCAGGGCCTGCTTGGAAGGGGATTAATTTGAGCAAGTCAGCAGGCAAGTTTGGGAGAGGAACAAAAAGTTTGCGGGTATCGATAAATTCATCGGTTGATCATAGAAGATCAGATGGGAAAGAAGCAGGAGATGGATTTGGATTACTAGGCTGTCAGATACCATTTCAAGATGGGTGAATCATGTCTGAAGTGATTCAGAAGGAAGGTTGAAGCACTGCTGTTTAGTTTAAGGAAGTATTTTTCATGGCTTATCCTTCCACCTCTGGCATGATCCAAGCTTCTTCCTCCCTCCATGGCAGCATCACGTAAAACCAACAATTTCTTCCCTCAACCTTTGTCTTGATTATCTATTTCATCTAGTCTTGATTCTCTATTTCACTAAAACAAAGGACTTGTGTATGTCCATATTTGTAAAATTTAATCTATTTCCCTACTGACAATACTGCTTTTAATCATGATTACCCTGAAATGGATCTCTATTTCATTAAAATAATGGACTTTGTGTACGTTATTGTTTGAAAAATTAATTTATTTCCCTTCTGACAATCATGCTTGTTTCCTCAAATGGATTAATTGTGATCAATCTACGCCCTTTTTCACCTTAGCTACTTGGAGTACTTCTGTTTTTGTTTTCTCATGCATATGATGATTTTCTCAGACTAAGGTGGCATTTTATATAATGATTGAGATTGCGAAGATCGCTTAAGAAGTTTTACCCTTCCCCCACATGTTTAATTCTTCTCTGTTTTTAGTTGTTTAGGGGGGATTAATTGATTGACTAAAAGTTTTTTTCCTGCAGAAAAGAACCCATATTTCCCCCTCCCTTTTTTTTTTGTTTTTAAGCAATGAGTATGTTTAACTTTTGCACCCTTTTCCAACATCAATTTGTTCATTTCTAATTCTATGGACCACATTCAGATAATCAGCTTAATTGTTCCTTTCTAATTCCATCCCCCCCCCTCTTTTTTGTAAAGCAATGAGTATGTTTAACTTTTTGCACCCTTTTCCAACATCAATTTGTTCCTTTCTAATTCCATGGACCACATTCGGACAATATACCATTAAGAAAAATCAAGCTCTAAATCAGTCGCAGTAGAGCTACGTACTAAATGCAAAATAGAGACTAATGGTATATTGTCATAATGTGTAAATGCAGAAGAAGGAACCCTGAAGGATATGACATGCCATCTGATTTGGATCAAGCTCTCCTCCTCTACTTTGATGGCCAGGAACAAGATAAGCCATCTACTCAAGAAGAACCCCACAAACCACTTAATTTTGTAAAAGGTCGATCTACTGTTAAGAGTATTTTGTCATAGTATATTACAAACATGGCTTGAAGAAAATCACAAAGAATGTCATGCATACATTGATTTCTGTGATTTGACTTGCTTTAGCTTATAGCTAGATGTGTAAGATTAGGAATGGCTACCAATCTTCTCATTCCCTTTCTTTTCCTTTTGGTCATTATAGTCATACATGATTTTATTAGCTAATTGGAGAAGAGTGACACGTAACAAACATAGCTGATATGGTCGCAGGATCTTGCTAGAAGATTGCAACCAAAAAGAACATATTTTTTGCCCCACTTTTTTGAAGATCTTGGCCACACGCATTTGAAAAATTAGCACAGATATATATCTGGGAGACACATCAGTTGCATGTGTGCATGAAAGCATGCAAGCACCTGCCTACAAACTATGTAAATTACTAAGTCATAATGCATAATTACTGAACTTGTTCATGTGTGCATGCAGAGACTCTCAACATCTTCCCCTCCCAGCCAATGGATGGAGAGCCAACTCCAACACCAAAGGTATATATGTTAATATGTGCACATATGTATCTCTAGCTAGCTATCACAATTTAAGCGTGTTGTTCACAAGGTGCCAGTTCTCCTCTTAAGGCTTCGATGTCAGCGCCGCCCATCGCCGGCTTTTCCAGGAGATCGCCGGCGCCAGCGGCGGCAGATGGCAGGCCACTCACCCTAGGCAAGACCTCCAAGGCAGCATTCAAGGTTTTAACTTTTTTACACACGTACGCCTCTGTAGTTGTCCGGAATTTTTCTCGGTTAGACAGTTGTATCATTTTTTTACCCCATCATATGGGTGGCGTTCTAGTCTTTGGATAGATGGCTTTTGATCAATCTTGTGTTCCCTTTTAGTTGTGTATGTTGGGTGTTTTGGCTGTGTGCACTTTCGTGGTACAGAGGCTATGAGTATACTCAGACTTTTGAGTTCAATAAACCTTCCATTATCTAATTAAAAAAGGATAGTTGTATCACATTGGTATAACTGGGTGAGTTAAATAAAGTTTCCATTATCTTAGATGTTACTATAATTTTGTATCCATATGGCAACTAGAAAGAAGGTGGCAGTGGCAGCGGCGGCGCCATGGCAGCGTCAGCAAGTTCAGAGCTCAAGGGGCCCAAGACGCCGGACCCCAAAACGCTGAGAAGGCTGGCGCAGAATAGAGAGGCCGCAAGAAAGAGCAGGCTAAGGAAGAAGGTGATTACTTACTATAGTTACTACTATTACTATATACCCCATTGATTAACCAGCTCAATAGCAAGCTAAGCTAGTTAATTAGTACTAGTACTCTTGTACTAATATCAGTCAACAAATGAACAAGTAGTCAGCCCTCAGAAGCCTAAATAAACAAAAATCTTTGGAGCTAGCAAGAAAAGCAAAGAGATGGTGGAAGTAGCTAGTGAAGTTAACCTACCACCTAATGGGAGTTGTGTGTTAGACACATGCATGGGCTTTGCATTTGTTTTTTCTTTGCAGAATCTGATACCTTCGCTTCATATTATCATGTGTAATTAATCCTTAATTTGTTCTCTTTTTATTTTTGTCTGTGTGACAGGCTTACATTCAGCAGCTAGAGACAGGCAGGATCAGGCTGGCGCATCTTGAACAGGAGATACAATTCACAAGAGCTCAGGTGAAAATTAATAAGCAGCAAAGAACTGAATCATCTCACAGAGGACGGATTTGGTTTGGGAAATATTAATTACTACTCGCAATTTATAAACCACCAATATTTGTAGGAGAATCGAAGTTTCTACTACTAGGCAAATAATCAATATCTAAAATTAAGAACAAATTATCTCGAACGAACAATTTGTGTTTGTAAAAAAAACAATTTATAAGTTATATGATGTGTTTCTGTATCTCCCTGCAGGGTGCATTCTGCGGTGCTGGAATTCTAAGCCCAGGTTAACACTTTCGAACTAGCATTTAATCATAATAAAGAGATTTACACTGCTCCATCTCACGTTAAACTTAACACGCCTAGCAACAATAGTTATTTGCATGTCTTGGTGCAAAGACCATAAGTATTTATATATGTCATATCATCTAACAAAAATGCATTTATATATACATTATGTGAGGGCGTTTCAGACGCTGCATTGTTCAACTTGGAGTATGAGCGGTGGCAGGAGGCACACCACCAAGTGATCAGCCGGCTCCGGGCCGCTGTGGAGGAGCACCGACCGGATGGCGAGCTGCAGCCCCATGTCGATGAAGCCATGTCACACTATGGGGTGCTGATGGCTCACAAGGCTAGGCTGGTTGGTGCTGACCCCCTCCACCTCCTCTCCGGCCTGTGGAAGGGCGCCGTAGAGCAATGCTTCCTCTGGATAGGCGGCTTCCGCCCCTCGGAGCTTATCAAGGTAGGCTACTTCTCTTCTGTGAATGTTTGAATTTTTTATAGTTTTATATCAGATTCATGCTTTCTTTTTAAAATAGTATGAAAGTTTTGTTGGATCAATCAGACGGTCCAAATCCCTTACAAAGTACCGTACATGACATCTTTTACAATGGTCTATACTGATAACACCCCACCAACAAGTAACATACCACCTCACGTGCTACCTTGATCCATCTCACCAACATCGCTCATGGGCCTTCCTCTACTGCAACCAGTTTTCTCCTTTGCTGTTTACGAAAATTGATTTTTCATAAGTGGTACAGTACTTTAAGAGTATCCCTGTTTTTATAGTCAGCTGCCATAAAACTACCGTTTCCACAAGCAGTCACAGAGCAGGATTTTTTTAAGTCCACCTGTAAAAATAAATAATATGTAATGCCCGCGAAAATGGTTTTTAGTAGTGAGCTTCCTCCCCTCTCCTGTTCATATATTTTTTTAAAAGAGACATTAATTTGCTAAATTATATTAGGAGGCAAGCATCTTTTTATGTACAAGACGTGGCACACCCATAGAGGTGTGCCTTGAAAAATGGAAGAATTTTCTTAAGCAGCTGTCCCGATAAAATAAAATGTTAGCTGGAGATGAATCTATACCCACGTCTTAATGTCCAAATTCATTAAAATTCCACATACGCTTTTCAATCTACCTGTCATGTTCTAGATGAAGGTCAAAATTTACTCAATACTTTGCCTCCATATATTTTCCTCGTTACAAAAGCCTGATTGAAACTTGAAAGGGGCAGCAAAAGAATTTGCCGTTAATTTGAAATTTCACAATTTCTTTGTTAATTTTGCAATTTCGGTCCATACCTGTATTGTGAAGCAAAATTTAAAACCTTGATTCTTTAAAGAAGCAAGAGCAGGCTAAGAAAGGTATAACGCATAAATGAGCTTGAATACTCTTAGAAAAATAATTACATTCAAGTAAATATATTTATTTGTGCTAGTTTGGATATTGAGAGCAGTGTACTATAAATCAGTCAGCACCTTCTTCTATTTTTCTTTTTTTTTTCCCATGAGTTAGACACATTAGGTACCTAAGTTGACAACTAATGCAAAAATAGCAGAAATACAGTTTAGGTACCCAAAGTTTCTTTTTGCTGGGATTACCCAAAGTTTTACGGGATATTATAGGAAAGCACAAATTTAAGAGCACGTTATATTTACGGGATTTTACCCAAAATTGTACAAAATCCATACGTTCCAAATTAAGCTAGGAGCCCTATATATATGTCTTGGAGCACGGAAAACTATTGTTCTGGAGGAGGATATATAGATGCTTTGTTCGACTGATTAAATGCTACAGATAGCATATATACGAAATCACGAAATAAAATTGTGCACTGGAGACATATATATGTTCCAATCATCAACCCAAACAAAACATTTTTAAGATTATGTGGCACTCTTGAAATCGACAAAATAAAACTCCCAATGGCAATGGTAATGGCCCTTGCCACCTGCCGCTCAGCTACCAAAGTAATTACTAGTAGCTACTCCCTCTGTCCCATAATATAACAATCTAGTATCGGATGGAACATTTCATAGTACAACTAATCTAGATAGGAAGGTGTCTAGATTTATTATACTATGAAATGTCACATCCAGTACTAGGACGAAGAGAGTAGTTAGGTAGGTGATGGGCAGTTAGGCTTTGGAATTCTTCATGGATTGAGAAGTAGAGATGCGTACATGCGCAAGCGTCGATCACCAGATGGCCGGGGTTGGTGGAGATCGATATATCGAGCAGGTAGAGGTAGCCGATCGATCTAGCTACGTTTGTGTCACATTCTCGATGGAGACATCGTCTGGAACCGTTGATAGAGATGCATTTTAGTTAGGACCCCTGAACATGCGTGTTGTCGCTCGTTAATTTCTTTCGTCTAATAATCTAATTTTGTTGTTAAAATAACTGAATTAAATAACGATGTTGCGAGTATTCCATATTTTACCATGCGAAAAGATAAAATTTTCATTTGATTAGATGAACGAGAACAGATAAGTAGTACAGCTACATGATTTTGTTTTTCTTTCTCTTTTTTAAGATATAAATTGAACTTGAACTTACACATATCTATGGAATGACATGTGGTAGAGGAATCTATAAATATTCAAAATATTTCCTGACTTTAATTTTGTCATGATTAATTAGTTTGAAGATATATTTTACTTTTCTTCTTAGCAATTTCATAAAAGAGCGTGGTGCGCAACAAATTAATATAACTCGATAAAAAGCCCTTAACATTAGTCCTATAATCAAATTCAAAATGGATCATACATAGCATTTGGCGCAATTCATATGTTGAATTACATAGCATCTCGCACAATTCATATGTTGAATTAATTTTTAGGTATAGCTTATTAGATACTTCCTCCATTTTAAAATAAGCAAACCTTGTAAATCTTTTCTGAATCAATTACTGCATTTATGCACAGGTTGTGGTCCGGCATGTGGAGCCCCTGACGGAGCAGCAGCTCGCCGCCGTCTACAGCGCGCAGCAGGCGGCGAGGCAGGAGGAGGACGCGCTCGACGGCGGCCTGCAGGCGCTGCTCCGGTCGCTCTCCGACGTCGTCTCCTCCTCGGACGCGCCGTCGTCGTCGCAGCAGACGCCGCCGGTGATGTACCACCCCTCCGCCGCCGCCGCCATGGCTGCGGCGAGCTTCATGGGGCAGTACGGCAGCTACAGCAACCTGCAGCTCGCCATGGACAAGCTCGCCAACCTCGCCATCTTCCTACGACAGGTAAATCAACAATCCTTTCTTCTAGACTTTTTAAGTTAATTTCTCTGAGCACTGAAGCTGATTTGGGTTGGGAAATTATTCTAAAACTCTCGAGGGATGTCCTCTCGTTTTTTTTGCATGGTCTCACGTAGTTATGAAAAAAATTAAAAAGATAATTTGTTTACAAGAAAATTAAGAAGATAAATTAATATGTGATATATTACTCCACAAACATACAATTTTAAGTTGTATGTTCGTAGAGTGATAGCATACTACATATCTTCTTAAAAAAAATTAAAATCTTTTATAGTTATTTAAGTGACATGCAAACAATAAGATAACATCCATTCGAGAGTTTCAAATCCACCCTCGATTTGGGTTGCAAGTTTTCGCATCGGTGACGACGTTGTGCGTGTATGTGTAGGCGGATGAGGAGAGGATGCGGACGCTGCACGCGCTGCGGCGGATGCTGACGGTGAGGCAGGCGGCGCGCTGCTTCGTCGCCGTCGACGACTACTTCGGCCGCCTCCGCGCGCTCGCCTTGTTCTGGACCACCACCCGGCCGCACCCGGCCGCCGGCTAGAAATCAATTGAATCGGCTTAGCTTAGGTTATTAGCCACACACGCACACATGCAAAGAGTAGCTAAGGCTATATAGCGACATGTAAGAGGGAGACGAGGAGTAGATATATAGCTAGAGAGAGCATATGCACCATCTTAACGATCAAAATAAGGTTGTATGTGTATTCGATCGGGAAAATAGTTTTAAAAATAGACTCGACGTGTTGATCTTGATTCTTTTTTTTACTTTTTGAATGTTTAATTTTAAAATGAACCTTTTCAAAACTTACTTCCAGAATCTAAACTTTTTTTAATCGAGCTAATGTGCTTGGCATGACAAAACAATACTGACATGTCACTCGTAGTGGGCGTGACAGTTTTATCTTGCCACCCTAGTGAGGATGGCGTGACTAAATAATATTGTCACACTTGTCAGATCGTGGTGATAGATCTTGAAAATAATAAATTTCAAAAAGATCATATCTTGAAATAAATTTTACTAATGTTTAAAAAGGTTTAAAAAGTTACAAACATCATTGATCTTAGGACTTATTTGGATTGGAACTAATCTTTACACTAGCAACTCTTGACCTTACCAAATTTGGTAGCGTAGAATTTGTACGTATGGGTAAAAGATTCATAGAAAATCCACCAAACATCCATGTGGCATTATTGAAGTTGTCAAAAATTTAGTACGGCAAAAATTAACCTCAGTGGAACAAGCCCCTTTCTTAATCTAAAAGGAGATGGTTTGCAAATGTATCGAGGAAATTGCAAGTATCATTAGCTTTAGGCCACTGATGCCGCCTCGAGTAAAAGCCCAAATTAACAGCATCCTGGGCTTGGCCTGTAAATTATAATTTCAATGGGCTGGAGTTGCAGATGTTAATTAATTTGGGCTGAAAGCTATACCAACTTTCTTCCAGGCCACATGCTCTCAAGAAAGAAATTAAGAAGAAAAAGAATCCAGAACGGCTAGATGCAGTGTGTTCCTGATGTAGAGGATCTTGCCTCTGACCAAACCAAGCTACTTACTGTATGCTTAAGACTACAGAACAATGATGCAACCATGAAATCATCTGCATACACCGATTAGCTATGACCGATGGGCTTGATTAGACCTCGGAATCCATATTAGTTTCATTTTAGATAATAGAAGCTTTATTAAGACTCAGTTACATACACCAAAATGATACATTCTAACTGAGTTCACCCCCGGTCTCTGTATAGAATGTACACAGCCAAAAAACTGGACCTAAGAAGACTTCCTCATCATAAAACACAGAAACCAGTGGCTATCAATCTGTAGACTAGAAACACGTAAACATATTAGTTTCATGCTGAGCCTGAGAACGATGCAAGATACACACTGATATTGCCGGTGGTGGTGAGGCGAGAGAATATATTCGCTGCTGCCTTTTTGACACATTTGCAGCTTAGCCAGTGGATGCATGCATGCCTCCTCTGCTCGGAATAAAGGCAACTTCCGTCTGCTTCTTTCTTAAGCTTATTCTGCAACGCATGTCATGTGTCTCATGTCTACTGTATTGGCATTCTGGTTCTCTCTAGCTTCCAGAATTTTTCAGCCACTATCTCGTGAATTGGCGGCTAAGAACATCTATGTGCAATCTGTGTATCGTTCTGTTGCTGCTAGCTAGTGGAAATGGATTCTGAATTTCTAACTCTTACAGGATGACCTAGTGCATGCTTTTACTTCTAAAAATGTAACATTACAACAAAGATTAACATTATACCCCCCCCCCCCCCCTTCATTGAAAAATATAAGACATATTTCGACTATTTGATTTTGAGTTTTTATAAACGATTAATCCAATAATATTTAATTAGGTTCTGCCATAACAAAATATATTTTTGGATTTATATTCGGAGGTACTTTCTTATGACTAAAGATAAGATGAAGATCAAGATCAAGATTAAGTGTTTCACGCAAAAACGATGTGGTAATAACGTGTGATTAATTAAGTTTTAATTATTACAAACTTAAAAAATGGATTAATCTGATATTTTAGAACAACTTTCATATAAAAAGTTTTCGTACGAAATGTACCATTTAGCAGTTTAAAAAGCATGCCATTTTAATCCAAAAGTTTATCCCCTAATTTTAGAGGAAACGAACAGGGTATGTGACGTTGTAATTATAAGCGAAATAGCGTAGTAGAAAATTGTGGTCGAAGCATGTTTTGGGGCAGTCAAAATACGTCTTGTATTTTTGAGACATTTAACTATTTGCCACTTTTAAGATGTGTCAATTAACTATTTACCACTTGTTGCCTATGACATGTAGGTTCAGTGACAAATCATTTATCACCACTCGTAAGAGATTATTGGTATAGAAGCATTTATCACTTCACAAAATTTCATGTCTAGACTCATCCTACAAAAACAAGAAAACTAAAGATCCGTCAGAACTGAATTCATAATATATTCTTTTCTTCTTGATACGTAGGTCAAATTAATTAGGACTCCAAAGTTTACGTGATGGTATATATATACACACACCTATCAGAGTTGTCAAATAGTATTGTCACAATTTCCGGCTAGCTCTGCTAATCCAATGGGTCAAAAATGAACTTTGCAACACAACAGTAGAAAGAAGCATCGCTTTTTCTGAACGCTTTCCCTTTCCTTGCCCCTGCTACTGTTGTTTTTTTAAAAAAGGTAAAAAATTTTAAAAAGCGGCAACAGACCGCGTCGCTAAGCTGGAAATTACCTCTGAAAATCACCGGCGTTTCCACACACTGTGCAAGGTTCCTTGCCCCAAATCAAAGCGTCCATAAAGTTGAGAAGAAAGAAAAGAAAAAAAAACAAGGCTTAGCTAGCTAGCTACTTAAACAAAGCCCACACCACAACTCAAAGAATCGATTCCCCCATTGATCAATCAATCAATCGATGAGCTAGCTCTCTTTATTTACCACCCACAAACATCTTTTAATCCCCTTTGATCAACACATGATCGATCACCATCTGTCCCTTTTTTTCTCTGAATTTGAATCGATCCCTTCTCTGTTAATTTCTCCTTGCCATACATGGCTTCTGCCTCTTCTTGCTCAGCTTAAAGTTCAGAACCCTAGAAAGTTGTTATTGGCTTAGCTATAGCTGCTTGCTCTCCCACCAAGTCTACACTACTGTCACACACTGACATTGTCCGTCCTCCATGTACATGGATGCACAGCAAAAAGCCCTAGCTTAATTAGCTACGTATACCTTCCTTGTCGCCGGGTTCACCGCGGCGAGGCGACGTCGACGCCGACACCGGCGTCGCCGCTTTGCTTGCCGGCGAGGCCACCTCCCGGATGCCCCTCCATGGCCGTGCAGTGACCACGCATATGCCTGCTCATCACTTTCTCCTTGTAGAGTTCTAGGTATAAATGTCTCGCGCCATTGTTACCGTCTAGTGAAATCTCGATCTTGGAACATTTAGGTGAGATTATTGATGCCGAGTTATCTGCGAATTTTCATGGAGTTTTCCGGTGTTTTAATTCGATGGTGTGGTTTGGTTGCAGGTACAAGGTTGAAGACGACGGCCGGCAACGACGGCGACGATGACGATGACCGGAGGGCACCACCATGACGCGCACCACGAGGACTTCCAGCTGAAGGACACGAACCCGCTGCTGGGGGAGCAATGGCCGAAGGGCGCGGCGGGGCCGGCGCGGCCGGCCGTCGGCGGCGGCATCGCCGGTTGGCTGGGGTTGGAGAAGCCGTCGAGCACCTACGACCTCGTCGAGCAGATGTTCTTCCTGTACGTGCGCGTCGTCAAGGCGAAGGACCTCCCGCCCAACCCCATCACCGGGTCCCCCATGGATCCGTACGTCGAGGTCAAGCTCGGGAACTACAAGGGCACGACGAAGCACTACGACCGGCGAGCCAACCCGGAGTGGGACCAGGTGTTCGCCTTCTCCAAGTCGAGGGTGCAGTCCAACGTCCTCGAGGTGTACCTCAAGGACAAGGAGATGCTCGGCCGCGACGACTATGTCGGCCGCGTGGTGTTCGACCTCGCCGAGGTGCCCACCAGGGTGCCCCCCGACAGCCCCCTCGCGCCGCAGTGGTACCGCCTCGAGGAGCGGCGCGTTGGCGGCGGCGGCGACGGCGGCGGGTTGAAGGTGAGGGGGGAGCTGATGCTCGCCGTGTGGATTGGTACCCAGGCCGACGAGGCGTTCCCGGAGGCGTGGCACTCCGACGCCGCCACCGTCCGCGGCGAGGGCGTGGCGAGCGTGCGGTCCAAGGCGTACGTGTCGCCCAAGCTGTGGTACCTCCGCGTCAACGTGATCGAGGCGCAGGACGTGCAGCCGCAGGCGCGCGGGCGCGCGCCGGAGGTGTTCGTCAAGGCGCAGGTCGGGAACCAGATCCTCAAGACGTCGGTGGTGGCGGCGCCGACGCTGAACCCGCGGTGGAACGAGGACCTGGTGTTCGTCGTCGCCGAGCCGTTCGAGGAGCAGCTGTTGCTGACGGTGGAGGACCGGGTGACGCCGCGCAAGGACGACCTCCTCGGCCGCGCCGCGCTGCCGCTCGCGCTGTTCGAGAAGCGGCTGGACCACCGGCCGTTCGTCCAGTCGCGGTGGTTCGACCTCGAGAAGTTCGGGATCGGCGGCGCCATCGAGGGGGAGACGCGGCGGGAGCTCCGGTTCGCGAGCCGCGTGCACGTCAGGGCGTGCCTGGAGGGCGCCTACCACGTCATGGACGAGTCCACCATGTACATTAGCGACACCCGCCCCACGGCGAGGCAGCTCTGGAAGCCGCCCGTCGGCGTGCTCGAGGTCGGCATCCTCGGCGCCGCCGGCCTCCAGCCGATGAAGAATCGCGACGGCCGTGGCACCACCGACGCCTACTGCGTCGCCAAGTACGGCCAGAAGTGGGTCCGCACGCGCACCATGCTCGGCACCTTCAGCCCGACCTGGAACGAGCAGTACACCTGGGAGGTGTTCGACCCGTGCACCGTCATCACCATCGGCGTCTTCGACAACAACCACCTCGGCAACGGCAACGGCAACGGCAACAACGCCGGCGGCGGCGGAGGAGGAAGCCCGCCGGCGAGGGACGCCCGCGTCGGCAAGATCCGCATCCGCCTCTCGACGCTGGAGACCGACCGCGTGTACACGCACGCGTACCCGCTGATCGTGCTGCAGCCGTCGGGGGTGAAGAAGATGGGCGAGCTCCGCCTCGCCGTGCGGTTCACCTGTCTGTCGCTGATGAACATGGTGCACCTGTACACGCAGCCACTGCTGCCGCGGATGCACTACCTCCACCCGTTCACGGTGACGCAGCTGGACGCGCTCCGGTACCAGGCGATGGGGATCGTGGCGGCGAGGCTGGGGCGCGCGGAGCCGCCGCTGCGGCGCGAGGTGGTGGAGTACATGCTCGACGTGGAGTCCCACATGTGGAGCATGCGGCGGAGCAAGGCCAACTTCTTCCGCGCCGTCTCGCTCTTCTCGGGGGCCGCCGCGGCGGCGCGGTGGTTCGCCGACGTGTGCCACTGGAAGAACGTTGCGACGACGGCGCTGGTGCACGTCCTCCTCCTCATCCTCGTGTGGTACCCGGAGCTGATCCTCCCCACGGTGTTCCTCTACATGTTCATGATCGGGCTGTGGAACTACCGGCGGCGGCCGCGCCACCCGCCGCACATGGACACGAAGATGTCGTGGGCGGAGGCGGTGCACCCCGACGAGCTGGACGAGGAGTTCGACACGTTCCCGACGTCGAGGCAGCAGGACGTGGTGTACATGAGGTACGACCGGCTGAGGAGCGTCGCCGGGAGGATACAGACGGTGGTCGGCGACATGGCGACGCAGGGGGAGAGGCTGCAGTCGCTGCTGGGGTGGCGGGACCCGAGGGCGACGTGCCTCTTCGTCGTCTTCTGCCTCGTCGCCGCCGTCGTGCTCTACGTGACGCCGTTCAGGGTGGTGGCGCTCGTCGCCGGCCTCTACCTGCTCCGCCACCCGCGGTTCCGCAGCCGCCTGCCGGCGGTGCCCAGCAACTTCTTCCGCCGCCTGCCGTCGCGGGCGGACAGCATGCTCTGAGCAAGACGACGTACGGCTTCAAAATGTTTGAAATTTTCAGTCCAAAAAGATGAGATTTCGTTTTGTTTTTGTTTTTGTTTACATTTTGCTGATGAATTTGGACACTTGAGATATGAGAATTTCCCTCCCATGTAACTATGTTTGTCTCGAGGATTCTAATAAGTGCATGCCTGGATTCTAATAATACGCAACTCTTTATAAGAAAGTTTAGGGAATGCCATTCTGCGTGATCTGTAATCTGGGCCTGAATTGGAATTAGGCTATTTTAGCCCCCACCAAGATCCATACATAGCCTAACAAAACTGAGTGGGTGATGAAGAAAGAATAAGTTCACTTTAGGTCCTTCAATTTGTCGCTAAGTCTGAATTCCTCCCTGAACTGCAATACCAGACTGATATGATGTATCCCTCAACTTCCAAAACCAATACAAATAATGTCCTAAGACGATTTCGATGGTGGTTTCAGCTGACAACCGCTCCACAGAACCGCCGTTAACCATTGATCGTTGAGGAGGCGTATTCTCAAGGGACCCATATCTACAGCTGTGTTAATGGGGGCGTGGTTTGGTAATACGCCAATTTGGCCACTATTAGTAGAAAAAATGATTTCTTTCACTTCACAATCCCAAATAATTCGCTTAGGAGTCAGTACATAAAGATTAATTTCATTTCTTCAATTTGTTTTCCTCTTCTAAGTTTATAGCTTTCGTGCTAGCTTCATTGATGTTACCCACCAAATAAAAAACTTGTTCGGGTAGGCCGTCTAATTCTCCGGAAAGGATTAGTTGAAATCCCCTAATTGCCGTGGAACCCACATATGAATGAGACAGTGACTGTCCGGTTAAAAATAAAAAAATACGGTGGAACTCATGTCTCCTCCCCAATATGCCCATCTCCTCCGCTGAGAGAATTCGTGATCGAGCCAGTCATCGTCAAAACGAAGGCGGCGCTGCCATCAGTGATCAAGAACATGGTGGGTGCTGTGTTGACTGGAATGGAAAAGGGGAACGCTCCGATCATGTCGAAGGAGGAAACCAAGGAAGCGTATTTTATATAGGACGCGTCAGGGGCCATGTCGAAGGAGGAAATCGGGGAGTCCATGGCAGAAAACAACCAAAGCGGCCCGGCCACCGTCATCCACCGGCAAGGGGCAAAAGAAGGGGACACGCATCGGCGAGGGCGCCATCATAGAGGTTGCTGTACATCCTCGACCATCCTCTTGGTGGCCGCTGGTCATTCGCAAGACATCGTGGGGCCGTCACTGGCTTCACCGTTGTCGTGCCAACTGCGCTGGTGTGCGGTCTCATTGTAATTTTTTTTTATTTTTAACTAGACAGTCATTGCCCCACTGACTGTCGCCATATGGAAAGGAAATATGCGAACTCGCAGCGTCCGAGACGGGGACTCAGCTGCGCCACCCGCAAGTTCGCTTGGTATATCACAGGAGATTTCAAAACCTATCACTTGCCAGATGATGCATAGGGATTGGTGGATTATGAAATTTGAATTCTCAAAACCCATTCAAACTTTCACTCGGGATATACTTTCTTCCCACATCGAAACCTCGAAATTTCACGGTTCTTCAGTCGATTTTCGTCAAAAAGAAAAAAACGTGAACCCTACCCTATGACGGACCTAAGTAAGGTCTGCTTTATCCGAATTTACTTGAGGTGGCTAGCTACTACGCCTAAAAGAAACACTACAGCTAATTAATCCAATAATATTACATGGCCACAACAAATTCTCAAAAGTATTTTTAAAATAAATTTCAACTCGTAACCATGCAAACCAGCGTAGAAGAAACTCTACTCGCACATGGTAGAGGCTAACTGAAGAATAGTGCTACATTGCAACAAATAAGCATATTCAGGATCTTTTTTCTCTGGACGAATAAGCATGTTCAGGATTATGGATGTAGGCACGGAGGTTACGATATGATCCAATAATTCAAATTAAACGGTACCTTGACAACCAATAAATTAGCAGCACGTTCGACACTGGATATGATTGAAGATAGCATTTTCACTCGTACATATTTTCTTTGTTTTTAAATATTTAACGCCGTTGACTTTTTTAAATATGTTTGACCATCCATCATTCAAAACATTTAAGTAATTATTAATTTTTTTCTATCATTTGATTCATTGTTAAATATACTTATATATATACATATAGTTTTATATATTTCACAAAAAATTTTAAATAAGACAAATGGTCGAACATATGCTAAAAAGTCAACGGTGTCGAATATTTAAAAACGGAGAGAGTATCTCATTATCCTTGGGGTTTGAACCGTAGGTTGGGTTGTCTAAAAGGAATATTCTGCGTATATCCAGTTGCCGGTTGGCTTGGTCCAATCCATCTCTCCAATTAAACATGGTCCGTTCCATCCCTCCAACCAAACAAAAATCAGATCCATCTCATCCTAAAAATATATGAATGGACCTAACCCATCTCACATCATCCTCAAACCAAACATATATTAGAAAAGATGGAAAGAATCACACAAGTCATTGAGAAGCAAGTGCAATTACCTAAAAAAAATAAAATCCAGATGAATAACACTTGCTGATATGATCATATACCAAAAAAAACTACAAAAAATATGAAAAACGTACCCGTCAAAATCCTTCAATAGTCTCTGTATCATTAATCGTGGTAGATAATGTGTTTCTTTTGTTCCATAGAAGTTTATGCCAACGAAATTCCCATCAAAATCAATCAGTGGTCCTCCAATACCGGCCTGGCAAAAAAAAAAAAAGCACATGAATAGATGAAATTTTCAATGACACGCATATGAAGCGATGAATTAAATTACTCATATTCTGATACAATTAATTGTTTACACCATGAAAGAAATCAACCCAATGTACCTTAGTGATTTTACAAGTGGAGATCATAAGCTCTCTGCAGTCAAGCTTGCTTTCCTCGTCAGACAATATCCCACTTGTAGCCATTAATTTGCCTGATTCAAAGATACGTCCTATAGCTACTACCTCCCTATGAGGTTCGATTTGCATCTGTTTGTCGAGTTCTGCTGTCCGAAGACAACAGAAACCCTTGACACTGACCACAGCAATATTGTAGCTCAAATTGCAATGCTGCAATTCGCCTACGGCGATTCGTTTATTTGGAAGGTACACTTTAATCTGCTAAGAAACACAATGTGAGAATTAAAGAGTATCTCAAATGCACAAGCAAAAGGAGTGTTTGTGATGCCAACCTTCAGGTTATCAGCAATCTTGTTTTCATCAGCAGATATTCTAACCAAACTTGCTGAAGTCACAACTCTTGATGTGGATCCATTGAAGTCTATAAATACACCTGTGCAAGCAAAAAACCTTTCTTCTCCTACAAAGATCAGTGATTGCAATTATAGTCAGGTGATGGAATAGAGAAAACAGACAAATATGGAGAAGTAAAGATTGTTGAGATTATGGGCATATAAGGATTTAATTTATTCCATAAATAAATCATGACATTACAGATGAAAACTAGCATGAACGCATCATTAGATCTACACATGTAAACTACGCAGAATAACATGAACAGATCAAATATGCGCAACATATTGAACACGTACCGAGGTGACGAAAAGACCGGCTGCTTGGTCGAAACTTTTCGCAGGTGTCTACGAAGGCACGAAACACGCGAGCGAAGAGGAAGGCGAGCCGTCGCGAACGAACAGGGAGCAGTCGCGCGAAGCGCTTCCCAAAAACCTTATTGCCGCCTTCTCCCGGTGCAGGACGTCAAAGGCAGAGGTTCCGGAGACCTGCTCTCCCGATCGCTGGTGCACGCCGGCGAGCGGGATGGAGTAGTCTACGAGCGACGGCGCAGTACAGAGTAGGAGGCAAACCCTAGATTGATTTTCGCATATATTGCGTGAAGACGGCGGGTCGGTTTATATAGAGAAGGGTCGCTTGATCAGGGCGCCCGCACGATCTCTACTGCGCGTAACCGAACCGGATAAGTCGCGCGTAACTTATCCGGACTCCACGCCGTTTGCACGCACCGGATTTTTCGGAACGTTTCCAAAACAAAACGAATCCGAATTTGCAGCAAAACAAAACTGCAAAAGGAGGCTGCATCTGCGCAAGGGTGAGGAGCCAATTTTTCGGACCATTCGACGCGTACGTCGTGCACGCGCGCCGCCTGCCCTGCCCTGCCCTGCCAGGCCAGGCCAGGCCAGGCCAGGCCAGGCGAGCGAGCGCGCGCGTGTTTCCCCTCTTCTCTCCACCACACATGCTTCAAGTGGCTAGGAGGGCATCCTCCCTTTTAAGGAGGTCCCCCTCTCCTAGAATAAGCAAGGTGGTACTAAACTCCACATGCATGCCATCCCATGAGGTGGGCTTTTGTGATTTTCCAAAGAATTAATCTTCGAGTGGGCTAAGGCCCATTCATTAATTCCAACAATCCCCCACCAAATCTCAAAATCCCACTGAGATTTGCCTTTTCCAATGTACTGTTTATATACCAGCGGTTCGATAGAGACCAATTAAGGTTGAACATCCACCTAGAACTCCAAGCTACACTTACTCACAACTTGAACAATGGACTACGCCTTGAATTGCAAGTCTTGTGCAAGCAAGTTTCACTCAAAGTCTTATCTGGTACTAGACCGTCTGTAGACTACCCCTCGGGTGGAGCGTATAAGTCATACTCCTAGGTCTTTAGTAAGCTTCCTAGAAGATTCACCCAAAATCTTCATAGACTGCGACCAACAGTCAAGCTCACAAAGGTGAGTTCCTTCAAGAATGCTCTGCAGGACAACATCTTTGCTAATTAAAGCCAACAGAACTCATTAAGGCATAGCCAACCTGCCTTGCAGCTCACAAGAGTATATGCATCTTCACTTGGATAGGGTATATATATTTGTACTCTCCTCTAGTTTATTAATGGTTTGTTCTTCCCAGGATCTAATTCACGGGATCTCCGATCACATAGACTGGGTTACCACCATAGTATAACTCACATGGGTCTCAAACCCATCTCCTTCGATGCATTGTCTATCACATTTCGTGATAGTCCCTTCGTGAAGGGATCTGCCAGGTTTCTCGCTGTTTGGATGTAATCCAACGTTATAACTCCGGAGTTTCTTAATTTCCTGACAGACTTCAATCGTCTTTTCACATGTCTAGACGATTTCATATTATCCTTAGAACTATTCACTTTGACAATTACCGTTTGATTGTCACAGTTCATAAGGATAGCCGGCACCGGTTTTTCAACAACAGGCAGATCCATTAATAGATCACGCAGCCATTCTGCCTCAACAGTAGCAGTATCCAGTGCCGTTAGTTCTGCTTCCATGGTTGACCTCGTCAAAATTGTCTGTTTGCAAGACCTCCATGAAACAGCACCACCACCCAGTGTGAAAACATATCCACTAGTGGCTTTGATCTCATCCACATCAGAGATCCAGTTAGAATCACTATAACCCTCCAGTACCGCAGGATACCCAGTATAGTGAAGTCCCAATTCCATAGTACCTTTCAGATAGCGCATTACTCGCTCAAGCGCACGCCAGTGATCATCTCCCGGATTAGAAGTAAATCGGCTCAACTTGCTCACAGCAAAGGAGATATCAGGCCTAGTTGCACTAGCCAGGTACATCAACGAGCCAATGATTTGGGAGTATTCCAGTTGATTCCTAGCAATTCTCTTGTTCTTGCGAAGCAACAAGCTAGGATCATAAGGTGTTGGAGAAGGCTTACTATCAATGTAGCCAAAGCGATTCAAGATCTTCTCCACATAATGGGACTGCAAGAGAGTAATCCCATTCTCACCTCTAATTAGCTTAATGTTTAAGATAACATCAGCTACTCCCAAATCTTTCATATCAAAATTTTGAGACAAGAATGATTTAACCACATTTATCACCTCAAGGTTTGTCCCAAATATCAGTATGTCGTCAACATACAAGCACAAAATAACTCCCTCACCCCCACCATGGCGATAGTACACACATTTATCTGCCTCATTGACTGCAAAGCCTGCAGATGTCAATGTTTTGTCAAATTTCTCATGCCATTGCTTAGGAGCTTGTTTCAGACCATACAAAGACTTCAACAATTTGCACACTTTGCCTTCTTGACCTTCAACTACAAACCCATCAGGTTGATCCATATAGATCTCCTCATCCAGCTCTCCATTAAGAAAAGCTGTCTTAACGTCCATTTGATGAACGAGAAGACCATGTGAGGCTGCTAGGGAAAGTAGCACACGAATTGTGGTCAATCTAGCAACAGGTGAGTAAGTGTCAAAGAAATCTTCGCCTTCTTTCTGAGTATAGCCCTTAGCAACAAGCCGAGCCTTGTACTTTTCAATAGTACCGTCAGGCCTAAGCTTCTTCTTGAACACCCACTTGCACCCCACAGGTTTACACCCATAGGGTCGCTCTGTCACCTCCCAAGTCCCGTTAGCGATAATGGAATCCATTTCACTACGGACAGCCTACTTCCAGTAGTCTGCATTAGGAGATGCATATGCTTCTGAAATTGACTTAGGAGTGTCATCCACGAGGTACACAGTGAAATCATCACCAAAAGACTTAGCCGTCCTTTGTCTCTTACTCCTTCGAGGAGCTTCACTGACATCCTCCTCAGAGACAAGTTCATGTGTATGTTCAGTTTGTTCTGGTGGTGTGATTGAACTGGGAATTATTTCAGAGGGTTGGTTCGAACCACTATGTGTATCCTTCATTGGAAAAAAGCTCTCAAAGAAGGTAGCATCACGAGACTCCATAATTGTACCAACATGCATGTCCGGTACCTCGGATTTAACTATTAAAAATCTATAGGCAATGCTATGATGAGCATATCCCAGAAAAACACAGTCCACAGTCTTAGGTCCAAGTTTGCGCTTCTTCGTTATTGGTACATTGACTTTCGCCAAGCACCCCCATGTGCGCAAATAAGAAAGTGATGGTTTTCTACCAATCCATATCTCATATGGTGTTTTGTCCTTATTTCTGTTAGGAACTCTGTTTAACACATGATTTGAGGTCAACAATGCCTCCCCCCACCATGCCTTAGGCAGTCCCGCGGTGTCCAACATGGCATTCACCAAGTCAGTCAGTGTGCGGTTCTTCCTTTCAGCAATCCCATTAGACTCGGGAGAATAGGGAGGCGTCCTCTCATGTATGATGCCATGTTCCTCACAGAATAAGTCAAACTCGTTCGAGAAAAACTCTCCACCACGATCAGACCTAAGCCTTTTTATCTTTCTGTCAAGTTGATTTTCAACTTCTGCCTTATAAATTTTAAAATAGTCTAGAGCCTCGTCTTTCGTTTTCAACAAGTACACATAGCAAAATCTAGTAGCATCATCAATCAATGTCATGAAATATCGTTTTCCACCCTTCGTCAACACCCCATTCATTTCACAAAGATCTGAATGTAGGAGTTCTAGTGGTGCCAAGTTTCTCTCCTCGGCAGCCTTGTGAGGCTTGCGAGGTTGCTTCGATTGCACACAACTATGGCACTTAGAACCTTTGACAATGGAAAACTTAGGAATTAAACACATGCTGGAAAGCCGAGACATCAAGCCAAAATTAATATGACATAAACGTGAATGCCAAACATTAGCCTCATCATCCACACTGCCACAAATATGGTTCACAGACTTATTGCAGAAATCAGAAAGGGAAAAGCGGAACAGGCCTCCGCACTCATAACCTTTACCAATAAAATATCCATGTTTAGACACGACTACTTTATTAGACTCAAAAACCAACTTAAATCCGTCTCTAGTCAGACGGGAGCCACTAACAAGATTCCTGTCGATAGAAGGGACATGCTGCACGTTCTTCAGCTGCACGATCTTTCCCGAAGTAAACTTCAGATCTACCGTGCCAACACCATGAACAGAAGCATGTGACCCATTCCCCATTAGGACGGTGGAACCCCGTGCGACCTGATAAGAAGAAAACAATGAGATGTCAGCACAAACATGTACATTGGCCCCAGTATCAACCCACCAATTAGTAGATTGATTAACTGAAAAAACAGTAGGTAAATTACCATACCCGCTTCCATCTCCAGTGTTGCCAATGGTCACATTAGCAGACTTAGAAGTCTGCCCTGCAGGTGCCTTCATCCCCTTGCGTTGTGGACACTTCCTAGCCAGATGACCAACTTGGCCACACACAAAGCAAGTCCTCTCATCCTGATTAGGATTGTTGTTGTTCTTCTTCTGCTTCTTGAAGTTGGTGGTCTGCTGAGCTTTGTATTTCCCCTTGCTCTTGTTCTGGGCCTTGTGCACAACATTGGCACTGGACTGCCCACCATCGCCCTTAGACGCGGCATCTTTTTCCCGAGCTTTCTCCTCAACATCAAGAGACGCAATCAACCCCTCAACGGAGTATTCCTGTCTCTTGTGTTTGAGTGCAGTACCGAAACTCCTCCAAGATGGAGGAAGTTTTGCAATAATGCACCCGGCCACAAATTTGTCGGGTAAGACACACTTAAGGAGTTCGAGTTCCTTAGCCATGGTTTGTATCTCATGAGCCTGTTCGACTACAGAACGGTTGTCAGCCATTTTGTAGTCATGAAACTGCTCCATGATATACAGATCATTGCTAGCATCAGTAGCACCGAATTTAGTATTCAGTGCATCCCACAACTCCTTAGCGTCGGTCATATGCATATACACCTCGACCAGACGATCGCCAAGAACGCTAAGAATGCATCCCACAAAGAGAGTAGTGGCTTCCTCGAATTGCTTCTGCTGTTCAGCAGTAAGAACTCCTTCAGGTTTGCCAGTACTCACCCAGAAGCATTTCATAGCTGTCAGCCACAGAGTGACCCTGATCTGCCATCTCTTAAAATGCACACCGGTGAATTTATCCGGCCTCAGTGCATCGGCAAAACCAGCCATAGTAAAATCACAGTGCCTATAATAAGGTTTTTGGATTGTTGAGATTATGGGCATATAAGGATTTAATTTATTCCATAAATAAATCATGACATTACAGATGAAAACTAGCATGAACGCATCATTAGATCTACACATGTAAACTACGCAGAATAACATGAACAGATCAAATATGCGCAACATATTGAACACGTACCGAGGTGACGAAAAGACCGGCTGCTTGGTCGAAACTTTTCGCAGGTGTCTACGAAGGCACGAAACACGCGAGCGAAGAGGAAGGCGAGCCGTCGCGAACGAACAGGGAGCAGTCGCGCGAAGCGCTTCCCAAAAACCTTATTGCCGCCTTCTCCCGGTGCAGGACGTCAAAGGCAGAGGTTCCGGAGACCTGCTCTCCCGATCGCTGGTGCACGCCGGCGAGCGGGATGGAGTAGTCTACGAGCGACGGCGCAGTACAGAGTAGGAGGCAAACCCTAGATTGATTTTCGCATATATTGCGTGAAGACGGCGGGTCGGTTTATATAGAGAAGGGTCGCTTGATCAGGGCGCCCGCACGATCTCTACTGCGCGTAACCGAACCGGATAAGTCGCGCGTAACTTATCCGGACTCCACGCCGTTTGCACGCACCGGATTTTTCGGAACGTTTCCAAAACAAAACGAATCCGAATTTGCAGCAAAACAAAACTGCAAAAGGAGGCTGCATCTGCGCAAGGGTGAGGAGCCAATTTTTCGGACCATTCGACGCGTACGTCGTGCACGCGCGCCGCCTGCCTTGCCAGGCCAGGCGAGCGAGCGCGCGCGTTTCCCCTCTTCTCTCCACCACACATGCTTCAAGTGGCTAGGAGGGCATCCTCCCTTTTAAGGAGGTCCCCCTCTCCTAGAATAAGCAAGGTGGTACTAAACTCCACATGCATGCCATCCCATGAGGTGGGCTTTTGTGATTTTCCAAAGAATTAATCTTCGAGTGGGCTAAGGCCCATTCATTAATTCCAACAAAGATCATATAACATTGTAATCTCACCTTTGAACGAAGCAAGTGAGACAACACTTTGGGATGTATTTAAAGCAACCTTTTTACTCAGTTTGCACCATGTATCTTCAGCAAATTCCTCTTCAAAAGTATTTTTCAAGCGCATACCCCCTGGTTAAAAAAACATAAAACTACAGTTGAGTTTGCTAGAAAATACCGTCAAAATGTGCAACAAAAGTAACCAGCAAAAGTGAAAGCAATGACTCACCCCAAAACCTGATTGGCATGGGATAATTACGAGACTTTAGATCCTTTTTCAAAAGCTGCGTGAATTCTGGTGCAACAAGGTGAAGAGTAAATAATGATCATGTGATACTAATAGCTAGCAAAACTGAAAGCAATGACTGACCATCATCTGGCAAGGGCTTAATAAGTTCAGGAAACAATTCCTCCTCCCAGAAATCTGGTGCAACAAGGTGAAGCGATTAATTTACATGTTCTGGTAGTGATCAATAAGCAGCATTATAACATGCTGAGAGCTTGCATGATAATTTGGTAACAATCAGTTAGAAATAACCTAGCTCGATTCACCTTCTGAATCACTTGTAGAATATTCAGGAAGCTTCTGAGTCTCACTTTCATTCTCTTCATCTGAAGTACCTAAAATAAAATTTAAAAAATAAGCAAGAAAAACGAACAAAACTCAAAACAAGCAATGAGAGATTAATGACCCTGCATTAGAAATGACTAATAAGTAATAACATTATAATACGAGGACAGTTTGCATGATCATTTAATAACAGTTAGAACTTGATACTTGATTGGCTCATCTTGGTTCACCTTCTGAAAAGCTTGTGATGGATACGGTTTGCTCCTGGTTCCTTTTTTTTGCCACTCCTCTTGAGGTACCTAAAGCGGGAAAACAAATGAAATGAATGAACATAATTAAAACAACGCAATGCTCTATCCAGGGCATCAACAGTAGATTACAAACCTTACATGTTATTATAGTGATTATACTATCTACCCTGTTCCACAAATATGGAGTGCATTTATTTTATATTATTATTGAAAAACTAGCATATTGCCCGTTTGCTGCAATGGATTTTCTTTTTTAAAGAATAACTTATTGTACCGTATATATTTTAAAGCCCATAAAAATGTTGTTTCTATTGTCCAACATATTATCATCATGCTACTTTTTCTGTTACTTTATAGATGAAAAATTCCATAATATTCGATTGTCATATTTTTCTTCTGGCGGGGTCTGTGGCCTGTGGGGTATAGGAGACAGGAAATTCTTTGTCTCACTCTTTGTGGTCCCGAATGGTAGTTGGATGGTGGTGGTGGTAAATTCACTACCACCACTACCATCTTTCATATTAGTACATAGATATATAGATACATGGCATATTTCATACTGCAAAACAAGATAAGCATCTTATCTACTATACCCCTAACAAATATATCCAATTTATGAGCAGAGGGAACACCACAAAGTTAAGCTTTACCCACAGGAGAGGAAACTACAACCAAGGATTAATAATATACATTAATGAAGATAGATTTCTGACAATAAACAATTTAGCAGTTTCAAAGAGTGATTGTGCTTCAACTGATGAACTCACCAACAAAATTGTTGTGTATCATCTTAGATCTGCATCTTTCAATTATGCTTGTGCATTCATCGTCGATTTCAACCCTGCAGCAGAATGTAGTATACTCTTATAGTGCAAATACACAGAGCTGCTGATCCCCAAAAAGAATGGATTGCATATAGCTAATCAAAAATACTATCAAGATTAACACTTCCATCCATAAGAAGCATATTATGGAAATCAGCTATAGGGCGTGCAAAACATAGTAATATATTGCTTTATCTAGCAGAGTTATAATAACATAGTACTATGTGCAAAACCAAATCGCTATTATGTGATAGGCTGTCAAATAAAAATGAAAAAGGTCCACTTTAATCCCTCGAACTACTATTTTGCGGGAGCACTTAACCCCCTAAACTATTTCTAGCTCAATCTGGCTTGGCAAGTGTTTGACTGTTTGGAGGATCTGAATGAAAGTACGAGGCATACCAGAGTGTGCAAGATCGCACCAAGCTTCGGTAAATTTTGTTCCTTGGTAGGAATGGAGTCCTCTCCTCCGAAAAAAAGTTCATGCCAACAAAGTTCCCATCCAAATCAATGAGTGGTCCTCCAGCCATATCCTGGAAGAAAATATACTGTCACACTGAGCTAAGATAAGCACAAAAATAAAACCATATTGAATGAAAAAACTACATGAAGAGAATGAAATGTTTAAGGCCCCAAACGATATAGTACAGTGTATGTAGTGAACTAGTGATAAATTCTGCTACTCATATCATGAGACAATTATTAATTTCCACAATACCGAGAAGAAAGAAGAGATATCAGCAGTGCACCTTAGTGATTTTACATGTGGAGATCATAAGGTGTTCAGGATAATCTGTTGGCCCATCAGTCACTATCCCAGATAACGCCATCAATTTGCCTGAGTTGAAGGAACGCCCTACAGCTACTACCTTACTTTGGGACCCAAATCGCACTTCGTGATCAAAAGACGCAGCTCGCAAACCAGGTAAATATTTGATCACCACAACAGCAATATTGTAGTTTAAGTCAAAGTGTCCCATCCACCCGATGACACGTTGCTTATTTGGAAGCAGAACTCGAATCTGCAGTGATAATGCAAGCAACACTGCAGAATTATTATCATATCTTAAACAGGTAAGTAACAGAGTGCAGAGAAAATTAGGGGTACCAACATCCAAAAACGGATTGATCTTGCTGTCATCATCAAAACATCTAATCACATTTGCTGAAGTTAGAATACTTGTAGTTACTTCATCTTTGTTTCTGACAACTATGCCTGTGCCTGAAAAATGCGTCTGATCTCCTGCACAAGATAATATCTTCAATGTTTAGAACTGATGATCAGATACATATATGGAAAACTAATTTGTATAGGCACTCACCATTGAATGAAGCCACTGAGACAACAGTTTCAGATAAGTTTGAAATGACTTCTTGACTGAGTCCACTCTAGGCACCTTCACTATAATCAATTAAGCTACCAGATTCCTCTTCAAAAGCAACACATTTAGAGCTGTGTAAATACATGTAAGAAATGGCGGAAGTGAATCAACATTCAAGAACGGACTCACCTTTCTTTCTACTATTTGTGCAAGTTTTCTTCTCTTCATTTGAGCTCGAGCAATTGCCCCTTCGTTTAGACATCTTTCCAACCTTGGATCAGAAAGGACAAGACCCAAATACTGAGTAAACATTACCATGAAAGTTCGATCTTTAATTTGTTTTTGTTTTTTTTTCTTTTGGCAGAAGCAACTAGCTAGTCAAATCACAAACTGATTTTCTGGCACATTACGTATATAGCTAGGTACACGTAAAACTGAGTAGGGCCAGACCAGCTAGTAATACCCAGTAAGCTTTGAACATAATTAAGGTGTCATATAAATGATCTTCGCAAGCAAAAGAGGAAAAAAATCCTTACTGCAAATGAATCTATAGACTAATATAATGCCATTTTAACTGGAGCTGCATGATACCTGATTCACAATAGAAGAAGCTACCAAAGGTTAACTGAGCAACGATGAAAGCAAAGTTCAGATCAATTATTTATCTAAGATAAATAACGTCGGCTTGTCATGGTAATTTACAAATTTGCAGTAGATAATTTTTTTAAAAAAAGAAAAGCAAGTAAACACCAGTAATATCCAACCAGCTCTATAACCATGAAGAACCAATAGACAGGGAATAGTGGAGAACCATGTGTGAGAGATGAATCAATTCACAGAAGAAGCCCCAATTGCTCGGGGTTCAACTATATATCTTTCCCGCCCAATGACAAAAACTAATAGGTCAAGTAGCTAGTACATGACGAGCCTAGAACAAAAATTATGAAAGATAAGATACATACTAATTATCTAATTATTGACTAATATAGTATAAGTTAACATGGTATAATTTAGCTAGTATTGAATAATTTACTCGGGGGCCTTGGGACCCGGTAACGTAGTAAGCATAACGTAGACACGCCACCGGCAAATGCTACTGCTAGCTTGCCTTACACAGATCACAGACAGGGCAAGCAAGAACACAATTTGTAATTTTTGCTCAACTAAGAACACAATTTGGAAAAAGAAGCGCGCATTATAGGTCACCTTATTGCTGCCTAGTCACCCAAGTTAGTAGCCGACGCAGGCGCCGGAGTACAAGGCAAAGCGACGGTCGCCGGAGACGCGAGCAACACGAGGGGGCTGGGAGGCGGTGACGCCGGCCGCGCCGGATGCGCGCGTCTGGTGGCCGTCGCCGCCGGCGACGGTGAGGGAGGAAACCCTAAAGTAGACTAGGGAAGAGGAGAAGGGGGAGGCGGTGCGCTTGCAATTTTCGCGCGGATGGGAAACCAACAGACTTGGGCTATATAGTAGTAGTTGCCGCGCCGGGGAAATTGATTAGGCCCTTGTTTGGTTGGGCCGGGTTGAGGCTGGATTGCGGCCGGATCCGCGGGGACCAGACCAGCCCAACCCAGCCCAGCCAGGACGTATTTTTAAAAATTAAATCCATGCCACTGCAAATGTGCTGATTCAGAAAAATACAACTACTATTTGTGATATCTATTGCGTACCATTGACCATGCCATCGCCATCACATTTTCTGTTATAATATAAATTAAAATACCCCTACATATGAGACTTACATGTTAGCTCCATCTTCCTCCTCCACCCTCGCCTCTTCTCTTTTCAACATCTCGCTCTACATCTCCCCCGGTGGATAGAGGATGCGGTGGCAGGCGGCCCATGGGTGCGCAATGCAAGTGGCTAAAGGGCAAGGTAGCGGTGACCTCATCGACGATGGAATTAGAGGTTGTGGAAGCTGCATCGTCAGGACGGGAGCCCTCACGCGAGCTCACCAATGGCATCACACATGGAAGCTGACAGATGAGGGAGACAACATGTTGCCTACATGCATGGTGTGGTGGTCTGTCCGGTGTACCAGAGCCATCGGCGGGGTGGTTAAGGCAGCAACGGCGCACAGTCGACATAGAGGGGTGGCGTGGCGGCGAGGTTCGGTGGATGGGGGAGGAAGAGGCAATGGTGAGAAAATAGATCTCCCCTCTCTATTTCCTCACTCAGGCTGCAACGCATGAACATCTCATCCTCTCCGTCGGGAGGTCACCGACAGCTTCTCACTTAGGCGGATTGCGCGCGTTGGTGTTGTTGTTGCTGCTACTCCTGGTGGTAGTTGGCGGCGGTGCCAGAGACGGTTGTTGCTGCTACTGGTGGTGATTGGTGTCGATGTCGGAGACGGAGAAGCCAAGTAGGTTGACGGATCTAACGAGGCAATGAAAGAAAACGTGACGGCAATGGCATGTTTCAATCTTACAAAATTCCAGTGGCACGCAACAGATATCACGAATAATGGTGGTATTTTTCTGAATCAGCATACTTAAAGTGGCATGGATCTAATTAACCATTTTTCCCCTTCTCAACCTATTGACCTGTTTATTCACAGTAAAGGGAAGAGAAGAAGAGGGCCACGCATGTCACGCACGCTCCCACGGCCCATGGCCACCAACCACTCCATCGTATCTCCTCTCTCTATATATATCTTATCCATTTCTTTCTCTCCGTCTTCACCCGTGCACGTGTGCAAGCGAATGAGGAAGCGATGACGCTGTCGCCTCCCTCTAGCGATGGTGGAGGCCCTCTGACAAACCCCCTTCTCTTTACAGCAAGCTTCCTCCGATGGAGAAGAGGGACGGAATTGAGCAACCTTCTTCCAGCGACGAAAGCCTCTATTTGGCAAGCCTCCTCTTTCTTCCTCCAGCAACCAAGTTAGCTCTATCTCCACCATCATCTCCAGCCTCACCAGCGCCAAAAGGTGTCAATGTTCCAGAGCGGCCTCCTTCCCCTCCTATTCGCCTTACTTTGCCCTCATCGATATCATCAGCCCACAACCCGCTGCTGACCTCGCGGCTCTAATGGCGTCACCGCCACCTCACCAACCGCCCTTGTCCGCCACACATCGTCAAATTGTTGCCTCCTAGGCCATCCCTCTAAGCTTGATCCCCCACTTCCCCTTTCCATAGCCACCCTCCTCCACCCCAGTCCCGAAAACCTAACCCTAACCCGACACTTGTTATAACGTAGTTGGGAGCACGTGCGTGAATTCATCTGCTAGTGTGTATGCGCAAATTAGTAGTCCTGGAGAAGAAGTCTCAACTCGCTCCACGTCATGTTTCTTGACCCAACTTGTTTGGTACGCTCGCTGTTGTGCGATTGAGTGGCTTGTCTCGACTCGCGACGCAAGTCCTCACCCCGGTATGCAGTCTTCAAATAGTATTGGCTTCGTACTTGCTATCATCTTCTACTTAAACCGTAGTCAGAATTTAAATTTTGATACTTAGTTTTAAATTTAGTTTTAATATTTTTATTCAGAGTACTTTTAGATCGGCTAAGACTACACATGCATAAAGTTTTACCTATAATTATTACTTTTTCGTAATCAATATTAGTCTAACCAATAGAAGACTAATGCCTATAGCCGCATTTTCTACCCAAATGTGTGTAAAAGGCGTCTACGCATAGATAGGTGGTGTTTGAATCTTCTAAAGATAAATAAAGATTAAGTATTTCACGCAAAACGAGGTGGTAATAATATGTGATTAAATAAATTTTTAATTATTACGAACTTCAAAAATGGATTAATCTGATATTTTAGAACAACTTTCATATAGAAAGTTTTTGCACGAAACGCATCGTTTAACAGTTTGAAAAGCGTGCCACGATAATCCAAAATTTTATCCTCTCCTAGTATGAGAAACAAACAGGGTCTAAGCAATTAAAAATGATGTAAAATTTGTTTGAATATGAAAAATAAATTACTCAACCGATAGTTAGAAAGTACTTAAAAAAATAATACTCTCTATGTGGATTTGTAATTAAAATTCCTTTCACATATAGTATTTTAATAATTTTTAATTAAATATTATTGAAGAATTAAAGTAATGATGATGAAACATTTGCATTGACATTTGTATGGGTCCGCATCGGATCCTCCTTGTTACGCGCCAAACCACCGAGTCAATGCAGGCATGTACTCACATATGGACTAGGGAGAATGCACATGCTTATGATCTAACGAGGACTAGGGAGTATATATATATATATATATATTAGCTCTATTATACACCCCTCCCTTAGAATAACTATTCTACACCCCCCTCCCACCTCTCAGGCCCAGCCCATCCCTCCCTCTCTCCCTCCCGGGCACACCCTCCTCTCCCTCCGATCCCCCTCCCCCCTCGCGCGCCCTCCTCTCCCTCCCGATTGCTCCCACCTCTCCTCCTCCCCTCCCCTCCCCCTTCTCTCTTCCCTCCCTCCCGTATTCCCTCCGATTCCTCTCTGCCCCTTCTCTCTTCCCTCCCCCTCTCGATCTCTCTCTGCCGACTCTTTTCTCTCCCTCCCATCTCTCATTTTTTCTTCTATTCTTTTCCTTTTTTAGAAAAATTAAAAATAAATTGGTGAAACCAAGACTTGAGCCCATGATCTTATAGTTCATGGCAAGCTCTCTTAACCAATTCATTGCATGATGTTATATGAATAGAAAACATTGTTTGCATATTTTATATGTCTGTTTAAATTGTGTGAGAACAAATCGGTTATGTACCTGTAACAATCATACCTTGTTACTATGATTCGACAGTAACATTATCTCAGAAGGGTAGTAACATCATATGTTACTGCAAAAATATATAGGTTGTTACTGTAAATTTTATAGGTTGTTACTGCACTTTTGGCAGTAACAATATGATAAAATTTGCAGTAACAGAGAACATGCATAGTAACAGTGGCCCTATAGAAGTAATGTTTTTTAGATCTAGAGTATTTTAAATCTCAATCTTTAAAGATTACTAACGTACACGTCATATCTTATTTTTCTAACCCATTTGCATCATGGCGTTCGTAAAAAAAGTGCTTAATGAAACTAGAACCATCATAACTATTTTTTAACGTTGTTACTGCGAAAAGCAGATGTGTTACTGCATATTGGCCATCGTGTTACTACGCTGTTCCAGTGAGACGAGAACTAAAAAAAGAGGTAAATCTCAATCTTTAGAGAGCAATATCTCTCACATCATATCTTGTATTTCCAATCCGTTTGCACCATGATGTTCATAAAAAAACGCTTAACGAAACTAGATCCATCATGGCTACTTTTTGACGTTGTTACTGTAATAATGTTGTCTTGTTACTGTACGATGACCGTCCTGTTACTGCACGATTCCTGCAAGACGAGAGCAGAAAAGTGGTGAGCGGGGGAGGGAGTGATATATATATATATATATATAGACACACACACAGTGAATCTATTCTACACCCCTCCCCTAGAATAACTATTCTACACCCCCTCCTCCCATGGGTCAAACCCACCTCCCCCACCCTCTATATAGTGAATCTGTATGTATGTATATATATATATACATACAGATTCATTATATATATATGTATATATATGTATATATATATATATATGTATATATATGTATATATATATGTATATGTATATATATATGTATATGTATATATATATGTATATATACAATGAATCTATTCTACACCCTCTTCTCCCATGGGTCAAACCCACCTCCCCCACCCTCCCTAGGGCCCCTCCTCCCTTCACACACACACACTCTCTCTCTCTCTCTCTCTCTCTCTCTCTATATATATATATATATATATATATATATATATATATATATATATATATATATATATATATATATATATCTTAACATAAAGTATTTATATTTTAGAGCAAAGAAGTAGAAATTAATATACTAATATCTCTAGGTGGGTGAGTTCACTAATTCCAACCACGAGGACCTGATCAGATCAAACAAACAGAAACAAAGCATGTACGTACTCCCTCGCTTCTTAAATATAACGATTTTTACATGATTTAACGGAGATTAAGATTGATAAAAAAAAACTTTAATGCCCCTCGATAAATAAGAGATTAGGTGAGGATGAAAAGATACGTGACCATAAGCGAAAATTTAATTAAAAATTGGTTGATGAGATAAATAATATTATAAATGTTGTTTAGATTCATAGCTACATATGTTTATTTTTTGAGACCAACAGACTACAAGTTTTTCTATATTCTTGGAACAAGGAGGGAGTAGCTTTCGTGGCTTCCATATGTAGCTAGCTCAATCAACGACTATTTCACACCTGCCGGCCATGCCGGCCGGGCATGGCTAGATACTCTGAACAGAAGAAGATGTCGCCATTATCCAATGTTGCCCGGTCCATACTATTAACCTGATCAAACACAGTGGAGGGGATCGTACTGAGCTTCCATTGTCTATTTGTCTTGATTTCTGGATTGATTCTCGCAGATCACAGGGCAGATCCCGATAATAACAATAATAATAAAAAAAAAGTAAAGTGTCCTGGTAGTTCTCCTGCCGATTGATTCAACGAAAGAAAAAATGAACATCATGGGAATGGACTAATAAGTTACTGTACCGGTTATTGTTTGGAGGCGTTTGTCGTTAAAGGCCAAGGGTTTATGGTTCCGACGCCGGTCGGTTTTATGATAGGAAATTGATGTACGTAAGATAAACTTGTTACGATTTTGGTACGATCTAGTGTCATGCATGATAATTGATTGGCCATGGAAACATTGTGGACCCTATATTTGTTGCATGTATTAGAGATTAGAAGGCACCGTACACTAATAGTAAGATATTTATCGTATTTATAGCAGAGCTCTTTATGATATACTCCCTCCATTTTATATTATAATTCTTTCGATCTTTTTTTTTTCAAAACTCTTTAGGTTTGATAAGTTTATAAAGAAAACAACAACTATAATACTAAATTAGTTTCATTAAATTTAAAATTGAATATATTTTGATAATATATTTATTTTGTATGGAAAATATCACTATAATTTTCTACAAACTTGGTTAAAATTTAAAGAAGTTTGACTAAGAAAATAGTCAAACAACTTAATTATAATATAAAATGGAGGGAATATCTTTTTTTCAGGGCAGCTTGAAATTAGAGTTTTAGGGATGTTTTCGAATTGTTTTCAAGAAATTCAAAAACGAATTCCAACCACCAGCGAGATTTAGAAACCCAGGAAAATTCAATCCATTTTGATCCCTTGGCTATATGAAATTACAAAAGAAAAAAATATTGTTTTGGCGCTCTCGTGATCAATATTCATGTGTTCAGTTTTAGCATCAGGTTTATGGCGTGAAACGTTAAAGAGGTGAAATTTTCACTAGAATTCTATATCCAACGCTTGATATATAAAAGGGAATCTTATTTTTAGCAAGACAGCATATCGATTATGTAATGTTTTATTGTCAAATTATCTCTTGTTCATACACATAATATTCCACCAAAAATCAAGTTTAAATTTGACCTACACATTGAGAGAGAGAAAAATTAGGTATAAATAATACCATTACTATTCGTCTGCTGAATTTGTCCCTTTTAATATCTCAATATGTGAGTTGAGTTTGGACATAAAAATTTGTATAGTTGTATATATATTGCTGCATGATTGTCGTTAAATTTTTTTTAGAATTTTTCATAACTATTCGGATTGTTTTTAGACAAACGAGGGGATATTTCCTCAAGAGTTTAAAACAATTTTTCAGGTCACCACCAAATTTATATATATGGTCTTAGGCTGTGTTTGCAACCCCTTGTTCCCAACCCCTGTGTTTATATATGAAAGTTGCTTAAAAAACTTAAATTAATCTATTTTTAGAAAAAAATAGCTAATACTTAATTAATCACGCACTAATAGACCACTCTGTTTTCCGTGCGGAGGAAAAAAGTTCCCATCCATGACATGCGAACACAGCCTTAGAACACATTTTCATTTTGTATAGTCACTACAATATCGGATTTTTTTTGTTACGATGGATCTATCACTGCCATTTTTATGTGACAAAATCAAAATACTTATATATATATATGGTTTTGTACATACTAGTGGGCAATGTTAAGTCCTCAAATGTTTGCTATTTATTGAAATGAAAAAAAAAACAAGCAAGGAATAAGTAGTTTAGACAAATTGCTTACACAGATGTAGGGATGAAAACGGAGCGGATAGTTTCCGTCCGCTCCGGATAAAAACGAATACGGATACCTTTCGGATCGGATAATTCTCAGATAGTTCGGATACGAATACTGATATTTTTTCTCGGATACAGATACGAATATGGTATCAGGGTTTTCGTCGGATACGGATAATAATTCGGATATCCGGTGAACAGTGCTATTCGGATATCCGCATAAGCCACAAGACACACCACATTTCTTTATAACTCTATGACCTTCAATATACCTTTTTAGATTTTAATAGTAGTTCATCTCTTAACACTAGTCCATATTATTAATATTATTGAAAATTTCAAAAATATTTATAAATTATACTACATTTTATATAAAATGAGCTAATTATATATCTTGATATTTGTTTCTATTAGAAGTTGAATTAGTTTTCGTGTTCCGAGAAAAAATTGTTTCCGTATTCGTGTCCGATCATATTCGATTCTTATTCGTATTCGAGATAGTCCGTGTTCGAGCTATTCATATTCGTTTCCGTATTCGGCAAAAAATATGAAAACGAATATGGTATGATCAATATCCGTCCGTATCCGCTCCATTTTCATCCCTACACAGATGACATCCATTTAACATCAGCATGTGCATAACCCACAAGCATTAAGCTTAACTGCTTAAGCATATAACCAAGTGAGAACCAACAGAGGTAGCATAGGCATAGCTAGCTAAGCTGAGTGACACAGTGAGTAGTCAAATTAACCAAGCTCTTCGTCGCCATGGATCATCAGCTGGTAGCTCGAGGTCTCTTCAAGCCTCTCCTCCTCTTCGTCGCCGGCCTGATTGTTCTCTACGCGCTCCGCCGCCGCCGCCGCCACCGCCGGAGCAGCGGCCTGCGCCTCCCGCCGAGCCCGTTCGGGCTGCCCATCCTGGGCCACCTCCACCTGCTCGCGCCGCTGCCGCACCAGGCGCTCCACCGCCTCGCCGCGCGCCACGGCCCGCTCCTCTTCCTCCGCCTCGGCTCCGTCCCCTGCGTCGCCGCCTGCTCGCCGGACGCCGCCCGCGAGGTGCTCAAGACCCACGAGGCCGCGTTCCTCGACCGCCCCAAGCCCGCCGCCGTCCACCGCCTCACCTACGGCGGCCAGGACTTCTCCTTCTCGGCGTACGGGCCCTACTGGCGCTTCATGAAGCGCGCGTGCGTGCACGAGCTCCTCGCCGGACGAACGCTCGACCGGCTCCGCCACGTCCGCCGCGAGGAGGTGGCGCGCCTCGTCGGCTCGCTCCGCGCGAGCGCCGACGGCGGCGAGCGCGTCGACGTCGACGCCGCGCTCATGGGCCTCACCGGCGACATCGTCTCCCGCATGGTGATGGGCCGGCGGTGGACCGGCGACGACAACGACGCGGAGGAGATGCGGAGCGTGGTCGCCGAGACGGCGGAGCTCACCGGCACGTTCAACCTGCAGGACTACATCGGCGTCTTCAAGTACTGGGACGTGCAGGGGCTCGGCAAGCGCATCGATGCGGTGCACCGCAAGTTCGACGCCATGATGGAGCGGATACTGACGGCGAGGGAAGCCAAGAGGAAGCTACGCCGGCAAGCGGCGGCCGACGGCGAGGACGACGAGAAGGACCTCCTTGACATGCTCTTCGACATGCACGAAGACGAAGCCGCCGAGATGCGTCTCACCAGAGACAACATCAAGGCGTTCATGCTGGTAATACTAAACCTCAGATAGACCACGGTCGAACACCTCAAGAACTCCATGATCGATCGAGATCTCGTGTGCCAGGACATCTTCGCGGCGGGGACGGACACGACGACGATCACGCTGGAGTGGGCGCTGTCAGAGCTAATCAACAACCCGCCCGTCCTCCGCAAGCTACAGGCGGAGCTCGACGCGGTGGTCGGCGGCGCGCGGCTCGCCGACGAGTCGGACATCCCGAGCCTCCCGTACCTGCAGGCCGTGGCGAAGGAGACGCTGCGGCTGCACCCGACGGGCCCGCTCGTGGTGCGGCGCTCGCTGGAGCGCGCCACGGTGGCCGGCTACGACGTCCCGGCGGGCGCCACGGTGTTCGTGAACGTGTGGGCGATCGGCCGCGACGCGGCGTGGTGGCCGGAGCCGACGGCGTTCCGGCCGGAGAGGTTCGTCTCCGGCGGCGGCGGCGGCGGGACGGCGGCGGACGTGCGCGGGCAGCACTTCCACCTGCTGCCGTTCGGGTCGGGGCGGCGGATCTGCCCCGGCGCGTCGCTGGCGATGCTGGTGGTGCAGGCGGCGCTGGCCGCCATGGTGCAGTGCTTCGAGTGGAGCCCCGTCGGCGGCGCGCCGGTGGACATGGAGGAGGGGCCCGGGCTGACGCTGCCGCGGAAGCGCCCGCTCGTCTGCACCGTCTCGCCGCGGATACACCCGCTGCCGGCTGCTGCGTCAGCATCGCTGACGTGAGTTGGATTTTGGATGGACGGCTAGGATTTGTCCTGCCGCGCTATTAATCGCCCATATAAGGCAGATGCAGTTCACGGTTTCATCTAGTGCACTTGGATATATTCTCCGATATGAAAAAAAGAAGTGCAGTTGGGTTCTGCATTTGTGGGGAAACTATTTCTGTATTTCAGTCCGCGAAGGGATGTACTATCATTTTCTTACATGTCAGATATAAAATGATTCAGCCATATAAACAAATATTCACTGTCATTCAATTTTTTTATAGAAACAAGTTTCATGGGCTCATAAGACTTGCAAACTCATCCTTATTAATACATAACGCACAACTTACTTATATGAGTGCATTCAAAAAATTGGATCGGCATATTTGAGATTGATTAAGTCACAACTGACATCTCACTGTCGACGGATACGTCACCTACCACTAAAAAGATAATTAGTTATAAATACGAGCACGAAGCAAATATTCCCTCCGTCAAAAAAAATAATTCTAGATTTGAACCTAGACATATTAGGATTAGTTTTTTTTTCTAACGGAGGGAGTATAGTGCTACCATTTGTATCTGTGTGATTCACATATTTTCTTAATACCAGTCCAATCCTTTTTTATATATATTTTTCTGTGTTATTCTACTGGTCGGCTGCAGGCCTGCAGCCGCCGGCATTTCTCATTTTCTTCGAGAAAAAGAAAGCAGACGAGCACTAGTTAGTGGAACAGAGGAAGCAGAAAACACACGGGAGACAGGAGTGACAGACAATTGCAGGCCCAGCATTGGAATTTGGAAGCGAGGTGGGTTGGGCTAGACAGATGGGCCGAGACTCGCTGCCTGAGGTTTGTGGGCTATCGGCCCATAGTACATAATGGGCCATGAGCCATTGACGGCTGAAAGTTTCAACGTTGGGCTTTTTTGATGGCGTGACGCTGCCGCGGTCAAAGGGAAGAGAGAGAGAGAGAGAGAGAGAGAAGTGGTCAGGCTGCAGCACAGCGGGTACACCGGGAGGGCGGTGCTACCGATGCGTCTGTATCGTATCGGAGGCTTCCAAATCCAGGCGTTGCTTTCGCCTGCCGCCGCGCTCGTCACGTCTCGTCTCGTCTCATCTTTCTTCTCCCGTGAAAAGGTTTTAACAAATCCTACCTTTCCTCTTTTTTTTAGCACCTTTTTTTGAACAGTTAAATAATTCATTCTACAAAAAGGTTTCATATAAAAATTATTTTGAAAATCAAATAATTTTTTATATTAATAATAATTCTTGTGTTACATAATACTATTATAAGAGAATTTGAAGGGATGCGACACATTTTAATGCTAGCCGCTGCTATGAATATGTATATAAAATATTTTTAACATATGTTAAGATGTCTCTCATTTAACTAAAATAATGCTTTTAAGATAATAAAGAATGTACCTTACCAACATCAGCCTATTAAATTTTGATAGTTCTTATTATCATAAGAATGATATCAAATTTTGTAAAGACATTTAATGCTATCAAAATTAAGCAACATTAAAATTTACTAAAATTTAGCATTATGAGGCTGTTCAGATTGACGTTGTTTTCAACCATACCAATTTTATCAAAATTGTTAAAAAATGCCTATATTTAGTTTGTTGCCAAATTTTGATAAATACATAAGTAACCCTGCTAAAATTTTAAAACTATTTTTATTTTATCAAAAATTTAATATTATTAAAATTTGATAAGATTTGTTTTAATTATAATATGAATAACCCCTACGTTAAAATTGATAATAAAATGACCCTAAAGTAGCATGAGCACGTACTCCCCCCGCGTACTGATGTGCGTGCTGCGCCATGCGTCCTACTACTACTAGTCAGCTTTTCCCTTCTCTTCCGCACGTTCACACGACACGAGTACACGACACGGTAGCCGAGTTTTCTTTTACCAAAAGGCCACATGGTGTTGATCCTGTGTTTAGTACTCCACTAACTTCGGCCACGACGCCACGTGTTCGATTGCCTCAAGATAACCTCACTAAACTGAACACTAATTCACCTCTAACCTCCCAGGATGTTGGGAGAAGCTTCCTTTCCTTTACCCTGTGCGTGTCCCACTGTCCCGTACTATTACAAAACTACTACCACCTCCTTTTATAATAGGTGATGCTATTGACATTTAAATCGATATTTAACTATTCATCTTAATTTAAACTTTAATATGAATATACTAAAATGTAGTAAACAAATATATAGAATATAACACATTTTACTACCGTGAAGATCATATTTGTATTACTGTCACATCCTATATTAAATTTATTTATTTTGAAACGAAGAGAATAAATCATACTTAAAGATTGTTTAATAAAACATATAGCAATAAAATAAATAACAGTTATCTATTTTCTAAATAAGATAAATGATTCAACTTTATATCAAAAGTTTGCGACATTATCTAATAAAAGAGGGAAAACAATACAAAGATAATCGAAGAACCATAGCGAATAATCAGAACGATGGGAGAACCATATATGTATGTCTCCATCGTTCGACCAAATGCATATAACACATCATATGGCATATTAATAAAATAAGAATAATTTACAGGTAAAATTTATATATATTTGTTATAGACAATTTAAATATTAATGTTGACAAATAACTTCGATAAAAGTACTTTAAAATCAGTTTCAAATTTAATTTTTTGATGACAACTAGTATATAGGAAAAGAAGGGGAGCATAATAGCCACGCCTCGGCATGGCAGCAGCCACCCTCCCAGCATGGCTGTCCATCTGGCCAGAAAATTAAAGGCGCTTTAACCACACGATCCACGGTCCACGCTCGCTGCCTAAACACGGTAAAAGTCAACACCAAGACATTTTACCTCTATCCCCACGCCAACGCAATTCCGCCAACGTAGTGAGTATACATACTACCTCCGTCCAACAAAAAAAAAAAAAACTAGGTTTTCATGCCAACGTTGGACACGGAAACCAGGGTTTGTTTTTTTTTTACGAAGGGAGTAGGATATTGTACACCCTAAAAAGAAAAGAAAAAAAAATACTACTCCCTCCATCCCATAATATAGCAATCTAGAATTAGATGGGACACTTTATAGTACAACGAATCTGGACAGGAAGCATATTCGGATTCGTTGTACTATGAAGTGTTTCGTCCGGTACTATGTTGCTATATTATAGGATGGAGGGAGTATATGCTACTCCCTCCGTCCTAAAATATAAATCTTAATCCTAAAATATAATAGTGGTAAGTCAAACATTTTTAACTTTAACCATTAATAATAAAAAATTAAAAATATCAATCATGTAAAATTGATGGTACTAGATTTATCATTAAAGTATAGTAATATGTAAGTCTTTTATTTAAAACACCTTACTTTTATAGATATTGTTGGTCAAAGTAGTATCTCGAAGACTGTGTCAGAGTCCAAACATAATTATATTTTGAGACGGAGCGAGTACCAGTAGTAGTAAAAAAAAACAGTGAAAAAGATAGTGAAAAAACAGTAAATAAAAATCCCATCTCTCTCCCTGCTCTTCTTCTTCCTCCTTTGCCTTACTCGCGCCGAGAGAGGCCGAGAGCGAAGCGAAAGGCAAAGAGAAAGCAAAGCACATCGCGACGCCGACCTCTATAAATACCTCCACTATTCTCCCCCACCCCCCTCGCCTCCGGCCTCCTCCTCGTCCCCAACTTCGCCGCCGCCGTCTCTCGCCTCCGCGCCAATGCGCCACCATTCCCCGCCGCCGCCGCCGGACCTCTCCTCCGCCGTGGGCGAGATCCACCCGCCGCTCGCCTCCGCCGCGCGCTCTTCCTCCAACGGTGGAGGCAGCGGGGGCTCCTTCACCGCGCTGCTGGGGCTCCCGACCTCCCAGGCGATGGAGCTCCTTCTCCCCACCGCCGCCGCCTCCGCGCCGCCGCCCCCGCCCGCGTTCCCCGCCGACCCGCACCTCGTCGACCGCGCAGCCCGGTTCTCCGCGTTCGCCTCCCCTTCGCCGCCCTCCCCGCCGCCTCCTCCTCCCCCTCCCCCTTCCTCCTCCTCCAAGCGCAAGCCCGACCCCGCCTCCAAGGTATCTCGTCTCGTCGCGTCGCGCGCGCGCGCGCACTCCGCTGCTTTCCCCTCGGCTTCGTTTCTCATTTCGTCTCTCCTTTGGATTCCGCTGCAGGGGAAGGCGGCTGCGAAGAAGGGGAAGACGGCGGCGAGCGGCGAGGACGGTGGCGACGGCGGCGAGGACGAGAAGCCGGCGTACGTGCACGTGAGGGCGAGAAGAGGGCAAGCCACCGACAGCCACAGCCTCGCCGAGCGGGTGAGTTCGTGAGTTCGCCGTCGCCGGCAGGCTCGCCGCTAATCACCCACTTAATTAATCACTCGCTAAACCTTAAGCCAATCTCCTCGCGGGATTAGATTTGTGGGGTTTAATTTAATTTAACGAGCTGTGGATTAGGCAATGATTGGGTAATTAGGACGTGGCGACGTCGCTGTTTTAGTGCCTTTTCAGGGGTTGCTTTCCTCGTTAATTACTTAATTATTCGTTTCCTCTTGGATTTTTTATGACATTATTATTATCATTTTTTTTGGGTGATAAACAGGCGAGACGCGAGAAGATCAATGCGAGGATGGAGCTTCTCAAGGAGCTGGTCCCCGGATGCAGTAAGGTCAGCAATATCTTCTTGGCTTCGAATTTCTTCTACAAATTTATTTTGCTGAGTTTTTCTAAGAGATAAACTTCTTCCAGCTTTTGCCTTTGGAAGGATACAATTGCCAAGGAGTTTTGTGCAAAGTACACTCCTTTTTTTTCCTGCTTTCGGTGGTCTTTTTACTGCTTTTGATGGCTTAGTGAAATTTGTCATCGCATAGCTGTTTCTGTTCGGTCCAAAGGCACACTAGGAGTCCAACAAAGAGTAATGCCAAGCGTTGGTGTGCAGCAGCAGCAGCATGGTCAGTCTGCTTGGCTCATTTCTTGCAAATTCACAGCTCGATCCAATACAATGCGATCTTAAACGTGGTGGTGCGGAGTTTATCCTTCGCTCTGGCAAGGCATGGCGACATGTCCATATGGGCGAGTTGCATTGCACGACGGAGGAGAAGTGGGCGTGGTGGATAATATGGCATTTGGTTTGGTTCCCTTGGCCCTTGTGGATGATAAGGGAGACACCTTGATCCGGTGTACCTAACTCGAGAGGGTGAGGGGATGGGGTTTGGCCCTTGGTGGTGGGTTGTCTGGGCAGAATGTGGCAGCCACTTTAAAAGACACCGGAGGACGGTAGCTTAATGGAGGGGGGCTTGTATGTTTGGTCGCTGTAATGCTGCAATGAGTCCATCTCCATATCTCCATCTCTCTCTCTCTCACTTTGGAATGTTGCTATCCCTATTGCACACGCAATAATGTGTGCTTATGGGTTGGCATCTCTGGGTGTTGGATTGTGGAAGTAAGGCTGTGAGGGTAGTTTACCATTGGGGAGTATTGGTTGGTCTTCATTAACTATGAATTCATGTGGAAGTGATTAGCCTGTTGTATTGGTGCGGTAGTTTGACTATTATTTTTACTGAAAGGACAGCAGCCTTTGGGCTGGAGGTGTCCATCACTGTGAATGATTGTATTGGTCAATCCGCTGTGGGATTTATGAGGGCCATTGTCTTAAACAAACCAGTACATTACTGCCAATATAAGCTGGTGGTTTTGTTGTATATGCTTAGAGCTTCTCTAACTAATTAACTTAACAGTCGTAAACAGGCCTATTTTAAGATCACATTTCAAACTTTGAAAAAAATGAAGAGTAGTACTATGCACCAACTTCTGCACTTGGATTCTGCAACCAAACTGCTGCTGCTATTTTGTTTCATGTTCTTGTTTTATAGTGGTAGCTCCATTCTTTATATCCAAAACTGAGGTTAAACTTTATGTGGTTTTGTCATAGTTTTGAATTGTTTTTTTTTTCCATCATGAGATTCATTGTTTTATTGTAGTAACTCAGGAAAAGTAATTACTTTATCGACAACAGTTGTTTGATCTGTTTTTTGTAGCAGGTATCAGGAACAGCACTGGTACTGGATGAGATCATCAATCATGTCCAATCTCTTCAAAGGCAAGTTGAGGTAACTGTTCTTTTTTTTTTTTTTTGCTTATGATACCTTAAGTCCCAAATAACCCATTTACCTTAAGATGTTCACTCATGTCATTGTTGTTTGGTAATTTTGATTGTTTCAGTACTTGTCAATGAGGCTCGCAGCTGTAAATCCGAGGGTCGACTTTGGTGGGCTAGACAACTTCTTGACTACGGAGGTACCATTATGACAAATACTGTTTCTTGAAGATTTCTGCAAGTTTAGCTTGCGTGGATTTACAACAACAATTTCCTGTGTATATGTATTGCTCCCTTCTTGCCCACATATCGACCTTTTTTTTTAATACTGGAAAATGCTTTGATACTTCGCCAATACGCATATATCCGTATCAGTTGCCTATTGGATACTGAGATGGCAGTTTAGGGAAGTATCAGTGATTCATAGACCATAGCTGATTTCTTTGGCCCAGAACTCTCCTTTAAATTATTTTGTAACTGAGTAGTTTGGCCTCTGCTGAAAACTGAAATTTATCTCTTCCCATCATTTATTTGCACTATTTTGTACTAGTAAGGAGAGTGTGCATTTCTGTGAAACTTATTGTTCGTGCTTTTGACTTTGCCTTGACAGCCAACAGTCTACAATTATTCCATATAAATTTTGCCTTTGACCTCTTAAAGAGAAAGAATGCCTACTACTATTAGTACAATAAGTAGTATCTAGATGGCTAACACTTGAACAATGGTTACCTTAGAATGCCTAGAACTAGTTACTTTTACAATTAAGGCATCATTGATAATGATAATATTGCTCTTGGAGATATATGCATGATTAGACCATTGTAGCTGGATCACATGTTTTCTGCAGAATTTTGCATTTGTGAAATTCCATGTAAATTTTCTATTATGCATGTCGTGTAATTCTGTAAATCTCTCAGAAATAACAAATTCAATTAAAGTTGATCATGATTCACATTTTAGGTTCATTGATTATGCTATTGGGCATATACTCTGCTTACTATGGTATTTATAGTGTGGAAGGATAACAGGCTTGAACTACAAGAATGGAATGGATTTGGAGCAGGTCACCTGGCCAGACATGGGCGTCCATGGAGCAAGGAATCTCATGCAACTACAACAGCAGTTCTGGCATGGTGATTTAGCACACCCGCTCCAGCCGCCTTCACAGTGGGAAAAGCGGACGGATACCAATCCCCCTGTCTTTAGCAATTCAAGTTCCTCCCTCTTCGGCTATGATCTAGCAAGCTCTGGTAAAACTTGCAACCAAACCTATATCTCATTGAATTTAGTTGTTTGTCATTTACTTTTAAAATTTTTCAGCCTTGATTGGACCACAACTTTTGTCTCTTTCGTTGTTCCAGAGTGTTTAGAAGTACATAGGTAAATGGGAAATTGTGGTAAAATATGTGAAAAACCAGTTTCTTCCAGGGAAAACTACTACTACATCTTTAGGAAAGATTATCATACCTTATCTCATGCACATGCTAATAAAAGTACTTGTTATAAATTCTACATAAATAAATAATATTTACCTTCTGATTTGGATGTGATGGAGATGACTATCCTAATTGGGCCCGCTTCTATTTGATAGTGAATGTTTATTAGCAACTAGGGGGTTTAAGGAAGCAGGAACTTGTAACTTTCTAGAAAGATTAGAGAATGCTTTGTTTGTTCTTCTTCCCTTTGTTTGTTCACTCAATCATTATTGCCATCATCGCCACCATTTTGGATGGTAAGGGGCCATAGATGTGTTCGTCTGGTGGATCTGTTCTCTCTGGCACCAGCGGACCCAACTGGTTGGTGTGGCTGGGCCCGAATCAATAAATGCATGTCTAGAAACCATATCGCTCCCGGCTTTCCGTTTGGGCTTGGCTGCATAAGGCCTGTAGATGCAGATCTGGTCCCTTTGGCCCTTCTGATCACTTGTACAACTGTGAAGGGTCCACTTTTTCTGTAAGTTGTCCAGTGCCTGTCTAGGGATCCCCTTTCTTGCAATGGAGGGAGCCAGCTAAAACAACTTTAATCTCAGTGCTACTATTTGTACGCTGTACTGTAGTATTGTTTTCTATTCAACTAGTTGAATAGCAAATACATAAGCGAATCTAAGGGTTTGGATCTTAATTTGACATATCTAACGACGATAATTTCATTCGATTATGGCAATTCATGTGGGCTAGATTTACGTTTGCATTGCATGACATACATTTTGCGTGCCATTTGACTGTCCTTGTAACTAGAGATGTAGTTTTATCACTGGGTAGCTGGGTACTGAAGTTTGTAGTGGATCCTATATATTTATCAAGGAATACACCGTAGCACATGGTTCAGTTTAAGAGGTCGATTATATAGCTTGGCTAAGAGAGTGGATTGGATAACTAGTACAGATATTGTGAGAGCCAAATGAGCCAGCTCCATTGTCTAAGAATCATGTTTTAGCACTATCATGAAGTTATACTCTTGCATTTGCTAATGAGTAAGATGGAAGAAAAGGTGTGTAGTAGAGGTGATCTGCCGTTTGGATCTGGTTAACTGATCTGCAGCTCTGGATCCAAGCAGAGCTCTTGGAGGGACAAATGCTATTGGAGGTACAGACCCAATCATGCAAAGCGTTCAAGGATCATTAAACCTTTAGGGCCCTCCCCTGAGGCCCTGACTACATGATATCTGTACTGCATTACGGCTGGCAGAATCTGTTTTTGCCAGAAATTATTGCAGCTTCTTCGTGTACCGGTGTCTGCGCTCAAAGCTGAGTGGTATACAGCAAGCTTTGTCCAGTCCTCCCCAGCCATCATCTTTATCACGCGGCCCATCCCCTTGCAGCTCTGTCTTAGCAGGGCAGATCTCAACCTCATGGCTTCACATTGAAATGGACCCAACTTGGTGCCGTTCTAATCTCTGTGGTTCAGCTCATTCGCTTTGCATTCCTCGAAAATAGACGGTCTTGCTGAATTCCCCTTGCTACTGACAATGTTATCCTATGCATGCATTTTTGGACCTTTCTTTTTTGGCTTTCGTATATAATTTCAAGAAACTACTGAATAGGACTATAGGAGTACTCAATTAACTTATGCAAGACTGGTTTTGGCAAATTCTTGGAATTTGACTGATCTGAACTGAACCCCCTTTTTACCTGTTACCAGCTGGTCACTTGATGCTGTCCTAGCTACTATTGTCCTCCCCTCTTGAAATCATTGTACCCCAGGAACCCTACCACTAACTTTGACCTCTTCTACTTTTTTTTTCCCCATGTCTTTGTGCAGGAGCGCCGGCCCAGACAGGCAACAAGCTAAAGACGGAGCTGTGAGCCTGTGACCAACGGTGGTGGTAGTGATAGCAAGCAGGTCAGCAGAGCAAGCCAAACAAACATACGTGAGCTGTGGACAATGGCGGCTGGATGTCAGGAGAGCTAGCTAGCTAGCTAGGCGTGAGCTGTGGACTGACGGCTGCTGCTGCTGCTGCTGCTGCTGTGGATGGTTGGCAACGTCTTGTGCAGTGCAGCAGTGCGGTGCATGGGACTTTCATTGATTTTGGAGGCCGGATTCTGAGACGATGTACATATGGAATGCAAGATATAGAGAGATACTGTTGTTGCTGTTGTTGGAGACTCTTGGAGCTGGAGGTGATGGATATGGAGGTTTTACTGCTGCTATCTTTTTTTGTAGAGATGAGCGAGAGATACTGTGGATTCTTTTCTTGCTGATGTATTCTTGGTGTATGCCTGACTACGATGGTTTAATGTCAAGGTTATATGAGCAGCATTTATTTGGTGAACAAGTTAAACGAAGTTTAAGGGGTCCAAAGTTAAATGGAAGTGAAGAAATGGTGGTCTAATGTGAAAAAAAAAACTTTAGGGCAGTAATGGGTTGTTTTTGGCAATTCCAATCCTACAAAAATTTTGTAGTACTAAGTTTTGGCATATTTTGGTAGTATTGCATGGCTTTAATTCTAAAGCCTTATTAAACATTTGGTAGAGTTTATAAGAGTGGAAACTTTCGGAATTACCAAATAGGGCACCAATGGTAAGAATATGTTTGGTTTACAAAATTTTGGAAGAATGAAAGAAATAACAAACCTAAGATAAAACTTTCTTAAGGATGTCGAACTTAGGGCATGTTCACTTTGATACCATTTTCAACCTTATCAAATTTTGATAAAGTTATCCAAAAGTGGCTACATTTAGTTTGCTACCAAATTTTGGTAACTATATAAGAAATCCTATTCAAATTTTGACAACTATACCAAAATTTGGTAAGTTTTTTTTTATCAAAGTGAACAGACCCTTAGGACATGTACAATGGTCTTTATTAAGCGGTCTCTCATTATTGTCATGCAAGCATATTTGATGACATGGAAGAGAGAGAAAGAATGAAAGAGAAATATGGTTGCTACGCATGACAACGGTATAGAGTCGACTCTTAGCATTTATTAAGGAAATTTTTCGTTGCAGTGAGTCTAATAAATGAAAGATGACTAGTAAGAAAGTATTTTGGTACATTAATAATTAGAGACCATATTGTCTTAACTATTGTAACATGATAGCATCTAATTAACGTAATTAACGTAGAGACCGGTCTCTACCTTTATACTTGCCTTAGTATGCACTTTATTTTTAACAGAAAACTGGAGAGTAATTTGTATCGCTGAGGTGGAAAGACTGACATGAGCACATGGGTGCGAAGGGACAGGACTAGGAAGACAATTAGCACGTGCAACTGAGCAAATGTACAGTTGCCATAACGGAAGATAGTTCTGGAACTTATCGTTTGCCAACGTGTTATTCTGCACACAGGACTCTGTGCAAGATCATTAGAGCAACGTTAACGTAACGTGCTACTCGTATTTCGTGAACCATGATATGATGAAATTTGAACGCATCAAGATACAACTCTCCAAAAATTTTTAAATCAGATCCTTAAACATTCAGAGATTTTTTTAGGATGGAAAAATGTTTACACTAATACACTACTAGTCCCTCCGGCTCAAAATAATTACTTTTAAAGTTTTCACTTAGATGGGGAGAGGTAAAAATGGACTATATTACCCTTAGTTTTATTGTCATGAATTCATGGTTGTTGGAAGATGGGGTTGCGAAGATGAGTAGTATTTTGGAGATTTCATGGCTAGAAATGTCCATTGGTACTTTAGAAGTAGCTATATTTGAGACAATTTAATCTAAACATAATCTAAACATGGAATAAATAACTCTCCAGAATAAACATGAAAGATTAAGTAACATATCATCCTACGAAGTTTTATAGTTATAGTAGTATATGACTTACATTGTAACGAATCAAGCCCATATAAATAGTGATGTGATACTCCCCCTGTCTTATAATATAAGGGATTTTAGGTGAATGTGATATATCATAGTACTACGAATCTGGAGATAGACTACTAGAATGTGTCACATCCACCTAAGATCTCTTATATTATAGGACGGAGGTTGTAACAAATAAAACATAGGATTCGATGGATATCTATGTACGCTATACGTGCAAAGCACGGTACGTAGAATAGAAGAAGGGAACGGAAGGAGGATGACTATGCTTACTCCGCTTTCATATAGATAAACCACTAGTAGTCTACTACGGCCTTTCATCACTCAGGACTCAGTGATCTGAAAGTTCTGAACAAATACCACCTTGTAGAGCCTTGTTGACGTGCAGTACAGTATCCATCACCGAAGAATGTCCGTTGAGCCGGACAATTCACCCCTGATAGCGGCGGCGAACTAAGGTTGCTTATGGTATGACGCACCAGCCGGCGCCCGACGAGCTACAAGCGTCTAGAACTAGGGATGCAAGCAGGCCACTTATAAGTCAAATAAGGTTGTGTTATTTCTCATGGGTTCCTAATCCACCTCCCTCGTTTTTCACGTGCATGGTTTTCAAACTACTAAACGGTGTACGCTGTGTAAAGAGTTTATATAGGAAAGTTGATTTAAAGATCATATTAATCCATTTTTAAAATTTTTATAGCTATAATACTTAATTAATCACGTGTTAATCTATAGCTCTGTTTTAAGTGCGGAGGTGAGGGGTTCCCAAATCCCAACCCCTCCAAAAGAATTAACACAGCCTAAGGCCTTGTTCGGTTAATCTCTACGAGGGAGGGATTGGATCAATCCTCTCTAAATCGAACGAGGCCTAGGTGGTAAACTGTGAGTTTTTACGTCGATCCGGCAGAATGTAGCAGGGGACTGTAGGGAGACTGAGGCCGCACCACGCTGTCTCCGGTTGGGGAGACACGCACGCCGGCGGCGACGCTACTGCGGCTGCGGTGACGACTGTGGGTGACGGTGCTAGGAAGTGTAGGGCCACAGGCCCACGGCAACGCCGGCACATGTTGGACTACACAATTTGTGGGCCGGGCCAATGTGATTTTGGCCCTATATAGGTCGACCCACCCCACCTGCACCCTAAGTTGAATGACTCTTCCTTGGGAGTTGGGACTCTTTCTTGGGGCATATATTATTATTTTGTTTCCTCTAAAAGAATTACCTGCTTTGTTGTTATGCATCCTGTTTCTTAGCAGATCTGACGTGAAATCGTCCTGATCGATCTTGACCTGAATCTCGTGATCAAATGGACAATGGAAAGGAGAAAGGCTTTTCATGGGAAGAAGAGATGGCTCACCATTCGACAGACCTCACCAGTCTGCTGCCAACAATTGCATATGCTGAAGTAAAGTGGTAACAGCAAAAAGAAGAGATCATGGATGTGATTGTAATTAGTAAATATCGAAGAAAAATGTCAAGTAACGTTATAACGCTTGTTATTCAAGATTATTCGACTGCTTTTCAATGTCAGATGTCATTTACATAGAATCGATGTGACAGTAAGTACATTCTATCTTCAACAAATTGGCATTCTATCCAAACATATAATCTTAAAAAAAGAAATGATCATTTCCCCAGCATGAGATTTACTACTGACATTATTAACAGTATCTGGGGGGTGACTGAGAACCTATGTTAGGGCACGACACTGCACTAATCAATGAAGAGCGCATCATACTTCATGTGCTACATTTCTGATTCAAACCCAATGTTCCAAAACCCTTCAGGTGTCAGCGGCGGCGCGTACCTGTAGCGATGTCTGGATACGCCATCATGATGCTCACACCTCATGCTTGTAGAGTCCACACCGTCACCATTTGTGCGGCCATCTGGAAGAACAGCATCATAGAATTTCTTGCACTGCTTGCACTCAACGCCTTTCAGATTCTCCCGGTCAGCCTTTTTTCTTACAGGTTCTGTGTATTTGAAACCTTTATTTGGTGGTTGGATTGAAATTGTACTTTGCTGCTTGGGAACTGGCATGTTTTTCTGGCCCTGGGTGGCAATATTGACATCTTGAGTCTCATCATCAGAGTTATTGAAGTCCATATCTTTAGGAGGAGAGGCAGCAAGGGCTTGTGCTTCTTCTGGCGTTTTAGGATTCCTGATCATATTTTTGACAGCCTCCAGAGGTGTGTCAAGGAAATCATCATGTGGATCTACAACGCCTGGTTCTTTACGCGCGCGAGTCTCCCTCCAGTGTAGACTTGGGCGGGTGAAACTAGATGCTGCCTCTGTTTTTGAATTGCTAGTAGCATTCTTTGGTGGAGGATTGGTTGTACGAGACGGTAGACAAAGGCGCGAGTTACTGAATGGACTCCTGACTGAGCTAGCATGGTGGGTACCTTGTGCCTTTGCACTTGAAGCAGGACCATTTTTCTCATCTACAGTCTTAGATACTGCCTGATTGTTCTCCTTTTTAGTGTCCACCAGATCTGAAAATCAAGCAAGTAAAAGAAAATGCTAAGGCAGACATCAATCAGTATCGATTTAGGAGGCATAGATCTTAGTGCTAATATGATAGCATTGGCAGGACATTACTTGCAGATTACAAAGGTGCTTAATAATACTTTCAACCGCGGCATTGATCAGAGCACCATGGATTATAGTACACAATTGCAATTAAAACTTGGTATTCTTCAAATGAAACTTCCAGGTAACAGTAATTAGAGAATAAAAATGGTGATTGATTAACAAGGTTTAAATAGCTCTACTGAATGAAAGGAAATCAAAGGGCAGGAGTACCTTTGAGCTTTCTCTTGCTTGGAGGGCTTCCGGAGGTTTTCCGATCCACCACATTGACTACAGGAGACTTGGAGCCTTCATTCTGGCCAATCTTTCCAACAAGAAAGTTGTACTGAGACTTCAAATCCTTGTAGAGTGTCTTCAGCTTAGTGTAATCCTCGATCAGGTCCTTCCGCTTATTCTGCTCGAGAAGCAGATCCTTATCCTTCAACTCAACCTGCTGCAGCATCCTCTGATGGGCATCTCTTTCCCTAGAGACATCAGCAGCCTTCTCCGCAATCTCGCTCTCTAGCCGCCCAATAACCTCATCCTTTTTCCCCATTTCCTCCTCCAACCTCCCCGGAATTCGCTCCTTCTCAACCTCATGCCTCGCGATCAATCGCTCAAAGTTCCCCTTCATATCCTCAAGAGAGTTCCCCAGCTGCAGTGCCATCTCCTCCGCATCCCTCCGTTTATTCTGCTCGAGAAGCAAATTCTTGTCCTTCAACTCAACCAGCTGCAAAAGCCTCTGATGGGCATCTCTCTCCCTGGAAAAATCAGCAGCCTTCTCCGCAATCTCCCTCTCTAGCCGGCGAATAACCTCATCTTTGTTCCCAATTTCCTCCTCCAATCTCCCCAGAAGCCGCTTCTTCTCAACCTCATGCCCCGCGACCGATCGCTCGGCATCCGCAAGCTTCCCCTTCATCTCATCAAGGGAGCACCCCAGCTGCAGCGCCTTCTCCTCCGCGTGCCGCTTCCCGCTGCTCAGCTCCTCCAATTGGCTCAATAGGGCGGCCTCCCTCTCCATCCACGCATCCTTGGCCGCCTTCCACATGGCCTGGACATGAGGGAAGAGCTGGCTGCAGAAGAGGAGCTCGATCTGGGAAACCCGGTCCTTCACCTCCTGGATGTTGGCCACAAAGATGGTGCTCACACCGGAGAAGTAGTTGAAATCGTCCGCCACCACATCGCCGCCCAACACATTCGCATTCATCTCTACAGCCAGGGCACCAAAAAAAATTTTGGGTAAAAAAAACTGTAATTAGTACTAGGGTTAAGACGAACAGAAAAGCTTCCAGATCCAGAAGAGAAGATGAAGGCTAATGCGAATTCGAGGAATGGAGCGGGTAGAACGAGATGGATGAGGAAGGAAGACGATGTCCGTCGGCAACGGGTGCTCACCGGAGGCGGAAGCTGCAGCAGCTCACGGTGATCGGCGGGGCAGCGCAGGCGGCGGCGGCGGGTGAAGGAGATGGGTCGGGACGGTGAGACTCGGTGGGTATGAGATGGAGCTCACCTCGGGGATTCGATTTCGGCGGCGGAGAGAGAGAAAAACCCTAGCCGTCGCCCTCCTCGCCGGCCGCCGCCGCCGTTCGCGCCGCTTGAAATGGGGGAGAAAGCTTTTCGTATGTTTCCCTCGCGAAACAATCTCAAATTTTTCAGCCGGTGAGGGGATTTTGCATCGAGCCCCCCTGTTATTTTTTTATTTTTAGAGAATATAAATGAACGAATTCGGCCCATCGACATCAACAAACGAATTCGGCCTGCTTAATTTATGTCCGCGAATTTGGTCCACAAGTGAATTAGGCCCACTAAGTTCCCAAAAATAATTAGGCCCACCTACATTCGGGCCAAGTAGTTTTAGGCCCAAGAGTAAACTTGGCCCACCTATACCCAGTTAGCGAATTCGGCCCACCCAAGGCAACGAGCAGATTCGGCCTGGATTGATTCATGTAAAAAGTTGGCCCACTTAATAACAATCAACGAATTTGGCCTATAAAAATCCCACTAACGAATTTGGCCCAAAAAACAATATTGCCCACTTTAGATCCATCCACGAATTTGGCCCAGTACTAATTGTCCCACTGAGTTTAGCCCAGTATAAATTAAGTCCGCAAGCAAATTTGCCCCACCTAGAGAAAATTCGGTCAACCACTTAATTCTCATGAACAAATTCAACCCGTAAACGAATTCAGCCCACTTAGTTCCCGTCAATGAATTAGGCCTACCAATTTCTTATCAACAAATTCAGCCCACCAAGGCCATAAATGAATTCGGCCCTATTCCCGTCAACGAGTTCAGCCTGTGATGAATTTGGCCCACACAACAACTTGCGAGTTCGGCCCACGTCTGAATTTGGCCCACTTACTTCCTTGCAACAAAAACGACCCATAATCAAATTGTGGCCCACTCACAGCCTTGAATGAATTAGGCCGACCACAGAATTTGGCCCACTATTTTTCGTTCACAAATTCAGCCCACTAGGAAATTTAGCACGCTAGAGTCACATCGTGTAATTTGTTTCAGACACGAATTAGGCCTTCTTGTTTGTAACCATTGAGTTCGGTCCAAATCTAAATCTGGCCCACCCATTTCCTGTCAAGGAATTCAGCCCATTATGTAATTTGGCCTACTTAATTCTCGTCAACAAATTCAGCCCACGAATAAATTTGGTCCACATTTGAACTGTTTGTGAATTCAGCCCTTAATTGAACAAATTCAACCCGTGAACGAATTCAGCCCACCTAGTTCCTGTCAACGAATTAGGCCTACCAGTTTTTTTATCAACAAATTCAGCCCACCAAGGCCTAAATGAATTCAGCCCATCTATGTCCCGTCAAGTCAGCCTGCGATGAATTTGGCCCAGTTAACACTATCCAACGAATTTGGCCCACATAACAAATTACGAGTTCGGGCCACGTTTGAATTTGGCCCATTTACTTCCTTGCAACAAAACGACCCATAATTAAATTGTGGCCCACTCACTTCCTTGAATGAATTAGGCCGACCACAGAATTTGGCCTACTCAGTTCTCGTTCACATATTCAGCCCACTAGCAAATTTAGTCCGCTAGATTCACGTCATGTAATTTGTTTCACCCACGAATTAGGCCTTCTTGTTTGAGAACAACGAATTCGGTACAATTCTAAATCTGGCCCATCCATTTCCTGTCGAGGAATTCAGCCCATAATTTAACGGGATAAGTTCACTTTAGGTCCCTCTATTTGTCGGTCAGTCTGATTTTTGTCCCTTGACCACAAAACCGGGTACGACCCGTCCCCCAACTTACGAAACCGGGCAAACAAAGTCCCTCCACAGTATGGAGGACGGTTTTGTCCGACGTGGCGTCTATGTGGCGCCTACGTGGCTCCTTTGACTAGGTCTTCGTCCCACGTGGCATTGACGTGGCGATTACGTGGTAATTTTATCTCGAAAAACTAATAAAAATAGTGGGACCCATATATCAGCTACACAAAAAATAATTAAAAAGAGGTGGGGCCATGTGGTCCCACATGTCAGCCTCCTTCTCTCTATCCTCCTCTCTCTCCCTCCTACACTGCTAGGAGAGAAGGGCGAGCGGCGGCGCCGAGGGGGCGACGGGCGGAGCGGCGACTGAGCAAAGTGGCGACGGAGCGAAGCGGCGCGGCGGTCGGTGGGAGGAAGCGGAGCGACGATGGGCGGCGCGGCGGCTAGTGGTGAACGGAGCGACGGCGGGCGGTGGGCGACGAGAGGAAGCGGAGCGGTAGTGGGGCGAAATGGAGCGGCGGCGGGCGGTGGGCGGAGCGACGCTGACGACGCCGCTCCCGCCGCCCCCAAGCTGAGCTCGCCGGCTCCCCTCCCCTCTCCTTCTCCACTCTTGGCTCTTCCTCTTCTTCCTCTTGGCTCTCCCTCGTCCTTGCGACGGAGCGGCGGTGGCGGCAGGCCACGGGGTGGGCGGAGCAGCGACGGACAGTGCATGGCCGGCGGCGGGCGACGGCACGCGCGGCGGCGCGCGAGGCACGTGGGGTCGATGGCGACGTCGGGCCGCGCGAGGAGGCGGTGGAGCAAGTGGAGCTTCTCGTCCTCACCACCACCACCACCACCAGAAGCAGCGGAGCCGCCATGGCGCTTGCGGAGCTCCGATGAGGGGAGGGTGTCGGCGCGGCTGTCCCGGCCGCGGCGGCGAGGAAGTAGAGGCGGCGGCGCGGGGGAGCGGGAGCGAGAGGGCGCGGCGGAGGGGGAGGACGACGGGAGGAGGGCTGCGGCGACCGAGGGACGGGGAGAGGCGCACGGCTTCGATCCCTCTTCTCCCACTGGTGGCCATCGAGGAGAAGGGCGGCGGACGGCTCGGCGAGCGTGCGCAAGAGAGATATGGCCGCCGCCACCCCAGGCGCCTCACGCGCCGTCGCCCACCATCGCCCGCCGCCGGCCATGCGCTGTCCGTCGTCGCGAGGGAGGAGGCGAGCTCGTCGGGGCGGCCGGCGGGAGATGAGGCAGCGCACGCCGGCTGACGGGAGGGAGGGAGAGGAGCAGTGGTGCGCGAGCGTTGGCAGCCGGTGGGAGGGCGGGAGAGGAGCGGCGGCGCACGGGGACCAGTGGGAGGGAGCGGCGTGCGGCGACCCGCAGGTGGGAGGGAGAGGAGCGGCCGTCGTTGCCTGGAGAGAGAGAGAGATGAAGAGAGTGGAGATGGGGAGGGAGCAGGAAGAAGAGGAGGGATGAGTTGGACTGACATATGGGGCCCACGTGGGTCCCACCTTATTATTATTATTTTCTGTGTGACTGACATGTGGGGGCCACGGGTTTTATTATTTTTCTGGATCGGATTGCCACGTAAGCGCCACGTCAGTGCCACATCAGATGAATATCGAGTCAAAATGGCCACGTAGGCGCCACGTCAGCCAAAACCACCCTCAAAACCGCTAAGGGACCTCGTTTGTCCGGTTTTCGTAAGTTGGGGGACGGGTCATACCCGGTTTTGCGGTTCAGGGACCAACAAATAGAGGGACCTAAAGTGAACTTATTCCTAATTTAATTTGAGACCAACGAATTTGGTACAATTTTAAATCTGGCCCATCCATTTCCTGTCGAGGAATTCAGCCCATAATTTAATTTGAGACCAACAAATTCGGTACAATTCTAAATCTGGCCCATCCATTTCCTGCCGAGGAATTCAGCCCATAATTTAATTTGGCCTACTTAATTCTCGTCTACAAATTGAGCCCACGAACAAATTGGGGCTACATTTGTACCGTTTGTAAATTCAGCCCTTAATTGAATTTGGCCCAGCTAGTTCCCGGGCCCTTGAGTGAATATTTTGATATCTTCTAATACGCCCCTTAGTTTTGGGATTTCTTACGAGACAGTCTTTGGATCGAAGCGTCATCTAGGCCGCTAGATTCGTCGATCGGACGGCCAGGATTGCCCGTTAGCGTAGGAGAAGAGCAACCAACACGCGCACCACCACCTCGTCGAGCGCTCGGCGTCTTGACGGCGGCGCGCGCGAGGTGTTCGGAGAAATGCTCGCGTGAGCCCAACGCCTCTCATGCTTGCCGCGCGCGGGCTCCTGAGACCGGAGGCGGCGGCGCGCGGCCTCGCGCTCCAGCGCTGCTTCGTCGCGCCGCTCCGCGCCGCATCGGGGATGGCGCTTCCGGGGGCCAGCGCGAGGTTCCACGAGTACGAAGCCGCCATCACGGCGTGCATCGAGAGGAGGGCGCTCTGGGAGGGGCGGCAGGTGCACGCGCGCATGATCACGGCGAGGTACCGGCCTGCGGTGTTCCTGGGGACCCGGCTGGTTACCATGTACGTGCGGTGCGGCGCGCTGGACGACGCGCGCAACGTGCTCGATAGAATGCCGGAGCGGAGTGTGGTCTCGTGGACGACGATGATTTCAGGCTATTCTCAAACAGAACGACATGTCGAGGCCTTGGATCTGTTCATCAAGATGCTTAGAGCTGGTAAATTGTTTGGATCGTTTCTCGTGAGTCATTTGACATAAGGAGATCACACAGATCAGAAAGTAGCATCAGATTAGAGATGGCAATTTATTTTCTGCAATGCATTTTGGCTGAATGATTTAGATTGACAGAAAAACAAAAACAGAGTTTTCATAGCATGTTGTCTGGTACTCTATAATCTACCTTTGTTAGATACATTATTTGGCATCCATAATGCGGGGTTTACCTTTCATGCGGGGCATGATTATTATAAAGTAAAGTTTATAAAATTTTTGGTACTGTAAAGAATATGGATGGAGTTATGTCATGGCCATATTTAGAATATTGCCACAACAATTACTTTTCATATCTCCCTGACCGTCTTAATGTCCTCTCAAGTTGATATTCAATCTCTCCAGTTTGGAGGTTTGTTTTGCAATTACTGTTATAAATATTCTTAACCATTTGGGAATGCATGCCATTGTCTTCAAGGATCAGATTATATCAACATATGCTGTATTAATTTCTGTCAAATGTGTAATACATTTTACTTCTATCTGGCAGGATGCATCCCTAATGAATACACTTTAGCAACTGTTCTTACATCCTGTTCTGGTCCTCAAAGTATATACCAGGGCAAGCAAGTCCATTCTCTCTTAGTCAAGACAAATTTTGAGTCACACATGTTTGTTGGGAGTTCCCTGCTTGACATGTATGCCAAGTCAGAAAACATCCAAGAAGCTCGAAGAGTATTTGACACGCTTCCAGAAAGGGACGTCGTTTCGTGTACTGCAATTATATCTGGCTATGCTCAAAAGGGTCTTGATGAGGAAGCCTTGGACTTGTTCAGACAATTGTATAGTGAGGGAATGCAATGCAATCATGTTACCTTCACCACCCTTGTTACTGCATTGTCTGGCCTGGCTTCTTTGGATTATGGCAAACAAGTCCATGCCTTAATACTTCGTAAAGAATTGCCTTTCTTCGTTGCTCTACAGAATTCTTTGATCGATATGTACTCCAAATGTGGTAAACTGTTATACTCAAGGAGAGTATTTGACAACATGCTAGAGAGATCAGTCGTCAGTTGGAATGCAATGCTTATGGGATATGGAAGGCATGGATTGGGGCATGAAGTTATTAGTCTCTTCAAAGATTTGCATAAAGAGGTGAAGCCTGACAGTGTGACTTTGTTGGCTGTTTTATCTGGTTGTAGCCATGGTGGGCTGGTTGATGAGGGCCTTGATATATTTGATACTGTGGTCAAAGAGCAAAGTGCACTTCTCCACACTGGACACTATGGATGCATTATTGATCTTCTTGGACGTTCTGGACGACTAGAGAAAGCTTTAAATTTGATAGAAAATATGCCATTTGAGTCAACTCCATCAATTTGGGGTTCACTGCTCGGTGCTTGCAGAGTCCATGCTAACGTTCATGTTGGTGAGCTTGTTGCTCAGAAGCTTCTGGAAATGGAGCCAGAAAATGCTGGCAATTATGTAATACTTTCTAACATTTATGCTGCTGCTGGGATGTGGAAAGATGTTTTCAAAGTGAGGAAGCTAATGTTGGAGAAGACAGTGACCAAGGAACCAGGGCAGAGCTGGATAATTCTTGACAAGGTTATTCACACCTTCCATTCAAGTGAGCGGTTCCATCCCAGTAAGAAAGACATAAATGCCAAGATAAAAGAGATATTTGTCGATATCAAAGCAGCTGGCTTTGTTCCAGACTTGAGTTGTGTGCTGCATGATGTTGATGATGAGCAAAAAGAACGCATGCTTCTTGGTCACAGTGAGAAGCTGGCAATAACTTTTGGATTGATGAACACTCCTCCAGGATTGACTATCCGGGTTATGAAGAATCTTCGCATATGTGTTGATTGCCATAATTTTGCCAAATTTGTTTCAAAAGTTTATGAAAGGGAGATATCCCTTAGGGACAAAAATCGATTTCATCTACTTACACACGGAAACTGCACCTGTGGAGATTATTGGTGAAGATATGTTATGATGATATTGTGAGTGATGGGATAATCAATGAACCATTGAACAGACTGAGGACTGGAGTATGATATTCTTAATTCAGGTCATCCCACTAGAGGTAAGCATCAAAGATTTACTGCAAGGAATGACAATATGATATTCTTAACAGTTGATGCTCTGTACCTTTGAGCCTTTGGCTACTAAAATATTTTTTTCTTCAATCTATTTTAAGACTCCCATATTAGTTAGTAAGTTGTAAGTAGCTTACCTAAATAAGGATGCATTTATAACTTCACATACTTTGCTTGCAGACTCTAACCTGAGCTGATTTTGAATTCATAAAAAAGATGGATTTTAAATCTTGAGCATCAACCTGATTATATGGAGAAAGGAGTCTGGAGGAAGAATAAATTCAACTAACACCATCAATTGGAAAACTGCAACTGTTACTGTGAACCAGAAATGTAAATATCACCAGTCTTTATTTCTGCAAATGTAAGTGTAGACTATCTCCAGTGGCAGTTAATTGTATGTTTGATTGTGATTTTCTGATGGCATGTTTGGTTTATTGACCAAACCAACCAGAACAAAAAATTGGCAATGCCAATAGAATGATAGATTCATTTGGTTTGTTGACAAAAAAAATGTTAAGGATAAAACAAAAGCCCATAAGTAAATTTTCCAAAATTTTGGCAGCTATAAATGCACACGCTTTATGAAAGATTTGGCAATGCTTAGCTTTTGGTTTACCAATATTTTAGGAAGGTTCACATCAGAACAATCCAATATCACAACTCATAGTTAAATGTCTTAGTGTTTTGATTACTGGAAGGCAAGCTAGGCACTTTATTTCAATCACCATTGGTAGCTTGTTATTCAAAGTCCTTGTGACCTTGTGAACTGAGTTAGTATAACTGTAGAAAGGAAGTTCAGGGCGTGCCATGGCAGGTCCACAGAACCTATAATAGTTAGTATTAGCTAAAACTGAAGCCATTATGCATGCAGCTATATTTATTCTATCGTTGTCTTATCATGAATCTTCAATAACGCCAAGGTCCTTGCATACTATCATGCTTGGCAAAAATTATTCTAGAAAGCATTTTCGTGGGTAGATGGGGTTTTGATTTCTCTGTTTGGCCCATCATCATAGGTACATGCGGACAAAAAATTCTGCATGTACCTATCATTCATCCCTTGGCCAAGGCAGCATTTTCTTATCTGAATGTCTTCTAATGGAATCAAGTAAAATGGTGGAAAAAAAGAAAGCTCCCTTGGCCGGTCAGTACAGCAGAAGCTACTATACGATAGCAAAAATTTGTTCTTGGTTTGTACTCATGAAACTAGCAAAAAGCCAAACATTAGAATAAAGTTATTTTACAATTCTTAAGGAGGTACCGGGAGGTACCACATTTTCTAGTACAAAATTTGGTACCTACGGTACTAGAAGATACCAAACTTGTATTAAAAATTTTGTTACCTCTTGGTATCTCTTAAGGAATGTAAAATTTCTCATTAGAAAAGCCTTCCATTTCATGGTTATAATTAGCTGGGATGGAAGCTATTTACATTTGGTGACAAATTGACAACTAGCTTCTTAGTACTTCCTTGCCATGAATAACAAAACAGTGCTTATAGAGCAGTTCCTTCCCTGCAAAATTGGCTTGTTCATCAGATGCAAAAGGACAAGATCTGGAAGATGACTTGGTGCAGGTTTAGGAGTACCAGCTGCGCATGCTTGCTCAAGTAGATAAATCTCTGAATTGGAAAGTAGCGGAATAGTCTGAAGCACTACGTCAGTAGTTCATTTCAGTGACCATGTGCTCATCTTCACATATCTCAGTCACCATTTTCTATACTAATCCATAGTTGCACAGAGATGATCTCCTGATGGCCATTCTGTTCATCACGAGGTCACCAATCAGGTCTCAGAAGTTGCACACCAATCACTTAACTTTCACATCAAAGGGCAAAAATAACATGATCTAGAATTCTAGAGTTTAGAGTTTGGACTATGTGGAGCGTTGATCACCTTTCTTGTTCGTGATTAGCAAGCCAAAATCTTAGATGGAAAAGTTGGTTGGGCAGTTTCCTTTCTTTTACGGCCGTTCCCCTTCATTTACTGTTTTGTGTTGGCTTGACCTGACCTGACCTTTGACGAAAAAAAAATCTGTCTTTGGCTCCCATCGGATAGCCTAATCAGCCAAAGAAAAAGTCAAAATTTAAATTTTTAAACTTGATTTTGAGATTGATTTTGAGATATTTTCAATATAGTTTCTTTTACAACATTGGCTTTTAAGTCACAAAGAACATATTTATAAAAGTTTTACCTATAAATTTATTTTTATTTCCTAATAAACCGTTTTGGCTTATTAGGAAATAAGCCAAACGATGGGACCTTTCTATCTTTGTGTTAACAATGGCTTGACCTGACCAGACCTTACTCTGACTCAAATACTAGGAATTAGGATGCGGCAAATTTTAGGCTTTGGCAGTAAGAAAATGACAAGGAATTAGGATGCGGCAATTTCACCTCGCAATTCTGTCGTTTCAGATACGACACATCCACCTTGGATAACTCACCTCTATCCACGTCACCTGTTTGTTGGTTTGTTTGTTATTATATATTTTGCTTCTCTTCCCGCGAATCTCCCCTCTATAAAACCCCGCGCCCCACCTCACCTCGCCACCACCACCACGACGACGTACTTTTGCTGATCGATCAATGACGCGGAGGAGGAGCCTCGCCGGGGGTGCGGCGGCGGCTGTGGTGGTGCTCGCGGCGGCGGCGGCGGCGGCGTTCCTGTCCCTGCTCGACGGCGCGGCGGCGCTGCACCTGTGCACGGACAGGCTGTTCAACGACACGCAGGGGAGGCACTCTGACGGGCTGCCGCACCTGAACCAGGCGGAGGAGGCGACGTGGATGGGCCTCCTGCCCCGCCGCGCCGGGCCCCGGGACGAGCTCGACTGGCTCGCGCTCTACCGGAGCATCACCCGCGGCGGCGGCGACGTCGGCGGCGAGCCGGCGGGGTTCCTCTCGCCGGCGTCGCTCCACGACGTCCGTGTCGACCCGTACGGCGCCAACATGTACTGGCAGGGGCAGCAGACCAACCTCGAGTACCTCCTCTACCTCGACCCCGACCGCCTGACATGGACGTTCCGGCAGCAGGCCAAGCTCCCCACCGTCGGCGAGCCCTACGGCGGCTGGGAGGCGCCGGACGGCCAGCTCCGCGGCCATTTCACAGGTCTGTATCACCGTATGCCATTCTTGATCTCATCTTGCGGCGATCAATTTTGTTCACCGTTTTTGTGGTCACTTCACTTCGATCGATCTCTACTCCATCTGAGGTGTTTGTGTTGATTTGCAGGTCACTACTTGAGCGCGGCGGCGCACATGTGGGCGAGCACGCACAACGACGCGCTGAGGGAGAAGATGACCAAAGTGGTGGACATCCTCTACTCTTGCCAGAAGAAGATGAACACGGGTTACCTCTCAGCCTACCCTGAATCCATGTTCGACGCGTATGATGAGCTGGCCGAGGCATGGTCGCCCTATTACACCATCCACAAGGTACATTGTGATGAAAACTTAGATCTGTTCCTGTAATTACTCTGCATGATCTGATTCTGATTACATAAACAGAGTGGTGAACTTAGATCAGCTCTTTACTCTGCATGATCTGATTCTGATTACATTACATAGGGATGAAGTTAGATCAGTTCTTTACTCTGCATGCTCTGATTCTGATTACACTACATAGTGATGAACTTAGATCAGTTATTTAATTGCTCTGTATGCTCTGATTCTGATTACATAACTTGTCCATCTGGTGGTCTGTCATCTGGTGTTGTGTGTTGCTGTGGGTTGTGACTCTTGATGTTTTGACAGATCATGCAAGGCCTTCTTGATCAGTATACATTGGCTGGAAACCCGAAAGGTCTTGAGATTGTGGTGTGGATGACTGATTACTTCAGTACTCGTGTGAAGAAGTTGATACAGGAGTACAGCATTCAGAGGCACTGGGAAGCGATAAACGAGGAAACCGGTGGATTCAATGATGTTATGTATCAGCTTTATGCCATAACGGTAATTGCAATTCTGTTGCATCTAGTATTTGGTAATTTGTGTGGAAGATGTGTTTCTTACAAATTAAAGTCGTTCCTGTCTTTTGTGCAGAAAAACCAGAAGCATTTGACGATGGCACATCTTTTCGACAAACCGTGCTTCCTTGGACCACTTGGGCTGCATGTGAGAACTTGAGTTTCATTTATGGTATTTTGTTTTCTTTTGCGAATCGAGTCTTTTGCAGCAAAGACAGGTGATATCTTTTGTTTGCTTTTCAGGATGACGACATATCGGGATTGCATGTTAACACACATGTTCCTGTTATTGTTGGTGCACAAAAGAGATATGAAGTAGTTGGGGATCAACTTTACAAGGTAAACTGATAGTAGTGAGTAAATTCACTGTGTACCCCTGAAAACTCACTCAATCCCTTTCATACCCCTAAAATTTACCCGATCCCTTCTGTACCCCTGAAATTTCAATTTGATCCCTTCCATGCCCCTACCGTTACATATTCCATCATTTTACTGTTACGTTTGGTTGCAAATGTCTTTTTTGCCCTTGATGCTTTAGGTTTAAATATAAGCTTCAAAAATAATTGAAAATTTTGTTTGAGTGCACATCGTGTGCATTTTATAAAACTAATGAGACTAAATAATTAGTGCAGAAAATTTTGACATAAATTTTGAAAATAAAATAAATGTAAAAAAAATAAAATTTTTATTTGAAATTTTAATAGGACAATGGATTTTTTTATCAGGAGCATTCATAAAAAAAATGTTGTGAACATTGGTATACCTATCTTTATATGAATGCTCCTCATTTTTATGACCTTTTTTTTAAAAAATAAATACGTATTTTTTTTATTTCATTATCTAAAAATATTTTTTTGGGATAAATAATGCATCGCACAACAAACTCATAACTATAATAGTCTCATGCGAGAAGCTTTTATATTTTTAATAATGTAATTCATGAATTTCTTTGTTCATCCAAGGGTAAAATGGTCATTTTTATAGAAAATACACGGTCAACTAACGGTCAACTGACGGGAGGGGTATGCAAGGGATCAAAATCAAATTTTGGGGGTATATAAGGAAGTAAGCAAAATTCAGGGGTATAGAAGGGATTAGGAAAAATTTCAGGGGTATATAAGGGATTTTCTCGGTAGTTAATTTGGGATTTGCACCAAAAGTCCTCACCTTGATGGGCTTATAATTGTGCCCTACCATATCGGCTTACTCGTCAGGCAATAAAAAAATGATGCAGCATTTAAAACTTTTTTCAACTTGAGTTAGCTGACTTTGAAACAAAATATATGGCACAGGAAATTGCAACATTCTTCTTTGATGTTGTAAACTCCTCTCATACATTTGCAACAGGAGGCACATCTACCATGGAACACTGGTGAGTGATAATCCATAGCCATATCACCATTTTACTTTCTTAGGCTCTCTTACCATTGTCCCTACTTAAGTTCATCCTACACGTCAGGCACGATCCGAAGCGGCTAGTAGATGAGATCAAAATCAGCTCAAATGAGGAGACTTGCGCCACATACAACCTGCTTAAGGTGAGCCATCCCTTCCATCAAACGCGATAATTCTACAGAAGGAAGCTCTGAATTTGCCCCCGTCTACAATTGCAGGTCTCACGAAACCTGTTCAGATGGACGAAGGAAGGTAAATACACCGATCACTACGAGAGGCTACTTATCAATGGGATCATGGGCAACCAGAGGGGAAAAGAGCCTGGTGTGATGATCTATTTTCTTCCCATGGGCCCGGGACGATCCAAGAGCATCAGTGGCATGCCCACCTCTGGCCTACCCCCCAAGAACCCAGGGGGCTGGGGTAATGCAAATGCTACATTTTGGTGCTGCTATGGGACAGGTAATTCCTGAATATTTGTGCAAGTGATCTTCCATCCTTGTGTCTGAATCTTCTAATTTGCATTGGCAGGGATAGAGTCATTCTCAAAGTTAGGGGATTCCATCTACTTCTTGGAAGAGGGAGAAATCCCTGGGCTTTACATCATTCAGTACATACCAAGCACCTTTGATTGGAAAGCGGCAGGCCTGACTGTTAAGCAGCAGGCCAAACCACTGTCCTCAACAGATTCTCACTTTGAGGTTTCAATCTTCATTTCTTCAAAGGTAACTTAATTCTAAATCACCTCTTCAGCCATGACGTAATTAAAGGTGACATATTTTTCCTTCTTAAAGAATGCTTGATACTTTGTTTTTTCTTCAATTTTCTCATATATGCAGGGAGATGCCCGACCGGCAAATGTGAATGTGAGGATACCGTCATGGACATCCGTGGATGGAGCAATAGCAACTCTAAATGGCCAAAAACTCAACTTGACATCTGCAGGTAACTTCTGTTGTTGATTTGATGTGCTATTTCTTCTGCTCCCATGGGTGTGATTCCTGCCTCAATGTTTGTTTCATGTTCAGGCGATTTCCTCTCGGTGACGAAACTTTGGGGCGATGACACCTTATCTCTCAAATTCCCCATCACCTTAAGAACCGAGCCGATCAAAGGTATGAAATTTACACGATCAACATCTTTTTTGGCCCAAGTTAATGAAATTTATATGATCATCAGAACTCTTTTTCACGGCAAGTTAAAAGTCTCTGAAATATAGTCTGAAATGGTTGATGAAATTTTTCAGATGATCGGCCGGAGTATTCGTCCATCCAAGCGGTGCTGTTCGGGCCTCACCTCCTCGCCGGCCTGACGCACGGCAACCAGACCGTGAAAACCAGCAACGACTCCAACAGCGGCCTCACCCCCGGCGTCTGGGAGGTGAACGCCACCCACGCCGCCGCCGCCGTCGCCGTCTGGGTCACCCCGGTGTCGCAGTCGCTCAATTCGCAGCTCGTCACCCTCACGCAGCGCGACGGCGACGCGCAGGCGGCGGCGGCGTTCGTCCTGTCGGTGTCGATCGCCGACGGCGCGCTAACGATGCAGGAGTCCCCCGTCGCCGGGAGCGACGCGTGCGTGCACGCCACTTTCCGGGCCTACCACTCCCCCTCCGGCGCCAGCGCCATCGACGCCGCCACCGGCAGGCTTCAGGGCCGCGACGTGGCGCTCGAGCCGTTCGACCGGCCGGGCATGGCCGTCACCGACGCGCTCAGCGTCGGCCGGCCGGGGCCGGCCACGCGGTTCAACGCCGTCGCCGGGCTGGACGGCCTCCCCGGCACGGTGTCCCTGGAGCTCGCCACCAGGCCGGGATGCTTCGTGGCAGCCCCCACCACGGCCTACCTCGCCGGCGCCAAGGCTCAGGTCAGCTGCCGGAAACCCACCGCCGCCGGCGGCGGCGAAGACGACGACGACACGGCGTTCCGCCGCGCCGCAAGCTTCACCCAGGCGGCACCTCTCCGTCTCTACCACCCGCTGAGCTTCTCGGCGACGGGCACCGACAGGAACTTCCTCCTGGAGCCATTGCAGAGCCTCCAGGACGAGTTCTACACCGTCTACTTCAACGTCCTCACCAAGTGATCCACCGCCATGTGACAGCGAGCCCAGCCTTGCCATGGACAGAATGACAGATCACCAAGCTTGTCCATGGCTTACACTACCTGTAATGGATATGAAATTAAACATAGTTAGTACCTAAGACCTGATTACCTAATTAACAATCTTCACCATGGCCGTGATGATTCAATCAATGCGTGCATGTGTGCTCGTGATCCAGAAAGAAAGGGAAAGGCGATCCATAAATATTGTGCCGTTCAATTAGGCCCCAATTGATTGCTGTCGTGGAATCTTGGAGAATTTTTGTTGCTTCTATTCTATCAACTTAGTAGTATAACAGTACTACTACCGTCCAATATTATTGCAGAGCCGTCACGAGATCGGTAGTAGGAGTATTTTTTTTTCGCTTCACGAATCTTTAGGAACTACTATCACTGATTGCATTGCCCTGACACCAATCTGAGTTCTTGGCTTTCTGCTGAGCTGATGCTCCGACGAGAAGAAATGAGAATCAGATGTGGCAAAAAGATAAAAAGAGGTTTTTGATGCTGGGATGCTGGCTGCCTCTCCCTTTCCATCTCTGTTCGATCTCACGGGCGCAAGCAAGAGCAAACGCAACGTGACAAAGGGGACGCAACGTGACAAACGGGACGCAGTTGTCGTGTGCGACATGTGAGTTTGCGACCGAGGTGAAAAAGGGACGTAGTTATCTGTTGTGTCTTAATAAGGAACTAAGGAAGGGCCCCTCCTAACATGCCTTCTCCTTCCTACTGTACCGTAATTTTTTTTTAAAAAAAGTTAGAAAAAAAATAACATAATAAAAAAATCTAATACCCTTAAGAAAATATTCATATGCATAGACTTTACACCCATAAATATATATAGTAAACTTCGTATGTATAAACTATATGTAAGGAAATATTGTATATAAAAAATATTTAATCTGAATTCGAATTTGAATCAGGTATATAAAATTTTAAGCTATAAATTTTTAGGTGGGTAAACTTTAGATATATAAACTTATAAAAAGAAAAATTATATGGTGCAAAAATAATGGAGAAAAAGAAAACGATCCCCCAAGCGATCGATCGCTAATTAGCGATCTTGTCTTAATAACAACTGGATTAATTACTGTTTCTTTTTTTTTTTATCAGAACCACTGCCGAAAACGATATCAAAAACCAAATGCGGAAGATCGATGTAAAAGATCCTAACTTGATAATGACATTAAGGCACAATATTAGTTAACGAGATTTAGCCGAAACCTAGCTTCTCATGTATTGATTATGGTCAATTGGTCACTCCTCCCGTATCTAACATAATTATAGCGTAGAGTTAGTACGACCCTCAATCAGCACGTCCTCAATCTATCGTCCACTCTCACAGTCTCACACGCGCTAAATTATCATGCGGTCACAATAAATATGTTTATCTATGTATTAAAAGAGAGCTTATAATAAAGTCCAACACCTAAACTATAATCAATTTTGTATCCATATTCAATACAAAACTCTTGACACTTTTCTAATTGTGTGACGATCGGCTCGGCTCTGCATGCATGAGTGCTTGTACTTTGTGCAACCCATTACGCCACATGATGCTGCCTATAAATTTCGTTTGATACATAAAAACGGGTGTCCTTTTCGCTGTGGGCGCAAGCGATAGAAAGTCTTTGGATTCTTGGTAGTTTTTTTCTCACCATATCCACACCTGTGCTGCTGGTTTGTGTGTGTGTGCCTGTGTAGTACACGCTATTCTTCTTACCTTGTGAGCGAGAGAGCTCGCTCTCGGCGTCGGCGTGCGTCGCGGCGCGCCTTATCCAGCAAATGGCGCGGCGGCGCGCGGCGGCGGCGGTGGTGATGGTGGTGGCGGTGGTGGCGGTGGCGGTGGCGAAGGAGTGCACGAACATTCCCACGCAGCTGTCGTCGCACACGGTGCGGGCGCGGCTGCAGTCGTCGTCGGCGGCGGAGTGGCGGTGGCGCGAGGAGTACTTCCACGGCGACCACCTCAACCCCACCGACGAGGCGGCGTGGATGGACCTCATGCCGCTCGCGGCGGCGTCGGCGTCGGAGTTCGACTGGGCGATGCTGTACAGGTCGCTCAAGGGCGCCGCCGTCGCCGGAGACGAAGGCGGCGGCGGCGGCGGCGGAGGGTTTGGGTTCCTGGAGGAGGTGTCGCTGCACGACGTGCGGCTGGACATGGACGGCGGCGGCGACGGCGTGTACGGGCGAGCGCAGCAGACGAACCTGGAGTACCTGCTGCTGCTGGAGGTGGACAGGCTGGTGTGGAGCTTCAGGACGCAGGCCGGGCTGCCGGCGCCGGGGAAGCCGTACGGCGGATGGGAGGGCCCCGACGTCGAGCTCCGCGGCCACTTCGTCGGTGAGAAAAACCACAACGCCCCCACGCCTTCAGCTTCCAACTAACCCATGGCCATGTCCCACATGTTAGATTAGTGTTTCCATAGAGACTAAATTTCAGAAAAACCAGGTCAGTTTTATGGTTAAAGTTATAGAAAATCCACATACTCCCTAGAAAAAAAAAGGTTTTATGGTTAAAGCTACAGAAAAATTACATACTCCCTCCGTTTTCATATGATAAATCGCTTTGACCTTTTTTGTTTAATCAACTTTCTTTAAGTTTGATTAAATTTATATAAAGATTTAACAACATCTACAAAAACCAAATTAGTTTCAATTAAAACTAACATTTAATATATTATAATAATATGTTTGTTTGTATTGAAAATGTTTATATATTTTTCTAGAAATTTAGTCATACTTATAAATGTTTGATTAGGAAAAAGTGTCAAAATAACTTATAATATGATTTTCAAATTTCACAAAGCTTCACGCTTATACATTTTAAACATGAATATATTGAAATTTTTGAAATATACAGTGTATATAAATTTTTAACTAATAAATTCTTGAGTAAGGTTGATAGTTTAATTCTTTACTATTTTCAAAATTTTGTTTAAGATATTCTAAATTTGTTAAGATTTCAATTAAGATGGGTTTTATGAAGTATTGAGATCATAAAACCTGTGATAATATGCCATACCTTATAACTTGTGGTTTTTCACAACTTTGATCGTAAAAACATACAGTACGGATGGACCGTAATTTACTCTTTCCCAAACTAGATTAGAGCCCAACTTAGGCCCATTTATCAGTTGGGCCTAGTACGGATGGACCGTAATTCCGGCCCATTCAAGTTCGAGGGCTTGGATTTGATTTAAATTTCTGGCCCAATTACATAGATGTAAAAATAGCTCTGCTACAATGTAGTACTAACTTTTTTGTTTAAATTTTCATCAAGTGGGTCAAAACTCAAGCAATTTTATTCGGCAGTAGAAATTTAAAATTTGGTTCATGAAAAATGCAGCCAGATTTTTGTGCATATAAATTGTTTAGGAACCATTTAAACAAATTTAAACGGGACAAAAGTTACTAGTAAAACACAAAATTTGGCGCGCAGGGCACTACCTGAGCGCGGCGGCGAAGATGTGGGCGAGCACGCACAACGGCACGCTCGCCGGCAAGATGGCGGCGGTGGTGGACGCGCTGCACGACTGCCAGGCGGCGGCCGGCACCGGCTACCTCTCCGCCTTCCCCGCCGAGTTCTTCGACCGCTTCGAGGCCATCCGCCCCGTCTGGGCGCCCTACTACACCATCCACAAGGCACGCAACGCAACCCAAAGCATCTGCATCTCCACCATGGCCATGAATCTCATCTGTTCGTGCAAATGTCTGAATGAAGTCATGAAGATCTCCTGTGCCTTTCTTCTTCCTCTGCATCGCGTGTGCAGATCATGCAGGGCCTGCTGGATCAGCACACGGTGGCCGGGAACGGCAAGGCGCTCGGCATGGTGGTCGCCATGGCCGACTACTTCGCCGGCCGCGTGAGGAGCGTCATCCAGAGGTACACCATCGAGAGGCACTGGACGTCGCTCAACGAGGAGACCGGCGGGATGAACGACGTCCTCTACCAGCTGTACACCATTACTGTAATCGTTCTTGTCAATCTTGATTTGTGCTGATTGGAAGCACGTTTTATTTCAGCGAGTTAATTGTGTTGCTATTATGAATGATCTCCAATTTTGGGCAGAAAGACCAGAGGCATTTGGTGCTGGCTCATCTTTTCGACAAGCCTTGCTTTCTAGGATTGCTTGCAGTTCAGGTCTGAAGATCTTAATTCCCCTATGGCACTCTATGTTCTCCTACATGCTATTCACTTTGTAATTAGTAATTTATTGTACAACTAATCCAGCTAGAACTCGTAATCTGACAGAATATAACTCGTAATCTTTGATGTTCAGGCTGACAGTCTTTCGGGTTTTCATGCAAATACACACATTCCTGTTGTCATCGGTGGGCAAATGAGATATGAAGTTACTGGTGATCCTCTTTACAAGGTAAAACTTATGGGGCATGTTGATTTCAAGAGAGAAGAGAGACACATGGTCCATGGTACTTCATGATGTTGCTACTATAATCCACTTCTATGGGTGTCCGTTATAGTTTTACTGAAAAGCTACTATGTCTTGCAGTGTGTGCTTTCTTGCAAATAATTGTACACTTCAATACTTGTGGTGAAACTTGAATGAATCTTGGTGCATCTGACCATAAGTCCTATTTATGAAACAGGAGATTGCAACATTCTTCATGGACATAGTTAATTCTTCTCATAGCTATGCCACTGGTGGCACATCTGTCAGTGAGTTCTGGTAATGAACTTGAATGGTTGAAGTTCACAGAAATCTTTTTCGGTCACTTAATGCCCAAAATGGATTTTGTCAGGTCAAATCCAAAACATTTAGCTGAGGCTCTAACCACTGAGACTGAGGAGTCCTGTACTACCTACAACATGCTTAAGGTGATTTATTTGTTCATGATCATCAATGATCAAATTCCTAAGTCCATTTTTCTTTCCTAGAATTAGATACAAAGTGAAAATACAAAGTATGCAGGTTTCTCGCCACCTATTCAGATGGACAAAGGAAATTGCGTATGCAGATTACTACGAGCGAGCACTGATAAATGGTGTCCTAAGCATTCAGAGAGGAAGAGATCCTGGTGTGATGATCTACATGCTACCCCAGGGCCCTGGAAGATCTAAAGCAGTAAGCTACCATGGGTGGGGAACACAGTACAATTCATTTTGGTGTTGTTATGGAACTGGTAAGTGAACAGTTAGTTTCAGAAGTTCAGAACTGAACAGTATAATGTTAAGTGCTCTGAAAAAACAAGTAGGATTGTAATGTTATCTACTGTCTGGTTTTATTTTCAGGGATAGAATCATTCTCCAAGCTGGGGGATTCTATCTACTTTGAGCAGAAAGGAGACAAGCCAGGGCTCTACATTATTCAGTACATACCGAGCACATTTAACTGGAGAACTGCAGGTCTTACTGTTACTCAACAAGTGAAGCCCCTCAGCTCATCAGATCAGTATCTTCAAGTCTCACTTTCCATTTCTGCTGCAAAGGTAAAATTTATCTTGGATTTTCACTGTATGAGAGAGAGAGAGAGAGAGAGAGAGAGAGAGAGAGAGAGAAATCAACAATGATTAGTCTTGGATCATAGTTTAATCAGTTTGATTTTTGTGACACAGACAAACGGGCAATATGCAACACTGAATGTGAGAATACCATCATGGACATCAATGAATGGTGCAAAAGCAACTCTGAATGACAAAGATCTGCAATTAGCATCTCCAGGTATGCTCATAAGAATTGAGAGAGCACGGTAATTTGTCGCCCATAATATGTTGGAAGAACTACAGATATAACTCTGCCTCAATCTCGATCTTATTCAGGGACTTTCCTCACAATCAGCAAGCAGTGGGATAGTGGTGATGATCACTTGCTACTCCAGTTCCCAATTAACCTAAGGACAGAAGCAATAAAAGGTATGGAATTTTGAGTTTTATTTTCTATTCAGCTTGAAGAAATAAATCAAAGGTTTATCGATCAGTAACAAAGCCCACACACAACAATATATCAAAGCAATCGAATACTACTTGCTTTCCCTACTTCAACAGACCAGTATCCAGAAGTCAGAATCAGTACTATCCAGTGATTTTGCATTTCACCAACATTTCGGTGAATTTGGGCTTTACTATCGGTACAAGAAATGTTCATACCTGCCAAAATTTTATCCCAAATTCTAATATTGAATTCAGTGTCAATTCTAAGTTGACAATCAATTAATTGTTTTCACATCTATTTTACTTATGTTCATTATCCAGATCACCTCTACCTTGTTTAATTTTTTTTCCTAAAAAAATCGAAATGTCACCATATTAATTTTTTTTGAAAAATTTGAAAAATGTACAAAATTGGAAATAGAATTCAGGATAATACGTGCTCTCATTTGGAATTAGTGTGTGTTTAGTTCAGCGCAAAGTTTGGATTTTGGTTGAAATTGAAGATGATGTGACTGAAAAGTTTTGTGTGTATGACAGGTTGATGTGATGGGAAATGACTGAAGTTTGGATCCAAACTTTGGATCTAAACACAGCCTTAGGGGCTTGCATGTGCTTAGATTGAAAAAAATAGGGGACCTGAACCGCTGAAAAAAAAACTGGTTGTTACATGGATAGCAAAAAAATTGCAAACCAAAATCCAATGCATCTAAGATGGTAAATTGGTAATTACTACTAATTAAGATGAACCAGAATTTTCACAAGAGATTGACTGCAAAATGGTTTATCTTCATCTTCAGACGATCGGCCACAGGTAGCATCTCTGAATGCGATCCTGTTCGGGCCGTTCCTCCTCGCCGGCCTCACCACCGGCGACTGGGACGCGAAGACCGGCGGCGCCGCCACCGCGGCGTCGGACTGGATCACCCCCGTCCCTGCCTCGTACAACTCCCAGCTGGTCACGCTCACGCAGGAGTCCGGCGGGAAGACCATGCTCCTCTCCACCGTGAACGACACCTCCCTGGCGATGCTGGAGCGGCCCGAGGGCGCCGGCGGCACGGACGCCGCCGTGCGCGCCACGTTCAGGGTGGTGCCGCCGGGCTCGAGGGCCGAGCTGCGGCAGCGCGCCGGCGCCGGCGCCGGCGAAGGCGCGGCGAGGCTCAAGGTCGCCGCGGCGACGATCGAGCCGTTCGGCCTGCCGGGGACGGCGGTGTCGAACGGCCTCGCCGTGGTGCGCGCCGGGAACAGCTCGAGCACGCTGTTCAACGTCGCGCCGGGGCTCGACGGGAAGCCCGGCTCCGTCTCGCTCGAGCTCGGGAGCAAGCCGGGGTGCTTCTTGGTCGCCGGCGCCGGCGCGAAGGTGCATGTCGGCTGCAGGACACGCGGCGGCGCCGCCGCCGCCGCAGCCGCAGGATTCGAGCAGGCGGCGAGCTTCGCGCAGGCCGAGCCACTGCGGCGGTATCATGCGATCAGCTTCTTCGCCAGCGGCGTGAGGAGGAGCTTCCTCCTCGAGCCATTGTTCACCTTGAGGGACGAGTTCTACACCATCTACTTCAACCTTGCAGCCTGACAAGTGAGTGACAACGACATGGCAATCTCTCTAATTTTTTAAGGTGGTGGAAGATAATTAATTTGGGCTAATTTAATTCTTTGATCCTTTCAATGCTCAATTTAGTAATTAGTACAAATTAGCATGGCAAGTAGCAGTTGAATGGGAAAATGAGTTTGGTTTACATGTACACTCTGCCTCTCAGTGTTTACTGGAGTAGCAGTGATGTTACTCTGCAATTTCAGCTCTTTATCTTGCCATTCTTTTCTTAGAAAGAGTATATACCTCTTGATGCAGTTGAGTATACACAAAAAGTTCTGCAAATGAAAGAGTACTTAAGGATCAAGGATATTCTTGACCTGATTCCTAAAGCGTAACTTCTATGTGGGTTAAAATAAAAATCTGAGCAGATTCAGATATTACTTTGTTTGCACTTCATTCAAAGCTATCTGATGTTAAGTGGACTATATGAAATCTGAGCAGGTTCTGAATTTACTTTGTTTGTACTCTATTCAAGCTATCTGAATTAAAGTGGACAATATGATATAGTCAAGTTTGACTTAAGGTTTATATGATTCCATGCATCGAGGTGGGTGAACAAGTAGAGCAGGTTCTTTTCATTATCTGATGCCTCATTCCAAATGCATTATATTACCATCTTGGTGTATAAAACATTATCTGGAGGCCATGATTACAACATACTCCTCTCTTTCTCAGATAACTATGGATCATATTGCACTAATCTGATTGGTGCAAATTGCTGCAAGTCTGCAATTGTGATGCACCCTTTTGTGTCTAGAGAAAACTTTTGATGTGTCAGCCAGTGAAGAATTGATCATCAAGACTGAAAATCAATCATACAGTTGCGACAGATGAGAATACGAGATCCAAGATCTGGTGACAGCGAGGAGACAATCGAGACATTCAATGGCAGATCCACAATCAAAATAAAGAAAAAGAACAAACATAGAACATAAATGAAAATTTGTGTAGCTGTAGCAAGCGAAGATATTGATCACGGAACCAAACATTTATGATATTCACCTTTTGTTTGATCTTTTTTACCATCTATTTCATTTAGTTGCATATTCAAACCTAACAGACAACCAAAAATAGATCACATAGAGAAGCTCCACATGCAAAAGTATATATTCCAGTGTATAATATCCAGGTAAAGCCAAAGCCTACACAAACCAACCACAGAACCACATTCTCACCAGGTCACCTAAACTTCTAAACAAGTCTTTGTGGGAGATATCCAGGTAGTATATATATTGTGAATCCTCACCCAGAGTTTACCATGTAGAAGATTGAGATGTACTGCACACAGGAATGGTCATCAGTACCATATAACGGACGATTGCTGATTACTATTACTGGTTGCAATGTAACACTTCGGATACAATAGTACATTACAGAGCTAGCTAAATGCGAAGCCACAATACCGTCAGCGCAAGACGATCATAAATAAAGCTTACACAACATAGCCAACATGCAAACCATTCGGACTGACCAGAGATGAGGGTTCTTGAAGCTGCCGTGGTGTGCCATGCATCACAAATGCCGAACAACTAGATTGTAGCAGCCAACATGAAAGGAAAAGGCATGGATAATGCAGCAAAGATGGATGATGAAGACCGCAGATTGTGACGCTTCGTTCACCAACCATATGAAACCCCTAAATTTTGTCAAGTTTCTCCGCCTTCACCACCGGATTAGCCTTGGCAATAGCATCCCTAGCAGCGGTCCGATAGTCAAACTGGCAGTCATGCTTATCGGAATAGCGGTGCATTGCGCAGTACAAGTTGCCACATCGGCAGTTGAATCCGGTAAGACCAACCCTCTTCCGACAAGTGGAGCACCGATTTGGTCCTTCCCTCCCCTTGGGGTTCACCGTGACCCCCTCACTAGGACCAGCAATCTCAGCAGGCTGCGCAACAAGCGTCTTCACCTCGACTTGAGCAACAGCTACTTCAGCGTGACCAGCAATAATTGGTTCCTTCCCGGAATCACCACCATTGACAATGCTGTCGATAGAGGAGGCTGCCAGCTTGGCCTGCTCCTGCTTCATTATCATCTCCTTGTGGCACTTTGAGCACATGTTCATGGTAGCCGCACTGCCAAAGAAGCCGCAGTTATTGATGCAAAGGATCGGGCCTTCTGGCTGCTGGCATCCAGTCTCCTTGTGCTCCATGGCTTCCTTTTAACTATAAATCAGAAGAAGAAAAAATGCGTAAATACAAGACTAAAGAAGAAAAACAGGTTCCATTTTTCCACTCTCTAAAAGCAAATGCATTACAATCAAATGTTCCACTTCAGGGTAGCAAAACTGAGCAGACAATATCTGCCAATGATGGCATATGTTCTTGATTGCGCAAAATACACCGCGACAAAAACAAGAAGCATAGTATACATGTCAAATTTCACTCTAGCAAAGCATCATGTAAAAGAACTCCGAAGAAAAGTGGATGTACCACTAACAGTCCAACCTGCCTTGCTATAAATCTATCTAGCCCAACAGACTAATTACCTAACAACATCAGAGAGCAGGGGATATATATATATATTGGTTCTAGAAAGAGGCTCCCAACTTTACGCCGCTTTACGCAACAGAGCAACAAATCCATAAAGTTGCAGCCATATCTGCTCACTGACTTTGCCCAAAGCGCCCCAAAGAAGCCATCCATCCATTCATCCATCCATCAACTAGGCGCAACAACCACACCCCCAATACGTGTAAAGGGAACACCGCCTTTACACCATACCTCCCCCGAATTCGCTCGCCGCTCATCGCCGTTCCTTCCACACCCAACCCCAACCCCAAACACATCAAATCAACAAATCAAAAAAAATCACACCTTTTGACCGCGGAAAAAGGAAAAAAAACACGCTAAATTAAACCAATAATAATCATAAATCGAACAGGGAAGCAATCGAGCCACGAACCTTAGACGACGAGGAAGCCCTTTTCTTTTTTTTTCCTCCGCGCGATTCCTCTCCGGCGATCCCTGCATCACAGAACCCCCCATCAAGAAACCATCAAGAAAAAGAAAAGAAAAGAAAAGAAAAAAGAAAACCCCTCAAATCAACAGCATCCCGGATCGGCCAGGGAGGAGCACCGGGGGCGAGAGATCGAGGCGCGATTGAATCGGGGGGGGGGGGGGGAAAGGGAGTAGGAACGAACCCTAGGAGGGGGAGGACGAGGAGGCGAGGGGAGAGGAATCGCGAGGAATGGAATTCGGTGGGCTTCGAAATGGGGGGCGAAACGTGGGGAGGTGGGGGAGAGAGATAAAGCAAGGAAGAAGAGGAGGTGGAGGCCGCGAAATTACGGAAATGCCCCTTCCCTTCCCCCGGAGCGGTGGGGCCCACCTCGATTTTTCCGTGCGGGGTGGGCCCCCCACCGTCAGGTTGCCGGGTTACGATTCTTTTGTGTGTGTGTGTTCTTTTCTTCTTCTTCTGTAGATGGACAGTGAGGGAGAGGAGAAAGAGAAAGTGCCGTGGCTGTACAACTCAAAAGTTGGAGGACTATATGTCTTTTTTTTTCTTTTTGAGAAAAGATCTTCTGAACCTTGTTTTAGTTAAGTTTTTTAAAACACACTTTTTTATTGAATTATTTTTTAAAAAGGGCTATTTGTCCTGTCATAGACTTTAGCACATGTGACAATGTTGTTTTACTTTGCTAATAGAATGGTATTGTGGAATAGAGTAGCTTATACTCTTGGTTGACTGTCCATGAATTTAGAGTTTAAGAACTTGTGCGAAATGAAGATTTTATGTTGCTGCAAGAATCTTGAACTTACTAAATTAGGAATGTAATCTTCATATCATAAATGAAGCTCTCTCTTTAACATTGTCGAGTTTCATATTAAATATAAAAAAAGGGTATTCAAGGGTTTTGTTTTTATAATTGTATTAATTATATGGTTTGTTCCATGGGAGAAAAAGGTAAGGTTGGAGGTATAGAAACCAAAAGGTTAGTTTAGTAGTTGGAAGAAATTGAAAGATTTAATTATATTCACTTTTTTTTTACATTTGACTTAACACAATACACCTCAAAAAAAAATTATATCTGCCTTCCATCCCGCCACATTGTATGCCTATTGTTTCCTTGATGATTAACACCTGACCTCTTCCTTTTTTATTCCCTAAGGAGCTTTATCCCTATTGTCGCTTAAATTATCATCCATATGTTATACCCATATATCACCGGGGTCTTATAATGGGTGACCATTCATTGGGCGTGCACTAGTGGATCGCCCACGCTTGTGTATCATATTAGCATGTGCACGTTCCATAGTTAATCACAAGGCAAATCATAACCTAAGTGTCAGATGAAACTAAAGTTTGAATTACAATTTTAATGAAAATTAGTCAAAAAAACATTTTTAATGAAACATTTTACCTATAAACTTTTATATATTATGTTTACAGACTTTTCATATATAAAAACTTTTGACTATAAATCCCATTCTAGGAATTAATAGAGCTCTCCTGATTTCAGAACTCGTTTATAGAAGCATTATACTGTAAAAAAATACATTAAATGTAAAAGATATATATTCTCTATGTGCAAATTTTAGCACAAATTTACTATAAGTAAAGGTAGAGATTTCCAAATGCAAAGTTTTTTTTTGCAAAAAAACAAAAAACTAGAAATTGAAACGAAAACAAAAGCCCAAAAGCCTATGCGGCTGAACTACGGCCCTGTACTCGGCTTGCACAAAGCTGCTTGAGTTGGGAAGGCAGCGCCGAACACCTAAAAATGTTTGCGTGTTATTCTCACGTATTTTTCACCCTACTTTACTGCTCCCTCTATCCCAATGTTTGACGCCGTTAACTTTTTTAAATATGTTTGACCGTTTATCTTATTCAAAAAAATTAAGTAACTATTAATTCTTTTTCTATCATTTGATTCATTGTTAAATATATTTTTATGTATACATATAGTTTTACATATTTCATAAAAGTTTTTGAATAAGACGAATGGTCAAACATATTTAAAAAAGTCAACGGTGTCAAACATTTAAGGAAGAATGGAGTATTTTGATAGTGCGATCACGCCTCGCTCTCGATATGTTGCCTAGGCTACCTTCATATTAATTATTATGAACTTCTTTTTAACTTTTAAATATAGCATTTGACCATTCATTGATTAGAAAGACTGTACATGTTTTTATCGTGACTTGTTTTATCATTAAAAATATTTTAAACATAAATTTTATATTTATATTTAATTCGTTTAAATAAAATGATCTATCAATGTAAAAAAGAACGGTAGCATATATTTGAAAACAGAGTATACGACGCCCTAGCCGGCCTATCGCTAGTACGTTCTACCCTCAAGCAGCATCACGCGTACGTATAAACTACTCTTGCAGATCGGTCGAGCTGTGTGCATGCTACGCGGCAGTACAGCAGCGGACGAGAGATCGATGGGAAGAATGAGATGAGCGCTGGGCATATATGTATGCGATGATGCATAGGTGGTGGCTGGAAAGGATGGCGATTTTGTCCGTCTCTAGAGCGTTACGTTTTGTACGTGGCGAGCTGGCAATGATCATCTTGTACTACGTGTGTATGGTAGTAGTCCACCTGCCTGTACGTGCACCAACTGCATCTCCCGCACCCACATTTCTACTGCCTCTACTCATGCATAAAGTACTCCAAGTTTTAGGATCAGCCACGAATATTAGAACGAAAAGTAAAAAAAATATAGAAATATATTCTAGGATTCAATTCTAGAAATTGCTATATTTGAGATAAAGAAACTAAACAATAGTCGAAATATTTTCCTCTTGTATGTTAATCACATTTTACACCATACATTCTGCATAAAGATTATCGCATTAGGGCTTGTTCCATCCATTGCTAAAACGAACTTTGCCATTTGTTGGTAAAGCTAAAAGTTAGGAATGTTCTTTTTTTTTTATTTTTCCAAAATGAGATATGTGGAGGTAATGTTTGGTTTGACACTTACCAAGATTTTAATGTACTTATACTTATGTGGCAGTGTGGCACTACTACAAAAATCATCTTTCATGGCGGCCATTTTGGCTTTTCGCTGGCGGAAATCGCAGCCGCCACAAACCAAAGGCCAGTGAAGATCACGATCTTCGCTAGCGGTTTTCGACCGCCAGCGATAATTCATTTTTGCTGGAAGTCATCTTAAGCCAACCGCCAGCAAAGATCCATTTTCGCTAGCGGCTGACTTAAGACGACCGCCAGCGAAAATGAATTATCGCTGGCGGGTTACAATGTGCTAGCCGCCAGTGTTAATTCTGGCCAAATTTAAAAAACGGAGCGACACCGCTCCGTCCGCCCTCCGTCAACGCTCCACCATTCAAAAATTTCACAGTAATTTATCCAAGTATTCAAAAATCCACAAAAAATTACATGAAAAATTTACAATCAACAATTTCCATTCACTCAAGCATTCAAGTATCACAAAAATCAACACATTAACAAAATTTTGAAGTCCGCTGCCGAGCCCCGTCGGCCTCCACTGCCTCCGCCTCGACGACGCCGCTGGTGAGCCCTGCTGGCCTCCACCGCTGTAGAGCGCCGCCGCAACCCCCACCGCGGCCCGTGCGCCAGATCTGAGAGAGGGAGAGGGGGTGGTGGCGATGGGGGAAGGGGAGGAGGGAGGAAGACCTGGATCCGCCGCCTCGATCTGCCAGCGCGCCGCCACCTGCTGGATGGAGTCGCCTCGGGCCTCCTCGCCGCCGCTGCCAAGGTCCGCCGCAGCTGAGCTCCACCCCCTCCCGGCGCTGGATCCGCCGCGTGCACCCGACCACCGCTTCGAGCCGCTGCTACCGCTCTCTTTGCAGCGATCCTCTCTGCAGCGAAGGGATAAAGAAGTATGAGGTGAGGAGTGAAGGGATAAGGATAGGGTG